GCCGCGGAGCCGTCTCGCCAGGAGCGTGCTGCACACGGCAACGGGCACTGACGGAGTGCGGCAGAAAACCAATCTGCTATGCTCAGTGAAAAAAGTCTGACATAAAAGACCCCATTCTTATGAAATGTCCAGAATAGGCAAAACCATAGAGAAGCAGCTGAGTGGGTGCCAGGACTCGGGAAGGGAAAAGGAGAAGGGACTGCTAATGGGGAGCAGCTTTGAGTGACTGAAATGTTCTGGAAATTAGATAAAAGCGATGGTGGCAGAACCCTGTGAATGTACTAAACACCACTAAATTGTACACTTTGAAGTGGTGAATTTCAGGGTATGAGTCATAATCTCCACTTTTAAAAATCTGTCTGCAAATTCTGCCAGCTCTTCCTCCCAAGAGCTCCAGAATCTGATCATTGCGACCACAGCATGGCTGCAACTGGCCTGGCACAGGCCACCAGTGCCCCCAGCCACCAGCACTGGCAGCCACCCATCTGCTCCCCATTCCTAAAACAGCACCATTTCAAGGCCTCTACAGAAGTAGAGGGTACAGGCAAGGATTACGCAGCCTCTGGGGACTAGCTTTTTCACTGGCATCATTTCCTCATTCATCGAGCTATTCCTTTATATTGCTGAGCAGGTACGCACTCACCTGTTGAAGGATGGCTAAGCAGTTTTTATTCTGAACAAAGCTGCTGTCAACACTGTGCACAGGTTTTTATGCAAAGCACAGCTTTCATCTCCCTGGGACAAATGCCCAGGCCTCAATGGCTAGGTCGGTTCTCTAAGAAAGTGTCCAGCTGTTTCCAGAGCAGCCATAACATCTATGTTCCCACCAGGAAAAAGAGAGAGACCCAGTTTCCTCACCACCAGCACTGGGTGTTCTCAAAGTGGTTTTTAAAATAAAAAAAAAAAAAAAAAAGATTTATTTCTACAAGCACTGGGTACAGTCAGAAGCGCGGGAGGTGAGAGAATTCACCAGAGCCAGAGCGGGGAGCAGAGCAGGCAGAAGGACCGAAGTACACTGCTGAGGGGAGCAGCGGGCGGCAGGAGAGGTCTGCGCGCCATGTGGGACCCTCGCCCGGCGGCCGGGGATCGAACTTCACAGCCCAGCGCTCAACCGCTGCACCACCAGGGGAGGCCCCAAAGTGGTTTTTAAAAAAACAAAGTAGGCAACTGTTTTGGTATAAACATGCCTCTGGTCAGTAAAATCTAAAGTCCTTCTATTGGGGTCCAAGGCCCTATAAGTGGTCCTCCATCCTTCTGACCTCACCTCCCACTCTGCCTTCATCTCTCTTCAGAACTTTCCTTACTAGGCCGCAAGCACAAAGCCCACCCTTCCTTCCTTTCCTGGCCCCTCTACCTGGGTGGAAATCTCTTGTTGCAAACTTTTTATGTAAAAAGTTTGGGCATCCAAACCAGGCATCCCTGGTAGCGCAAGGGGTTAAATCTCAGCACTGTGAAGCTGTCTGCAGCCACTGCAGCACGAGTTGGATCCTGGCCAGGGAGCTACCCACATGGCACAGCTGACCTCTCCTGTCTCCCCGCTGCTCCCCTCAGCAGTGTATATCAATAGATCTGCCTGTTCTGCTCCCTGCTCTGTCTCTGGCGAATCCTCTCACCTCCCACACCTCGGGCCTACACCCCTGCTCTTGTATGCATAAAGAAATTTTTTTTTTAAAAATTAAGTGCATCTGATTGGTGTGAGTCTACACTTCTAAATCATACACAATATTGTAAACCAATGTTATCATAACAAATTAACTAATTTAAAAAGTTTGCCAACCAAGGCAAGGAAGTGTACACCTGAAACCTATACAGTATACTAAACTGTGTTCTCAACTAAAAGTAAAATACTATTATATTGTGTGGACATGGGTGTGCGAGTGCGCGTGTGTATGTATACATACATACATACATACATACATACACACACACACACACACACACACACCCTCTCACTCTTGCCAATGTCCATGACTCTAATTAGGGACGTAACACTGTTTAGATCCCCAAATGATATACAGATTCAAAACAATCCCTATCAGAATCTCATCTGGCTTCTCTGTAGAAACTGACAATCTGATCTGATGATTCACATGGAAAAAACGATCTTGGAAAAGAACAAAATCAGAGGACCCACATTTCACAATCTGAAACTGTGACACAAAACTACAGTCATCAGAGCTTCCTGATGGGGTAGAGGACAGACATATAGACCAACAGAAGAGGATTAAGAACCTAGAAATGGGGCCTCCCTGGTGGCACAGAGGGGTTAAGCACTGCACTATGAAGCAGTCCACAGCCTCTGCAGCATGAGTTCGATCCCCCGGCCAGCCAGGGAGTTACCCACATGGCGCAACAGACCTCTCCTGTCTCGCGAGCTGCCCCCCTCAGCAGTGTACTTCAGTCAGTCTGCCTGTTCTGTTCCCCGCTCTGTCTCTGGTGAGTCCTCTCACCACCCCCACCACACCTCTGGCCTGTACCCCAGTTCTTGTATGCATAAATAAATAAATCTTCAAAAAAAAGAATCTAGAAATAAATCTACACACTTGTGGCAACAGGGTTGCTGAGACAATTCAATGGGGATAGTCAATAATCCTTCCAACAAATGACACCAGGATACTGGATAGTCACACGTAAAAGAATGAAGTTGGACCCTTACCTCACACCATATATAAAAAGACCCCAATCTGAGAGCAAAAACTCTGAATTTTATTTTAAAATATAGGAGTAACAAATCTTTTTGACCGTGAATGAAGCACACAACAGTTTCTCAGATATAAGCCCTAGAGCACAGCACCAAAGACAAATAGAAAATTGGACTTCATCAAAATTAAAAACTTTTGTGCTTTAAAGGAGCCTATGAATAAAGTGAAGAGACAATCTACAGAAAAGGAAAATGTGTTTTCCTTTGTAAAAAATTTGTAAAAAAATTATTTTTACAAAGCGTATATCTGATAAGGATCTACTATCCAAAATGTATAAAGAGCTGTTCAAGAATTTTAAAAAAAAACCTGAAAATTGGGGAAGAATGAGAACAAGAGCTACTACACTAAGTCTCAGAAAGAGGCTGGGTAGCTCATCGTACAGCTGAACTTTCTCAGACACATCCTACCTGATTAAGCCACTATAGCAGCATTTTCTGTTATCTGCGACCAAAGACAATCCTAATCCGTAACACCAAAAGGAACTAGTAGGTCATGATTAGCAGAGGACAACAAATCCTGATGGCTCTCCCGTCAAAATTCAGTCACTTCTTACCTGGCCACTGCTGCCATCCTGACAGAGTACCCCGTCGTTGCTCACCTAATGGAACACAGCATCCTCCCAGGGTCCCCTTCCCTCTTCCCAGCCAGTATGGAATCCTGCCAGTCCTCCCACAGCAGTCGGAGGACTTGCCCCAGCAGAATAAACGCCAATGTCTTCATCCCACTTTCAGGAAGGTCGTCTTGCTCTGGTGTGGCTCCACCTCTCTAACCTCCCATCACTAATTCAAACAGGCCAACTGACCTTGCCGTTCCTCCCCGGGGGGCTCTGGCCCTACCCCACTGCCTGCACGCTCCCCTTCCACACGCCCTCCTGGCTTTACCCTGGCCTCTCCTCAGGTCTTTATTCAAAAGCCATTTCTCCCTCCATGGACCTTCCCTGGACACCTGATGCATAAAACCACACCTCATTGGCCCAGATAGCTGCACGTCCCCTTCCCTGCTTTGCGGTTCCTCCTCCACTTTTGCTTCTTCATCTGTGTGAGCGTCTGTGCCCCCCCAGCACGAAGGCGCCGCGAGAGCAGCTCTGCCTGCTCACGTGCTGGCCCCGCACCGCAGGCCCCCTGGCGCACAGCTCAGTCGCAGGCACCGACACATGAATAATTAAAGCCGGGGAAGGTGCGGATCTGCGGGAGAGGAGCGCGGCCCGAGACCATTGCTGCGAGGGCTCTCCCGGCCCGGCCCTTCCCCGCGCGGCCGCCCGGCGGGCTCGGAGCCGGCGCCACCAGAGGCCGGCCCCTCGGTGCGGTGGAGCGCGGACGCCCGGACGCCGCGGCCGACGCCCGCGCGCCTGTGACCGACGGCTCCAGGGACCGCCGCGAGCAGCGCAAGAACAGCAGATGCTTCCACCGTGCGCGGGGCCGGTCCCGGGCCGGGAAACGGACTTTTCTGCCGAGGCGTCTGCACGGACGCGCGTTCGCGCCTCCGACTCCCAACCACCAACTCGGCCTCCGGCTTCGGGGCGCGGGGCCTCTCCCCGGCCGGCTGCGGCTCCTCCGCTTCGGAACCGCGCGCTGTCCCGACCCGGCGCGGCGCCCGGGAGGCCGGAGGGCGCAGCCGACGCCCCGGGAACGCGGGTCGGCGGCTCGGGCCGGCGAGACGGACGCGGCGTCCTCCGGTGACGCGGGGCCGCGCCTCGCGTGGGGACTCGGGCCGCGCCGCGGGCTCCGAACCGCCGAACCCGCGCCGGCCCCGCCGCGCAGCGACTCCGGGCCCGGCCGGCCGGGCGCGCGCCTCCCCCGGGCCCGGGTTTCCCTGGTCCTCCCGCGGCTCTCGCGGTCGGGAAGAGGCGGCCCCCGCGCCCCCGCGTCCCCCCGCAAGGCCCCGCCGCTCCCCAAACCCGCGGCTTCCCGTTAGGCTCTCGGGACGCGGCCGGCGGGGCGGGCGGGCGGCGGGCGCGGGGCAGAGCGCTGAGGGGCCCGCGCCAGGCCGGCCTCGCGCCGCGTCTCGATCTCCGCGAAAGCCCGCGGCGCGCCCGGCCGCCTCCCCAGGCGCCGCGCCGGCTCCCGCACGAGCGAGCCCCGCCGGCGCCCCCGCCGCCCGGGGCCGGCTCCGCGCAGGGGCCCGTCCCGTCCCGACGTCGTGTCCGCGACGGCCAGGCCGGGCCGCGCCGCGAGCGCGCAGGGCGAGGGCGGCGAGGGCCGGGCCGGGCCGGGCCGGGGCGCGGCGGGCGGGAGGGGAGGGAGGGGAGGGGAGGGGAGGGGAGGGGAGGGGAGGGGAGGGCCCGCCCCCCGCACTCACGGTCGAGGCAGCGGCTCGTCGGGCGCGGCCAGGCCGGGCGGCGGCGGGGGCGGCTGAGGCGGCTGAGGCGGCTGAGGCGGCTGCGCCTGCGGCGGCGGCGGCTGAGGCGGCTGAGGCGGCTGCTGCTGCTGCTGCTGCTGGAAGGACTTGAGGGACTCGAAGGCCTTCATCAGCTTCTCCAGGGTCGCCATGGCGGCGCCCCGCCCCGCAGGGGCAGCCCGGGGCCGCGGGCCGGCGGGCGGCGGCGCTCAGCAGCGGGGCAATGAATGGGGCTCGGGGCCGCGGGCGCAAGCCGTTCGCAGGCGCCAGGCCATCTTGGGCCCGTCCCGGCAGCCCCCGCGGCCGTGCGTCCCCCGACGCTCCGCCGGCGGGGCGGGGCCAGGCGGCGGAGTGATTGACAGACAGAGGCGGCGGCCTCTGCCAATGGCCGGCCGAGACGTCAGCCCACCCCCCGAGCTGTCTCGCCGCGCGGAGTCCCGACGGCGGCCGAGATTACAGGTCCCCTCTCACGAGAGCGAGCCGGGCGCGGCGGCGGGGGCGGGCGGGGGCGGGGCGGGGGCGTGGCCTGAGGGGCGGGGCGGGATGAAGCCACGCCCCGGAGGGGCGGCGGGCGGGCAGGCGGCTCTGCGGCACCTGCCCAGGCCCGGGAGGCCGCGGCGGGGCGGGCGCCCGCCCGGGAGCTCCGTCGGGAAGGAGGCGGCACAGGAAAGGCGCCCGACGAGGACTCCGGGGCCACTGGCCCCGCGGAGGCAGGGAAGGAGGGCCCCCCAGTCCTGCGGGCAGCACCCCAGCGTGCAGGGGGCGCGGGGCGGGGGCTGGCAGGCTGCTGCACGGTGACAAGCTCGGGGTCAGCTCCTGCTGCCCCCAGAGGCGGCTGCAAGCCAGAGCTACCCGAGGGCCCCCTTGCGTGGGAGGGGACTCCCGCCCTGGCCGCTGCTCGGCAGCAGCCCACGAGGATGGTGGGCACCCGGTGGGCGAGCCCTGGGAGGGTGGCTCCCAGCATCTGCCAGAGGCAGGCGAGCGAGACAGGGGTCCGAGGACGGCGGCGTCCGGGGCGGCTGTCCCCCAGCAAGCCGCAGGAAGCGGGTCCGCCTGGGCGAGGCTGCGGGCTCCGCCACAGCCCCCTTCCTCTCAGAGCCCCTCCCTCGCCCCAGTGGTCAAGTCAAGGGACCCCGGCCCCACCACGTTGTCCCCAAAGGGAGAGCAACGTTCCCGGAAAGGAGGAACCCCTGAGAAACAGGTCCCCCACCTGGGGCTCCTGGCCCCCTGCCAGCCACGGCCACACAGGCAGGGCAGGCCCTCTGGCCCTCTGGAGGCCCTGGCTGGGGCAAGGCGGCCAATGCTGGTATTAAGTGGCGGGAAGATGCGGCTTCCTTCTGGCTGAATCTGCGTTTCCCTGATGACGCCAGCGCGGCCGCCTGTCGGTCACTCTCCTGGCTCGCGCCAACAGCAGCAGCTCTCGCCGTGAACTCTGCTGGAGTTGGCTGGGCTTTGGAGGAATAGGCTGACGACGTCCATGCCTTTGAACTCTCGCTCATTATCTCAAAATGTTCTGTCCCATTCTCTCCCTCTCCCTGGCGCTCAGGAAAACCTAGATGAGACACCCCCACTTTCTCCTACCTGCAGCTTGCTTGTCCTGTGTTTTGGACCCTCGGGGTTTCACTCTGGATAACATCATCTGACTTGTTCTTTTTTTTTTTTTTAAAGATTTATTCATACATACAAGAACCAGGATACAGGGCAGACGCGCGGGAGGGTGAGAGGACTCACCGGAGGCAGAGCAGGGAGCAGAACAGGCAGAAGGACCGAAGACACCGCTGAGGGGAGCGGCGGGAGACAGGAGAGGTCTGCGCGCCCTGTGGGTTGCTTCCCCGGTGGGGGATCGAACCCGCGCTGCAGAGGCTGCTGCTGACAGCTTCAGGGCGCGCGCTCCACCGCCTGCACCACCAGGGGAGGCCCGGCAGAACCTATTTGCAACAGGCAGGTTTGTGGGGTCTGGGGTGCCCTCTCCCTGCCCTGTAACAAAAATGGTGCCTGTGGTGGCCCCCACACGGCCCCTCCCGCTTCCCCTGCTGCTGCTTTGAGTCGTCCTCTAGATGCTCGTAAATCAAAGACGTCACAGTCCACTTCACCTTTATTGCTGCTCAAGTTGCCCCCAGTCCAGTGGAAGCCTGTTTGGGGCAGCCCCTGGGTACTTCCAGGCGCCCCACCGTTTCTCTCGGGCCTCACCAGACGCCCCGCCCGCCGCCCTCTGTCCTGAGCGCCAGGGGAGCGATGGTGGAAGGCCAGGAGGGTGGGGGCGGGCTGATGCGACACTGCGCTAGTGCCCCCAGGCCTGGCCTCACCCTTGTGTCTGCTCAGGGGAGTGAGTTCCCGCCCCGCCCTACCCTCTGCTCCTGCTGTCTCCTGTTGTCGCTTCTGCCGCGTCTGCTTTTGGATGGGGGCTGCATTCTTGGGCCCGTGTGAGGACCCACCCTGCAGCAAGGCAGTTCCCCAGGCTTGCTGCATCCCACAGCTGGCTCGCCAGGGCACCTCAAGCAAAGCGCAGGCCAGTGAGGGGAGCTGTTTGACCCCCGCCCGGCCTGGAACCCGGGACGCCCCGCGGGGTCTCCGCAGTCAGGGCAGCAGCTCAGGGAAACTGCGTGGGCAACTGATGACAACGCGGTCATGATTCAGCAAGAACATGAGAAAACTCGGTGAAGGCTAAAGGGAGTTCTCACCAAGACTGGCAAGGACCCCCAGGAGCAAGGGCTTCCAAAAGCTTCTAATTGTAATAATTCCTCACCACTTTTCTGGAGCGCTTTGGCAATGTCCATCACAAGGTTTGAGTATGGGAAACGTCGGCTCGCTGTCTCCTGACAGAGCATCGTGATAAACACTCAAAGCTGAACATCAGAGACGAGGCCCAGGGATGCTAACTAAAGCAGCGTCAGCGGGAACATAACAAGATTTGAAATAATGTAAAATTCCAGCAGTAAGAGATTGGCAGGAACAGCAACCTTCTAAGTGTCAAGATAATGTCAAAGACCCACTGAAACGTCCAGGAGGCGGCAGAGAAATCGGGGTCTCGTGCCGTTGACGGGGTGCAGATGCTGCACGGTGCAGAAGACGGCACATGCATTCCTCAAAAGTTAAAAACAAGGACCGCCTGACTCAGTGATTCCACTTCTGGCCTAACACCCCCAAGAATTGAAAGCGGGGTCTTGAAGAGGTATTTGTGCACCAGCACGAGTCGCAGCAGCAAGAACGCGGGGCCTCCGCGCAGCGGAGTGTCGTCAGCCTTAAAAGGGGAGGAAATTCTAGAGCGCCCATAACACGGATGACCCTTGTCACACCGAGTGCGACAAGCCAAGCCAGTCCCCAAAGGGCAAGTGCCAGGCAGCCCTACACACGGAGCCCTGGGGGGCCTGGCTGGGGAGCCCGGAGGCAGCACGTGGTGCCTGGGCCGGGTTGGGCGCCGGTGGGCAGGGATGGCTTCGTAGGGAGAGTCCCAGACAGCGAGATGGAGAGCTGGGGGGGGCGGGGTGAGCTGCACACTTGAACTGGCTGAGAGGGTAAGTGTTGTTTGTGTATTTTACCATAATTCGAAACAGTTTCTGGTGAAACAGTTCAGCAAAAGAAAAACCTGCTGGGCTGCTGAAAAGGGGTCTCCTCAACACACTGGTGCCGGCGGCCTTCGGGCAGCGGCCTGGGCACAGCTGGGACAGCGCGTTGCGGACCCAAGCTGGGTCCACGAGGCCAGGCTCAAAGCCAGAGTCCTCCCAGCGGCCCGCACCTGTCAGGTGCTGTGCTGGCCCCAGGAGCACTGGCTGGAGCCACGCCCACGGGCACGGGCACGGGAGGACAAGGCACATCCTGCCCCTCAAGTCCAGTGTCCAGGCACCGGCGTGTCCAGCCCCGGCAGCCTCTGTGGCAGAGCCTGGCTCTCTACTTCCCAGCTCCCCTGTCACCTCCCTGAGAAGTCAGGGTGCCCCTCATGGGTCTTTGGAACCCATCACACCCTTCCTGAGACAGCCCCTCACCTAGGCTGCAAATGTCCCCGACCAGGTGCAGAGCCTGCCGTCCACCTCAGCCCAGCGCGCCACCTCCTCTGCAACAAGTTATTGGCTTTGGAACTCTGATATTTCTTAATCTGTTCAGGGAGCCCCTAAGGGGTGGGGTCCACCCTCCCACCCCAACAGCCAAAGGACCCCTTCTCCTGAGACCTAAGCCTGACCTGCGCCCACTCGCCGAGGTCCTGCCCCAGGCTGCTCTGCCAGAAACCCCTCTGACACCCCAGACAGCCAAGCCTCACCGCAGGCTCCTGGCAATGCCCTCTCTCCAGGGGGGGACAGCAGTGTCCAGGCAAGTAGCCACAAAGACGGGCACTCAGGCCAGAGCACGAGGTGAGGCGGACACAGGAGCAAAGACATCCAACCCCTCCGGGGGGCATGTGGACCCCAGGCCAGGAGAAGGGCCCATTCCCCACACTGCTGGGAGGAGGCCCAGGCCCCACCCCATCCTCATCCACCTTGGGGCATCAAGCGCCCTCGAGTGGCTGGCCCATCCATCCGGCTTTCACGGAAAGACAGCTCTTGCGCAGGAGACGCAGATCACACGCAGGCGCATCTTACACGTTTATTGCAAGTCCGGGGGGGCAGGGCTGCAGCTCCCGACGCGGGCTGCATGTGCGCTCACCGCCTGGTGGACAGCTCTTCCTTCTGGCCGGGGCAGTCTTTGAGGCAGCCCTGCAACACAGCAGCAGGCCGGCCAGTCAGCCCAGCCTAGCCGCCTGGCCCCCTGCCGCCAGCCACACTTGGGCCGCGCACATGCAGGTCACAGGCAGCGTACACACCCTCTCTCCCCCACCACGGCGGCTGGACCCCAGGGGCGGGCCCGGATCTGCGCCCCTGCACAGACCACAGCCCGTGGCACACTCACTCCCACGGACACGGCAGGGCGGGTGGGGGCCAGGGCTCCTCTGTGAGCCCCCGGAGCCTTCCTGTCCACGAACGCCCAGCTGGCCACCCTGCCGAAAGCAGCCCGTGCCCAGGGACCGTGGTCACGCCCAGGACCTGCACGCCCCAGGGGCTTCCTCTTCACAAACAAGGTGGCGAGGATGCTAGTGGACAACCTCGAAGCAAATTGCTTGGGGAGGAACGCTAGCTAGCTGTCCGCCCGTCCAGGAGAAAAGGCCACTGGGAAGAAAAGTCCTAAACGTTGCTGCAGACACCATCCCTCCAGGGCAGTCTCGCCGGAGAAGCAACTCTCGCTGTGAAAACCGGCCGGCGAGCAGACACCCGAGGGGCGGCCCGCAACGCCGAGGCAAGTGGCACGTGACTTTATGACCGTCTGAGAAGGTGCTGGCGTCTGAGCCCAGCGGGACGTGGCGTTGGAGGGGCACCTGCTGCTGGCCATGGGCCCTGGGCCAGGACAGCCTGGCCCCACGGCAGAGGCCAGCCAGCTCTGGGGCCAGCAGAGCCTAACGGCTGCTCAGCGGCGCGTGGTGTCGAACACAGGGGCCTTGCCAACAGAGAAGGCCTCTGTAGTGCGGGAACCGTCATGTCACAAACAAGCCGCCGACGTCCGCTCTGCTCACCCCTCCGCTGAAGAGTCTAGAGAAGAAGCCCTTCTTTGGCCTGGAAACTAGAGGCTTCATCTCTTCTGCACTGAGCGTCGTATTTTCCTCATTCATAGTTTCATTGATGTCCTTGAAACATTCGGATTCGATCATCTGCAGAAGAGCAGGGGAGTGGAGAGGCACAGGGCAGCCAGTCCCGCCGCCGCATCCCTGCCCAGCGCTCCGGCCCTGCAGTTCCCGGCCTGGACGCCACTTCCACTGCTTCCCAACTGCTTCCTGAGGCCAGTAACTTGGCCACCCCCTCCTCCTTTCTGAGTGTGCCCCCAAAGCAGCTGGCCACAGTGGAGCTGGCTGCCAGCCCTCCTGGGGAGTGGGACTCGGGACCAGGAAGCCCGCGTCAGCACGGCCTGCGTAGGGAGCGGAGGCTGCTGCCACCCAGACCCACTCACACACGCCCACATGGAACTTTTGCTTTTGTCATCACCGTGACCAGCGTCCACTGCTGTGCTGAGCAGGCGGTACCTCATTCTGCCAGGGGATGGAGACACAGCCGGTGGCAAACTCAGCGTAGAATTCCTCATCTGAAGTGTCTAGGAAGACCCCCTTCACGGTGGAGAACTGATCAATGTCCAAGATGTCCTTACAGTACACTGCCTGAGGCTGCACCAAGAACAAGGACAGCCACTGGAGGCCTGCTCGGTGTCTCTCTCTCTCTCTCTCTTTCACGCACACACACACACACACACACACACACACAGAGTCATGTGAGGACGCCCCACGCTCCCGTCTGCCCCCTGAAGCACTTCCTAGCCCCACGCAGTCTCTCTCCCGGCTCGTCCTCTAGTGGCATTCCTGTGTTCAGAGGCCAGGAGTGGGGCGAGCAGGCAGGTAGTCTAGGCCTGGGCCACCTCCTCCAAGTGGCTGCCTGGACTTCTGAGGCCCAGGCACAAAATGCACAGGAGGAGACCCCGACCAGGCCACCCGGATCAAGAGGCACCGGGGTTCTGAGCGGCAGGCAGGCACTGCCCTCAGGACAGTCAGGGAGGCAGGCTAGGAGGGGACCTGGGGGAAGGCCAGCACCCCAGACCGCTGGACAGGCTGAGAAAGGCCCGAAGCACCTGGAGAACATCTGGCCTATCCGGTGGGAAGCAGCTCTTTGAAGGCCCGCAGAACTGGCTCGCTGCCACCGTGGCCTCCTCAGCCTGGTTTCACTGCCGTCTTCCCAGGCCGCCACGGCTCCCCACCCATGCCCACCCAGGCCCTGATGCCCGGAGCCTTGTGCAGTCGCAGGGAAGCCCGCGGCCTGCGTGTGCGAGGAGAGTGCTCTAGTTTTTGTTTTTAAACTCTTCTTCCCTGCCCCTTTGCAAGGAGAATAATCATCCAACTTCCGCACATCCCACAGGAGCATCTCGGAGGGCTTTCTAGAACATGCTGGTGGATGTTTTCATTTGCACGTGCCCCTCCAGGGTTAGGCCTGTGGTCTCCGCACGGCCCCAGCACTGGCCTGTGGACGACATGGCCTCCCTGGGCCACAGCCCACTCCGGCTCCCAGCCCGCTGCAGGCCCAGCTGCAGAGCCACCCACAGGGAGGTGCGGACCCTGGGAACATGGGGGCCCGGCAGGGCCCAGCACAGAGGCACTCCAGCAGAGGGGCCTGGGAGGCTGGGGAGCCACGTGGGGCTTGGGGGAGAAGCAGCAGTTCCCAGGGGCTCTGGCATAAGAAGCTGCAAGGCAGGTGGCCACAACCCTCACGCCCCAGAGGAACTCACATCAGGGCAGAAAGGGGGCTCGAGCATATTTGCTTCCAGTCGCTTGAAGTTGATGTCCTTGAACACAGGGTGCTCCTTCACCCTGGCTGCCCCGTCACCCGTGCACCCCAGGCGCTGCTTGGGGTTCTTGGTGAGTAGCTGTGGGAGGCAGAAAGGAGCCAATTTCAGGGCCTCCCTGATGGCGCAGGGATTAAAGACAGTGCTACCCAGCTATCCGCAGCCTCTGCAGCACAAGTTTGATCCCTGGCCAGGGAGCAACCCACAGGGCGCAGTAGACCTCTTCTGTCTCCCCGCTGCTCCCCTCGGCAGTATGTTTCAGTGGATCCGCCTGTTCTGCTCCCCACTGTCTCTGGAGAATCCTCTCACCCCCACACCTCTGGCCTGCACCCCAGTTCTTGTATGCATAAATACATCTTTTAAAAAAATCACTGAGGACCTTAGTAAAAATTTCCCAAACGCAGGTCTAGATGCTGTGTATTCTTAAAATTAATGCAAGGTGTTTATTTTATCCTATGAACAGAAAGCGTCTCTCTGAAAGACACAGGCATTTTTGTCATTGTCACACACTGAATCAGGCCTTCCCCACGGTGAGCATCAAGCACAGCCAAGCGGTCCCCAGCCCAGGCAGGAGACCTGGCGCCGCTCCCCGGGGGAACCTCACCAGCCCTGCAGCGCCCCCGCCCCCACTGCCTCCCCAGGCCGGAGCCGGGCTCAGCTCCCAGTGCCCCGAACCTGACCCACCATCCTGCAGATGGATTTGGCGTCCTCAGAAAACTTCTCGGAGTACTGCTCGGGGTCCCGCCTCACCCTGCGGTCCACCTCCTCCCGCCTGACCTTCTCCTTGAAGCGCTTGAAGGGAGCGTGTCCCTCGATCATCTCATACAGCAGGCAGCCGAGTCCCCACCAGTCAGGGCTGAAGGTGTAGCTCTCGTTGCTGATGACTTCGGGGGCTACGGGACGGACACCGGAAATGGGATCAGATGTCTGGCTCTGGGTGCACGTCCCTGGAGCGCCCTGCGGCACACGCTTGATCACTGGCACGTGCTCCTGCAGCACAGACACCACAGCCCTGCACTGGAACGCGCGTCTCAAACGCGTGAACTGTGAAGTCATGTCAAGCCAACAAAGCCAGACACAAAACCATAGTGTGTGACCCCCCTTAACCGGAGGGGGCGGGACAGCCTGGCCTGGGCACAGAGTGGCCTGGAGGCTGCGGGGCAGGGGAGGCCGGCGATCCTCGTGAGTGTGCGGGCCGGGCTCTGACTGGAACTGGCACAGAGCTGCCACCGCAGGCGGGATTCCTGGGCCGCGCTACCCGTCCGCACAGCTGCAGTTAGAAGAGGGCGCTATGTCCGTTGAGGATGAAGCGGGTCAGCACAGAGTAGCTAGCGCGGGATCACGCCTCCAGGGAAGGCCTGTCTCCCAAGGGTGCTCCCCCACGCTCAGGGTGCCCTCTACTCCCAGGCATCAAGAGTGGGGCACAGGGACCACCATGGGGCTCTGCAGAGGCAGCCAGGGACCTCTGTCCAAGGCCACCTGGGTCAGGAGCCACTGCAGCTGTGCGGCCACGCCTCCGGAGCTGACCACGGCCCCCTGCCCCCACCGGGAGATGGAGGCCTCACACAGAGGGTGAGGCCAGCAGGCAAGGGTGGGCAGCGGCCGGCGGAGACGATCCCGAGTCTGCCTTCTCCTGGCTGTGTGGCATCTGGGCCTCAGTCCCCACCTGCAGGCGAGGAGGGCGGCCCAGAGGGTCCACGCCCTGGCACCAGGGCAGGCTTGACCACCCACGGCATCACTAGCGCTCGCGGGCTCACGCGGTCCCACCTCAGCCTCTCTGTGCCCTGAGGGCGTGGCCTCCGGAGCTGGAGGGTCTTCACATACCCATGTAGCCCACCGTTCCGACTCTTCCTCGAACCGTCTCCCCTTCGGGGACCACCAGGGCTAGACCGAGATCTGAAATCCGGATGTGCCCTGTGTGTTCAAACACAGGACTCAAGTCACAGGGGCCCGCGGCACTTTAACAACAATGAAAAATGGGGGCTTCATGGGGGACCAGGGGTTAATCTCAGCACTATGAAGCTGTCCGCAGCCACTGCAGCCTGAGTTTGATCCCCAGCCAGGGAGCTACCCACATGGCGCAGCAGACCTCTCCTGTCTCCCCGCTGCTCCCCTCAGCAGTGGATTTCAGTGGATCCACTTGTTCTGCTCCCCGCTCTGTCTCTGGTGAATCCTCTCACTCCCCACCCCTCTGGCCTGCACCCCAGCTTTGTGTGCATAAGTAAAAATAAATCTTTAAAAACAGTGAAAATGGGGGAAGCACATCTGCAAAGCCATGGATGGAAATGGAAGCATCCCACACTCAGAGTCCCTTCATCTGACATCCCAGAGAACTCCCCGCGCTCCTGAGGCCCCACTCCAGGCAGCAGCACCATGCACAGCAGGGAGTGGGGCTTCAGAGACCACCATTCCCCTGGGAAACCCGCCAGCTGGTGAGAGGCGGGGCCTGTGCTCTGACCTCTGGGCACGACAGGCCTGCGGGGCTGCAGGGGAGATGACCGTCTGAGCAGGCTTCTCCGCAGAGACCACAGACGGCGGGGGGGGGGGGGGGGGGGGGGGCAGGGGAGGAGCTGTCTCCCAGGACAGATGAGTTAGGGAAACAGCAAATAAAATCAAAGAACTCACATTTAAAACTGCATTATGTGGTAATACATAGGAGGATTAAGAGAGTTTCAAAATTCCTTACAAAAACAACAAATCATGGAAAACATTCTTTTGGAAGTCTGGGGCGGGAGGCCGCCTGAGGCAGGAGCCAGGTCCGAGGCTGGCAGCCTCCTGCGTGCACGGAGACTGGGGGTGGGGGTGGGGGGAGGTGGTCAGTGAGCATAAGCCAGCAGGAGGGCGCTGGCCTCCTCTATGCACCCTGGAGAGCAGCGTGGAGAAGCGCCTGAGGGCTCGTGGCCGCTGCCCTAGCAGGGAGCAAAGGTCAAGCACAGCGAGAGGGCGCAGTGACCTGAGCCCAGGGGCTCCCTGGGCCAGCAGGATGGGGTCTGATATCTGGAGGAGCGTGGTCTGCCTTGGAGCCCTGTCTTTGGAACCACAGGCCTGTTTTACTCAATCACAAGACAAAACTTAGACAATTGAAAGCACAACGGAGAAGATGCAGCGAGCGCAGAGCAAGGCTGGCCGCCCAGCAGGGGGCCACACAGCCGAGCAGCCGCCCTCCCGCGTCAGAGCTGCGCCGGCCGCGCAGTCACGTGCTAACCCACGAACACCAGCGTGGCTCCAAAGCTCTCTTACGTCTACGGTGGGTGAAGCAGATAGATGATTAGGAACTAGAATTTTCAGAAAAATACAAATGTGAACCAAGAATTGGAAACAGTGATAGGAATCCATGACGAGCATTTTCTTAAAAAAATTCAGAACAAAGTGTCCCTCTGTCCACAGCAGGGGCCAGCACAATGACCGGCGCAGCAGTGGCCCCACAGCCAGGTACCAGGTGCTCGGGAGAAGAGGCCGATGCCCGCACAGTCCCCGACTTCATGACGGCGGGAGACCAGGAGATCGTCCAAGACAACAGCCTGCCTGGCCGGAGAAGGGACAGCCCGGCCAGCAGGAAGGACAGTGAGGCTGTTAGGGGGAAAAGGCTGTCCTAAAGCTGATCCCATACGGGCTTTGTGGACTCCACCCCCACCCCAGGCCAAAGCCAAAGACACTGGGGACTCCACATCCCATCCCCACCCAAGGGAAGGTGGCTGGGACTGGAGGGTGGGGTTCAGCAGCCAGGTGGGTACAAAGGCAGACACGTGGGCTTTGGGGGGGGGTCCCCCATGTTGGCTCCCCGCCAGCTTGCAGCGTCCGGCCAGCTCGGAGAGCGCCTTTGGGTTTCCAGGTCAGCGGATTGGGTAGGACGCATTAGACTTTATTTCCCTATTTTCTCTCTGAGTTGTACATGTTCCTTATTTCCTTTTCCCTTGTAAATAAACCTTTTATGAACCTTTTGTGTGTGCCTGTAGTGGAGTATTCGTAAGTCCCTTGTAAGCGCGCGGGTGAGGACCCACAGCCAGGAACCCGTTCAATATCGGGGCTGTCCTATAACAAGGCCACTGGCTGAGCATCCAGACGGCCAAGATCCTCGTGGCCACAATGTCCCAGGACAGACGCCTCGTGGGCTGTCTTGACGCATGACACAGCACCGCAGCTCTGGACAGTGGCGGTGAGGGGGGCCACGCCCCACCTGCTCCTCCGTCTGTGCGGCTTAGAGCCAACAGGCAGTTGCAGGAGTGGCGGGATCCAGCATGTCCTTCCCTTTCGGAGGAGCCATGCGTCCCCACACTGGCCCACAAGACAGGCTGGTGGGGACGGGGTGAAGGCCGGATCACCACCAGGCAAGCTGGACCTCGAGCAAAGAGCCACTCGGGCCCTCATGCCTCCTGTGCAGTTAACAGCCGTGCCCACGGGGTAGGCCCACAGCAACCGATCACATCCAACCCAGCCAGCCCAGAGCAAGGGTGAGCCGGCGGAACAACGTCTGTGCGGGGCAGCCACAGCAAAGCGCTCTGGGGCAGGGGCAGTGCCGGGGAGCAGCACAGCCGTGGAGCACAGGAGGGGGTCAGCAGAGAGAAAACATTCTCACCCTGAGTTTACTGCACACGCATCTATCTGAGTTTGTGAACACAGTTAGCCAGGAGCAGGGACCTTCCGCTACGGGCGCACGGGACGACAGCGTGCCTGGGCGTCATCCTCTGAGGGACTCATGCCGGAGAATTCCTTTGCTGCTGGCTCTATTCTGCATTAACTGGCAGCCCCTTGTTAACTGTTTCCAAGTCCCTGTTAACACAGCCTACAAGGCCTCCACTTACCCCGGTCATCCAGCAGAATATTCTCCGGCTTTAAGTCTCTACGAGGAAAGAAAAAACACAGGAGCTCGGTTACACAGAAGCCCGCACGATCCCAGCCACAGCCCCAGCCCTGGGCTCTGCGCCTGCACCCCCGGAGCCCGCGGCGAGCCTGGCCTGTGGGCACAAGGAGGGACGGGGTCCACAAAGGGCTGGTGGCCGCCGACCTGGTCTGACCTAGGAAGACTGCCAAGCGCACATCCAGCCCCCTCAGGGCCAGGGCGGCCGGAAGGGCTGGCTGGCCCTCGGGTGCCCGGCCTCAGCCATCTCCGGGGACAGACACCGCGAGAACTGGGCGTGGTGGGCGCCACACAACACAGCCTTGCTCCCCGAGGGAGCAGGAGGCCGGGCCAGCTTTCAACCGTTCACAGCTTAAAATAAATTCTCCCCCAAAGCGGCTGATCACCATGACTCACGCGCGCGCCCTCCTCACTGCCTCATGGCCTCTTTCAGGGCAAAAAATTGCTTCCTGACCCTCAAGAAGCTGCCTGTCAGGGCCTCCCCGGTGGCGCAGCGGTTGAGCGCTGGGTTGCGAAGCTGCCCTCAGCCTCCGCAGCGCCAGTTCGATCCCCGGATGCTCCCCGGCCACCGGAGGAGGGTCCCACATGGCGCGCAGACCTCTCCTGCCGCCTGCTGCTCCCCTCAGCAGTGTCCTTCGGTCCTCCTGCCTGCTCTGCTCCCCGCTCCGGCTCTGGTGGATTCTCTCACCTTCCCCCGCGCTTCTGACTGTACCCAGTGCTTGTATAAATAAATAAATAAAAATAAATCTTTTTTAAAAAAAAAAAGAAGCAGCAGCTACCTGTCAGCGCACTCCTAGCTCCCAGGAGTGGAGTCAAGCACCCAGGCCCCTCAGAACCTCAAGAGTATGGGGCAGGCCCTGGGGCCGGGATACCCTGCCCCTGGGCGGAGGCCTCAGCCTGGGGGTTGATCTGCGAAGGGCTCGGTACAGCTGTGGCTGCTGAGAAAGGACCTCGGCGTTCTGGCCTAGACCTTAATTTCCCACCAAGACAAAGCAAAATAATTGATCTAATGGTTAATAAAAGCAGCAAAATTGAACTCCCAGTCTGATAAGGGGACTTGGAACCCCGAGAATCCACAGGAGAAAATAGCAGACCCAAGAAGACAGCGGCGCGAGCACCGTGCCCGGAACCGCGGCCTGCACGCCCCCCACGCACACGCGGGCGCCTCTGCCTGCCGCTGCCGGTCGAGCCGGGAGCTGCCCACGTAAGTGAGCCCGAGGGCAGGACGCCCCCTCCCTCGGCTGCGGGGAATCCTGGGTCATGTGGTGTTTCTCTTTTCGGTTGAGAAACCTCCACACGGTTTCCATAGAGGCAAAACGGGAACATTTCTTTTGAAATGAGAACATTTTAGACGTTCATCTTTCCTATTTTCTATTCTCTGCCACACACGTCTGCACATGCAGCAAACATCGCTATGAAGACAGTGACTCCTGCACTGAGGGGACACCCTCAACGCAACAAAGCAACACACAGCACCCCGAGAACCGGCAGTGGTCCTCCAAGTGCAGCCCCCCGGTAGCCCTTCCCTCGCCACAGGCCGGTCTGGACTTGCCCCCAAGCTCGGGTACCCAGATGCCTTCAGACGGAGGTCAGACTCTCAGAAGCCTGTCCCCGGGCTGATTCTAAGACATCAGACGCTCGGCCGGTCCCGCGTGCCCCTGTGCCCTTGAGTGGTTTGCTCGTTGTTTCGGGCACTTTAACTGAACAAGCAGCCCGGCTGCAGAGAAAACGCATAAGAGAGGGCCTCAGGGATGGGGCTTTCTCACCCTCTTAACCTTCTCTCCAAATAACTAGCAGCTGCAGCAGGCACAGCCTCAGGCCTGACAGGCAAGGGAATGCCAGGCTGCCCCTCGCGCCCGGGGTTTGCTGCTCTGATAAGAAAGAAAAGGCGAGGGCAGGCCTCTGGAGCCTCAGGGCAGGGCAGCCGCAGGACCCGACAGCCCGGACGTGTCCACAGAGAAGAAAGGGCCAGACTGCCCGCCATGCCCAGCAGAAACCCAACCAATGACAGCCTGGCACACTCCCCACCGCCTGGCCTGCGCTGCCTGCGGGTACACCCTTGCAGGTGCAGCCCTGCCCGGTGGCCCGCAGCCTCTGCCCCCGGGGCTTCCTGCCCCTGTGCCCAGCGGGAAATAGGCGCCAGTGGCCAATGAGGCAGTGGAAGGCATGTCCCCAAGATGCGGCCTCTGCTTCTCACCCCGCTCCTGTCTCGGTGTCTTCCAGCGGCTACCTCCCTCCACCAGGAGGCCTTTGTGGTCAGCCTGGACCTGCTGAGTTGCTGGTCCTAGAGGGGACTCTGGGCTCCCTTTCATGGACTTGCAAACAAGCGCGGTTGCTCCCGGCCCGGCGCCCGGCCCTCAGCTCAGTGGCGACACACTGTTCCCTCAGGACAGCTCAAGCCCAGGGGAGAGCTACCCAGGTGAGGAAGGCGTTTGTGTTCTGCTGTCTCTTTACCAAAAGGGAGCCCACCTTTGTGGTGTCTGGTGTGACAGCAGCTGGGGGCGCTCCCTGGTGACAGAAGTGAGGACAAAAGCCTCCCGCAAGGGTGCTCCAGAGGCTCAAAGGGAGGACGGCGCGCACACCCTTAGGGGCCCACCAGTGGCAGGCGCTGTGGTGACTGCGGAGGACACGACACGGTCCAGTTTCCATGCATGTGGCTGCCGCAGTGCGGGCCCGGTGAGGGACAGGGAGAACCTTCTGGCCTCCAGCAGACCTCGGAGCCCCGGGGCGAGCATGGCCCTGGACAAGCTCCGCTCCCGTGCCTCCTCCCAGAGAAAGCGCAGCGCTTGTCTGTGCCCAGCACTGCCACCCAGCAGGCCAGCAGTGGTGACAAGGCAGCACACCCTGGCAGCCACCGCAGTGTGGGGCGTCGAGGGCCGCTGTTCGCCCTTGCTCTGCGCTGGCGGTTCGAGCATGTCAGCCCAAGGAGGCAGGCGTCTGTCCTTGGCAGAAGGGACAGAGAGGACTGAGGTCAGAGGTCACCAGAACAGGAGGAATGAGATGCGGCCTTCCGAGGAGCTCAGGCGCGAGGGGCCTGCTGGGCGTGAGGGCAGGCTTGCTTGCGCAGGCGGCCGGCCCTGACTGAGGGAGGGGCCGGGGTGGGGAAAGACACCCCCAAACGCATGGAGCCCAAGGGGCGCCCAGGCATAGGGTGCCCCAAGAGCTCCCAGGCCAGGCAGGGCTGGCAGTGAGGGCAGAGGCCCCCCTTGGGGCGCAGCAGGAAGGACAGGGCCAGAGAAGTCAGAGGGGAGTGGGCTGTGGGGCCCCAGTGGGGCCAGCACCAACTCCAAGCCAGAGAGCAGGCTCGTGCGGGCTGTGGAGAGGGACGGGCATGGCCGGGGGCAGCTCGTGCACCGAGTGTGGCCCGGGTGACATTGAGGGGAGATTTGGTGACCCCCTAGTCAGGGACGATGAGGCGAGGACCCCAGACCCTGCAGGAACGGAGCACGTGAGGCTGCCAGCGCCGCGAGCACGGGGAGGGGCTGCTTTCCCCACAGCTAGGTCCACGGACGTGCTGGACTGGCCCTGACCGTCACGTGGGCTTCATTTTCTTTACTGAATTCTGAGGCAAAATTTTTTAATTTTAAGGCATTTGTTGTGTTATCTTGTTAGAACAAAGTTATTAGCAGAACTGTCGAGGCAGCTGAGGGCCTTGCAGTGGGCCCTTCTCTTGCCTGCACCGGCCGTGCAACCTCTATCAACTGCTCATTGGAAACTAAAGAGAACTGAAAAGAAAACGAGGGTCCACCTCTGACTGGCCAAATTTCCAATAGTGTGCGTGGCCGACCTCTAGGAACCAACCCAGGGCTCCCCAGCTGCCCTCAGGCCCAGGCACCTAAGCCGGGAGCCGGGGCTGGGGAGCAGCCGGCCCCGAGGCCCACGGGTGAGTGCCCATCGTACCTGTACACAATTCTCTCCCTCTGCAGGTCCTCCAGGCCACAGCACAGCTCCGCGGCGTAGAAAAGAGCTCGCCGCTCCTCAAAGCCGGGGCTGCCCAGGTTGTAGATGTGAAACTTGAGGTCCCCTCCATTCATGATGGTCAGCACCAAGCACAGGCAGTCTTTGGTCTCATAAGCGTAGGCCAGACTGACCTGTGGGTGACACAGCACAGAAGCCCACAGTCACCGGAGACACTCGATTCCTGCCACAAGCAGACAGCGTCCAAGTAGCCCACACTAGAGTCATCACCGGGCACCGGTGCCATGGCAGGGAGGGCCAGCATCGGGCGCATCGCAGCCCTTTACCCATCCAGGGCCTCCCAGCAGTGCTGTGGCAAAAGGAGAGACCTTTCTATGCCAAGCGGGCAGCTGGCAAGACTTCCTCTAGACTCTGGGAAGCCGTGCTCTGCCGTGCAGCCCCCCACATGCCCTACTTCCGGAGCAACAGCTGTCAGCACCTGCAGTGAGGCTCTGCCTGGGCCCACGTTTATCATGGGGGAGAAGCGGCATCTTCACATGGAAGTGACACCCTCGATTGCCAAGGCCCCTGTAATTTGCTGTGATGGCTTTTAGCATTTCTCAGTCTTGCAGTTTTGTTAGATTTTTGCCTTGAGTTTTACATTTCTTTTTTTTTTTTAATGTGTAATTTCACAATTAGGTTTTTTCAGAGAAAAGAAAAGTTATATGCACCCCTAGAAAAATTCTATACCATTGACAAGTCCTTGAGTGTTTTAAGCGTCAAGGATTTAAGCAACCACTGTAGAGAACGGCAGTTCAATGCAATAAAAATTTTGATATGGAATTAAAAAAAAATTTAAAAAAAGATTTCTTTCTATTTTTTTTTTTTTTTAGAGATTGATTTATTTATTTATACAAGAACCGGAGTACAAGCCAGATGTGTGGGAGGGTGAGAGGACTCACCAGAGACAGAGCGGGGAACGGAACAGGCAGACTGACTGAATACACTGCTGAGGGGAGCAGCAGGAGAGACAGGAGAGGTCTGCTGCGCCATGTGGGATTCTCACCGGCTGGCTGGGATCCAACGCGCACTGCAGAGGGTGCGGACAGCTTCACAGTGGGGTGCTCAACCACCTGCGCCACCAGAAAGACTCCAAGATTTATTTATTTATGCACACAAGAGCTGGGGTGCAGGCCAGAGGTGCAGGGGATGAGCGTATTCTCCAGAGAGAGAGCGGGGAGCAGAACAGGCGGATCGACTGAAGTACACTGCTGAGGGGAGCAGCGGGCGAGTCAGGAGAGGTCGGCTGTGCCATGCGGGTAGCTCCCTGGCCAGCCAGGGATGGAACTCGTGCTGCAGAGGCTGCGGACAGCTTCATACTGCTGTGCTTAACCTTGTACCACCAGGGAGGCCCCTGAGTTTTACATTTCTTGATATCTTTCTAAGTGGAGTCAATTAAAGCTCCTCACTTCTATGGTCTGCAGCGGTGTCAGGTCTGGGAGCGTGGTTCAGTTCTTGGTTACCCAGAAAGCTGTGGCTGCCACACATGGCTCTGGGAGACAGCATCCTTGCCTCCCCTGGCCCTTGGTTCTGAGCTCGCCCTGCTCATGTGGGCCCGCTTGGCCTGGCCTGCCCGTGTCTGTCCAGTGCTTGTCCACAGCCTGCCCCCACCCCGTTCAACACAGAAACAAAAGTGCCTCATCTCAATAGAATAGACCATAACTGCTACTTGCGTCACTCTCACCAAGCCGACGTGGAGGTCCATGTTTCAAGCAGTCACATACATGTGTTCCAAATGCTAAAAGCCGTCACAGCAAATCAAAGAGGCCTTAGCAATCGCGGGGTGTCGCTTCCGCATGAAGACACCACTTCTCCCCGCGTGGTAAATGCGGTCCTGGTCAGAGGCTCACGGGGGGTGTGTACTTGGACACAGGAAACAGGCACTTCCCCACAAAGCTTCCAGATGGGTGGGCGGTACCTATGTGGACAGTGCGGCAGGCGCCCCCGTGTCTGCTCATGTAGAGAAGCAGGTGGACACCGCACAAGCCGAGTCCTCTCAGCACTTGGTCATGCTCCGTGCACACCAGCCCGTGCACGCGGGCCCTGACTGTTACAGCTGAAGAGGCCAGGAGGCTGCCCGTGTGCGGCCTTGGCCAAGCACAGAGCAGCTGACATCAGCACCGGGAATGAGCCGACCGCGGGGCATTTTCTGCACGCCTGTCTCCACCGACCCTTTGTGGCGCAAGAGGTAGAGAGAAAGCCACACTGAATGCCCCACCTGGAGCCCGGCCTCAGTCCTGCCCCTGCCCCAGCACCCCCACCCCTGTCTAGCCCTCCCCCGAGTCAGTGACGGCGGGGCCTGGGCTCCATCCAGCCGCTCCTGCTGGTCGAGGGCCAGTTGGTGGGTGGCCAGGTCAGAAAGAGGCCCTGGGGGAGAGGGCTAGAGGAGGCACGTCAGCCAGGGTGCCCCGTAGCCCGGCGCCCACCCAGACCGCGGGCCCCGACGGCTCAAGCCCTGCCAGCAGCAGCAGGGGGAGGGCACCGGCAGGCAGAAGAGCCACAGCGGCCGGTGCAGTTCAGGCGGTCACCCTGCTTCTGTGCCCTGCCAGGGGGCCTGGTGGGAAGCAGGCATCACCCCCGCATTGCCCTCCAGGCCCGTCACCTGCTGCAGCACAGCGCGGTGCCCCGGATATTGACCCCGAGCCCACCGGCTGGCCAGCCGGGACACTGGGGGCAGGGAGCACTCACCACAAACCTGCTGTGTACTTTCTCTAGGAGCCGCTTTTCGTTCAGAGCCATGGCTTCGCCTCTCCTCCTCTTGATTCTCTTCTTCTCCAGCTTCTTGCAGGCGTACATCTTCCCCGTGGCGCGCACTTGGCAGGCGCAGACCTAGAGCGCAGAGAGAGGGTTCACTGTCCCCGACCTTTCTTGCGCTTGGCCCAGGCCAGTCAGTGGAAGGGACCCTGGGCCTGCTCAGCCCTCTCGCCCCAACGGTGCCCCCAGCACGGGCCCCAGACCCAGACGGAGAAGCGCCGGTACCCCCAGAGCTCTAGCTGCCCCACAAGTCGCGCCTCACACCAGCCCCTGTGGGGTGCCCGGCCTGCGGTGAAGGAAGGCACAGAGGGCCTGCCTTTGTGCCCTGGATGCCCCGGGCACCGCGCCGGCCCTAGGCGGGGGAGGCGTGAGTGGGAGGACCACCACGGGCCTACAGCCTCCTGCAGACAGGCCTTGGCCCCATCGCCAGAACCGTCTGGTCTGGGACACGCCAGGCCCCTGCCCACAGTGGAAGCTGGTGCTGCTGGGGGTGGGGGGCGGTGCCTCCCCTGGGGCGACTTCAGGCTGGCCCAGGGTCAGGGCGCTGAGAACGCCAAGCCCAGGCTGCGACCATGGCCTCCGTGGGAGCGAGCTGCTCTAGACGCGGTGTGGCCTCCCACGAGACTGTTCTGACCTCCAGGCTGCTGACCACGAACGGTCTGGACTCACACAAAAGCGCCCCCCACCTCCCCCGCAGACACAGCGGATGGCCCGGCGCCAACATTGAGTCCCCAGTCGCCCGCCAAAGTTGCGGGTTCTCCGGGAAGCCCAAGGAGCCGTGCAGGACAAGCATGAGAAGCCCTCCCGCCCGGGGAGAGGCAAGCGCAGCCCTGACTCGGCCGGCGGTCCCCGGCCTGGCTGGGAGGACGCGCGATGGCCGTGCGGGCTGCCCCTCGGCCGCCTCCGCTACCTCAAAGCTCCACGTCCCCTTTCCCTTATATTTTGGAAGACACATGCTGTGTGTTTCTTGAGCTGTTTTCACACGAGCTCTCCCCTCCCTGTGAAACAGCTCCCCCATGAAACATGGGCCCCCGAGCCGTGAAGGTGGCGTGGGACCCAACAGTCACATCGGCGAGACTGCAGTCCAGCGGGGGATCCACCTTTGTTTCCAAAATTAAATTAATCCTGGGTAAGAGCTGGTTCTTCTTTTCCCTAGAAGTTAGTCCTTGACCACGAACTTGGTTGGCACTGCCGTTTTGGGTGCAGGCCTGCACCCAAAGTTCCTGCACTCACGGGAACTTGTGAGTGCTTGTGACAGAATAAACTGCTTTTCTACGAAGTGCATAAACACCGAGCCGCTCACACAGACGACGCCTGATTCTCTCCGCCACCCAGGGGCCCGTCCGGGAGCGCCGTCCCGGTCCTCAACCAGCTCACGGACTTGTGGGCAGTTTCCTTAGGACTTGCCCGAATTTACACAACCTCTAACACCTTCAGATGTAGGAGTGAGGCACATAAAGGCCCAGAGTTGAGTGAAAGAAGCGCATTTGCTAATACATGCCCTGACCTTCTAGGCTGATCCGAAGTTACAGGAATAGAGTGACAAACGTCCCCATGGTGACAGGTGGTGTTTTCAAGCAGGACAAACCGGGCCACCAAGCACAGAGACACATTCTTCGAGAAATGCGAAGTGAAAGGTAAAATCACACAGATGGAATTTTTTTCCTGGATTCCCCAAATTTTTAAAACGTTTGCAGCGAAGTTCCTTTTGCTCAAAATTCAATCTTAATTCTCAGAGTTGGTTAAATTAAATCCCCAAATAGGCAGTAAGGAAGTAAATGTGTCAGTCAAGTTGATGCTTGATCCTAAGACCAAGCCTCTCCCGGTGGGGGAGGAGCCAGCTGGCCCCTGCGCGCAGCACTCACCTCCCCAAAGCCACCTTTCCCCAGGACTCTGTAATGGCGGAAGGTGTTCTTCGTCACCGGGCGCCTGTGAATCCAACAGAAAAGCTTCAGATCCCCATTGCTTGTGAGCAGGACAGCCAGGTGGCCACCAGCTGCAGGAGAGCAGCAAGCCTGGGGGCCTTCAGGAGGCACTGACCACAGGGAACCAGGAAGACAGGAAGCAGCCCCAGTTCCCCTCTGACTGGGGACGGTCTACCTCACCCACCGGGCCCCGGACAGCCGCCAGGCAGCTCCTCAAGCCCACCCGGGAGTTGTTGGGGGAAAATGACACGCTGACTGCACACCCTCTTGAAAGAGGACCTTGGAGGAGGTCAGACCCGTTGCCACAGGGAGACGTGCAGAGCCGGGCAGCGGGGGCCACAGGCCAGTGGTTGGCGGGGCCCCGGGGCAGCCGCCCATCCAGAGCAACCCGCGCTGTGCCCGCGCGAGCTGCGCCTCGGGCCCCACCCGCCTCTGGTGACCCTGTGCCCACAGGGTAGAGTTGCCACTGCCTCTGCCTGGCAGAAGAAGGGCCAGGAGCTCAGAGAGGCCGAGGACCTGACCCGAGCCACGCAGCTAGAATGAGGGCGAGCAGGGCGAGCAGGGCGAGCAGGGCTTCGCCGTGAAGACACAGCCGCCCAGGGCCACACTCCCGAGTCCAGGGCACAAGACCCCCTGGCTTCCACTCCCCGGGGACACCTGCGCTTTCACAAGCCAGAACACAGCTGAGTGGAGCATACCTTTCCAGCCATTTCCACTGTAAAAACCGAGAAAAATATGTGCTTTCTTGGTATTCTTTAAATGGTTCTCCACTTAAATAGTTATGGACAATTCTAGAAAAAAATTATGCAATTATATACATTTGTTGCATTATAACATGAAAACAGCTGTGCTTCAGTGCACTAATGAGCACTGGTTACGGTAGAATCAGCACACACCACTCGACATACTGAATGTTGGCAGTTAGAGAACCCCACACAGTGCCTACTGTTGTCAGGGAAAATAGGAAGGCAAGGTCTCAAAAGAAATGAAAAGATGTTACCCTTCCAAAACCCAACGTTCTTGGTATGCACATGAAGAGCAGAGAAGCTGTTGCGTCATAAAGACGATCCAATAGCAGCGAGATGTCAGAAATTAAAGGGTGCGTCATGTGTGCGCGTGCGCGCACGGGCATGCAGGCGGGTGTGTTCCGGAATAGAATGAGAACATTCTGCGAGCAGGGCTGGAGTGGCCGCCTGGATGAGAACAGCTCCACGGCAGAAAACGTTAGCATGCGACACCCCCCGGCGCCTATCATCGTTCCATTACACGCTCCCTGGAGAAACGTTGTGCAGTTAGCCACGACTTAGGTTTTCTTTAAAATTTTGTCACAGAGGAAGGAAGATGCACGCTCGGGGGTGGATGAGGGACAGAAGGCAGCCTGCTGTTCCAATCGTTCCTCGTCAGGGAGCGCCTGCTGGGCGGGTGCTGGGCTCCAGGGCAAGGCAGGCAGCTTCCCGGCGAGGAGGCGGTAGGCGGCTGAAGGGACACCTCTGTCCTAGGCCGAGTGTCCCAGGTAAAGAAAGAAGGGGGCCCAAGCCCAGGCCACGCTCCAGGCGAGAAGAGATGAAGCTGTGTGAGGACTTGCCAGACTCAGAGGCTTTGGGGGATCCCATCGTCCCCACTGATACTCAGGATCATGGAACAATGATCCTCAAAATGTGCTCTGAGGGTCTCTAGGTCCTGAGCCCCCTCAGGGAGCTCAGCGACAAAGCTGCGTTGGTAACAGCCCCGGGCCTTCACTGCCTTTACAGCCTGAGCCCCGTGGGCGCGGCTGCGGGAACTGTGGGCCGGGGCCACCGTGTGACGGGACTCCTGTGTCCGCTGTTATCTGAAATGAGCAACAGCCCTTGGGCTGCTCGGTGCTTTCTGGGCATGTGCCAGACCCAAGGCTGCTGCTCACCACAAGCCTGACCCAAGGCTGTCTGGAAGGTGTTGTGGCCGCTGGCTCAGGGTCTCCCTGAAGGTGCAGGCCCTCACCTCAGGCCCTATAGGCCCCACTTGGGGAGCCTGGCAGTGTGGGCACAGTGCGCCCTCTCCATAAAAGTGCTTCCGTGGAGGGGCCCACACAGGGACCGGCCCACCTGAGCATTGCACCTGCACAGCCCAGGGCCGCGGGACGAAGGGATGGACGGCCGTACCTCTCAGGCCCGCACGCCAGGACCTCTCACTTCAGAAGCTGCAGGCTGCCCAGCCGGCCGGCCTGGGGAGCCACGGGCCTGAAACTCCCGTGCAGCCCCTGGTGCACCACACCGCCCCCGCAGCGGGCAGGTGGCAGCCATTCCTGGGCACGCAGCCGCTCCCAAAAGAGAAGGGCAGGTTGAGGGGAATGAAGAAACCAACCACTAAGAAGTGAGGCAGAGGGCCTCCCCGGGGGCGCAGCGGTTGAGCGCTGGGCTGCGAAGCTGCCCACACGCAGCTTCTGCAGCGCTGGTTCGATCCCCGGCCGCCGGGTGAGGGTCCACATGGCGCGCAGACCTCTCCTGCCGCCCGCTGCTCCCCTCAGCAGTGTCCTTCGGTCCTTCTGCCTGCTCTGCTCCCCGCTCTGGCTCTGGTGAATTCTCTCACCCTCCCGCGCTTCTGACTGTACCCAGTGCTTGTAAAAATAAATAAATAAATGAGTCTTAAAAAAAAAAAAGAAGTGAGGCGGAGTAATACAGACTCCCCAGCCTGGGCTCACCACGGGCCGGGGTGAGGAAGAAGCAGACCAGAGGGGAAAAACACAAATGAGCTGTGAACAGGAAACAGCCCGGGCCGGGCGGGTGGAGGGAGACGGCGGGAACTAAAGACGCTCTTCCAGGCAGGAAGAGGAGTCACGGACACGGCTGAAGCTGAGTGACACGGAGGCCAACCGCAGACAAGGGGGCGAGGGGCTGGGGAAGGGCGGGGAGCCGTGGGCTGGGGAAGAGAGCCTCAGGCCGGTCCCACCAACTGGGGCTGCGCCCCCCACCCCCAGCCCGGAGACAGTGCAGAGTCTGGCTTTTAGGAGCTGGGGCTCGGGCGGGCGTGGAGCCCTGGACAGCAGGCCCCGCTCCAGAACCCGCAGCAATGTGCGCTGGCACTTCGCCACGCTGGCCATGCAGACATGCCAGAGAAGGCAGGCGGGTGAGCGCAGAGGTGGGCCCCGGCCTGCACTGACCCCTGGCGCCGCCCCCAGCAGGCCCGCTCCCCAGTGCCAAGGGAGCTGGGCCAGCCAGTCTCTGAAGGACGGCTTCTTCCATACTGCAGGGATCCAGAGGGGAAATAGTTTCTCGCAAGCGCCTGGTCTGAATGAAACCTCTGCGGGAAGGCCTGGCGCCCTAGACAGGCGCGGCCGGGGGCTGGATGGGCCGGGCTGTTGCTCTCCCTCTGCCTCATCCCATGGAACGACCACTTTGTTTTGGAATATGCTCTACTAGGAGCTGGCCCTGGCCAGGGGAGCCCCTGCAGGCCACACCCGAGGGCCACTGACCTGGTGCACTCCTCAAAGATGTCCTTGGAGGGGTCCTTCCGCACTCGGCCTTCCAGCACGCCTCGGGGCGGGAGTTTTGATAACGGGGCTTCCCGCTCCTTAATAAACCAAACCAACAATGGGTGACTTCATAATTCCCAAGGGGGAGAACTCACAGTCACTGCAAAAAAGCTAAAATATGCAAGGTGGAAATGCTGAGCCTGCCTCACGTCCAAGGTAGAGTGGCCGCCACCCCCTCGCACACCATCCTACGCTGTCAGAACAGGGTCCCCAGACTCGCAGCCATGGTCACCGGCAGCAGAGACACAGTGGCCGAGCGAGCCAGCGCCAGGGAGGGAGTGAAGACCAGGGGGCAGCGCCCCTTCTGTTAATCCTCATCCTGAGGACTGGATGGAGACACAAAACCGCTGTCCAGGGCACTGGGGAGTGCCCACGGCCCGTTCCGTGTGGGCCTGGCGTGACCGGACCGGCCAGCGTCCCGCAGGCGTTTGCTGAAGGCTGTGGGGGCACCCCCCCTCCCAGAGCACTGGCGTTGCCAGTGCAGCACTGTACTTCTTCTGTTACGCCTATTCCTAGTTCACGCCTTCTGACGCTATTGTCATGGAATTTCTTTCCTAGTCTCATTTTGGGGTTTCAGTTGCTAGTGAGCAGAAGCGTGTTTCAGGTTCCAGTCAGGCTCTTCCATCCTGCGACTTGCTGACTCAAGTCCCTCAGACTTTCCATGTACACGTGTGTCCCCCAAAATTCAAACACTGAAATCCCGATCCCCAAAGTGACACTGCGCAGAGGGAGCCTTAGGGAGGCGGGGGTCCTGGGGCAGCGCCCTCCCCGTGGGATTCCGTGCCTGGGGAAGCAGACCCTGGCCTCTGGCACCAAGGTCAGCTGTGTGGGCACCTCAGGCTCAGACTTCCGGCCTCCAGACCTGGGAGCAGCAAGTTCCGGCTTTGGACAAGCTGCCTTCTGGCGCGCTCTCCCTGAGCAGCCTGAGCGACGGGGGTAGCCAGGTCACGCGGTCTGCAAGCAGCTTTCTTCTCCCTTTCCTACCTGGGTATGTTCTGTTCACTTTTCTCGCCTAGTTGTCCTGGTCAGAGCTCCCAGCACAACGCGAGGCGGGCGGCAGGAGCAGGGCGCTGGTCTGTCCCTCCCGCGTCGCCAGCACGGCGCGAGATGTGTCCCGTCCTTAGTGGGATGAGCCTGACCAAGAAGAAGTCTTGGGGCCTAAACTACAGAAAGACACCCCATGTCCACGGGTGAGACTGACTCTACAAGACGGGCGCTGTCCGAGGTGATGGGCAGAGAAACAGCCCCTGTCAAGACCCGAGCTGCCTTCGCTGCCAAGTGCTTCGTCACGCGGAGCTGGTGAGGGCGCCCGCCGCGACGGCGTCCTCGGGTTTTGTGAAAGCCTTTTCTGCCTCTACTGTCATGACGATCGGGGCTTTCTGTCGTTTGTTAATACGATGTTTTTATATTAATTGCTTATCAGATGCTGCCCCAACTCGGTTTTGGTCATTTTTCACATTGTAAATAAAATTTGGCTGGGAGTCCTGAGGAAACAACAACTCAGAAGGAGCAAAGATACGCAGGTGCACATGCCCCCTTCGCCTCCCTTCCGGCCATGACAGCCGCGGGGTGCTCCCTTTCCGTGCCATCTCCGCTCTGCTGCCGTCCCCCCGCAATGGCTGAGCCCGGCGGCCGACAGGAGAGCCTTGGACTTGGGACTGAGGCTGGGTGACACGAGTGTGGACTCACGACTGTGCGGTCACACCTCCACCACCGCTGCCGCGGCCCGGCCGCTCTCGGCCCCTCGCTGGTGAGGAGACCCTCCGCCTCCCCTGCAGCGAGGCCCCAAGTATGAGCGCCCCGACCCGTTCTCCCTGCACTGCTCGTCAGCTCTGCCCCACGCGCCTGGCTCCCGGCTCCTGTGCTTACTAGCTTGTAAAACCTCCAGGGAGGGGGCCTCCCCGGTGGCGCAGCGGTTGAGCGCTGGGTTGCGAAGCTGCCCGCAGCCTCGGCAGCGCCGGTTCGATCCCCGGCTGCTCCCCGGCCACCGGAGGAGGGTCCCACATGGCGCGCAGACCTCTCCTGCCGCCCGCTGCTCCCCTCAGCAGTGTACTTCGGTCCTTCTGCCTGCTCTGCTCCCCGCTCTGGCTCTGGTGAATTCTCTCACCCTCCCGCGCTTCTGACTGTACCCAGTGCTTGTATAAATAAATAAATAAATAAATAAATAAATAAATAAATAAATAAAAAAAATAAAACCTCCAGGGAGCTCCGAACCAGCCTGGTTTTGGCCTCACCACATGAGAACGAGATCTGGGCCTGGAGTGGTGCCTACTCCCAGGTCTGCTGTGGGGTCACGCGTTCACAAGGAAACTTGGGGTGGCGTTGCTAAGTGTCAGCAATGTCGCTGTGACTGTTCCGTGACCCTACAACAGGCTCTTCCCAGTGTGGGGGCTTCTGATGGCCCTCAAAAGGAGATCACATGAAGGGAAGCAGGTGACTTCTAACGTCAGTGCCAAATCTCATGAGTCAGAAAGTAAAAACTAAGATCCGATGGTACTTTTAGGGGGGAAATATTATTTCCCATTCAAGAGAGGCAAATGCAATCCTCTTTGCCCATGTTCTGTTGGCGGAAACATGGAAACTTCCACATTCTTGGAATCAAATTTTTAAGAAATTCAATTGAGCCTCCCTGGTGGCGCAAAGGGTTAAGACGCAACCTATGAAGCTGTCCGCAGTCTCTGCAGCGCAAGTTCCATCCCCGGCCAGGGAGCTCCCCACAGGGCGCAGCAGACCTCTCCTGGCTCCCCGCTGCTCCCCGCAGCAGTGTATTTCTGTCGTCTGCCTGTTCTGCTCCCCACTCTGTCTCTGGTGAGTCCTCTCACCCCCCACACCTCTGGCCTGCACCCCAGCTCTTGTGTGCATAAATAAATAAATCTTTTTTAAGCATTCAACTAATGTCCTTACTGCATTGAAAGGAGCTGCACAAGAGGAGCACTGATAGGAAATTAAAGATCTTAACTTGCCACGGTTTATCCAACTAAGCAAACGTGGCTTCGGTACGCTACAGACCTTTATACCTGAAGAAGAAAACACACCTTGTTACTGAGGAATTTCTCTAAGAGGAACAATCCACAGTCTCTCCGGTCTTCATCAGCGGCCACTTCGTATTCTGCCTGATGACAGAGACGGGAGACATCTGGATTCCTCCGGCTGACCGGACAGGATTGGGGCGGGCACAGGGCAGGATCAGCACTGCAGGCCAGTGTCTATAGCTCTGGGGCGTTAGTCAGGTGGAGGCGGCTTTCCCAAGGCTCCTGACGGAGCAGAGCAGCGCCCCAGGGGACTGTGAGGTCAGAGGCCAGCCCAGACGGCTGCAGGGGGATGATGGCGTTCAGGAGGGTGCGAGTGGAAGTCCCAGGTGGGCAACACAGGCGGCTCCCACGCTGCCGCTGCCGGGGAGGGGCTGCCGAGGGGGAGACACCCCACAGGCCAGGAAACAAAAGACAGGTCAGAAGTGGACCTGAGCCACACCCAACCCCTTCCAGGGGATGAGCCCAGAAGAGACGGAAAAGAAGACCAGAGGGGAAGGCTGGAGGCCCTGAAGCCCGGAGAGGGCTTCCGGACGAGGTGCCTCCACGCTGTCCCTGGTCGCAGAGACTCGTGGGAGGGCCTGTGGCACCCAGGTCTTTGTGAGCGAGAGGCCCTGGAAGAGCAGGGAGGCGCTGAAGGCCCTGGGCCCTCCCAGGCCTAGCACAGGGGGCGACCACCAGTGGGCACCGGGCAGACCACCTCCCCGCCCCGGGGTTCAAGGACATCGCGTGGGTCCTGACTGCAACTGGCCACCGTTCACTGAAACTTTAGATTTGGGTTCTGGCGTCCTGAGCCCGGGGTGGCAAGTGTTGTAGAAAGCACAGCGCTGCGACCCTGGGCTCGCACTGAGCGCCCACACTCAGTCGCCCCGAGACCCTCCTCAACAACCCGGGTGGGCCAGAGCAGAGCTGAGGCTTCCTTGGAAAAATTCTGCCAGGGGACAACAGCTCACCCCACTGCTGGAGAGTTCCAGCTGCCCCTGCCGACGGCCCCCTACGGACCTCAGACTTTCTAGTCGGGCTTCACAAACGCGTGAGTCAATCCCTTGCAGTAAATCTCTTCCTCACTCTAATAACTGGAAGCGCCCACACATTTAGGATATGGTAGGCATCTCGGGAGAGAGCCCCCCATCAGTGCGCTCTCTAATAATTGAGAACACAGTTTCCTGCCTAGAAGGATATCACAGTAACTACTGCCCAGGACGCGGGAGGGTGCGGGAAGACGTGTCGCTCACAGTAACCGCCCTCACGTGCTAGCTCTGGGGACACTGGCCTCACGGGGCTGCGCCTGAGTGTGCAGCACACAGGGTCTGCTGGGGAGAGCGGGAGGACGCGCTTCAGGCGGCCAAACAAACACTTCCCACAAACAGGCCAGCCAGCCAGCGCGCCTCTGCGTGAAGGCCCCGTGCCCCGCGGGGCCTCTGCGGGGACAAAACAGCGCTGACACACAAGCGTGTCCGCTCCAACACCGTCCAACCAACCATCGGGGCCTCGTCTTAGCTTTCAATTTTCAGAACAGGGTGCCCAGCGCCGAGTGAGCCACTTACCACCGCGTCCAGGAAGGCAACGCACACCCTCAGCTCCGGCCTGGTGTCGCAGAACTGCCGGAACAGGAGCCGCCCTATTGGCTGCTTGTCACAAAGACTGCCGTAGTCCCTCTCTGGGGGGAGAGGGAGGCAGTCAGTCTAGTTGCTGCAACTCGGAAGGGACTTTTCCGGGCCCTCCTGTTCTGCCCCACGCAGTGCCAGCTAGAAACTGTATTAATCTGCTGTCTACTCAGACCGGGCCACTGTGGACATCTACAAGACCGAGGCAGAGCCCCGGACTCAGAGGAAGCGTCGGGAAGGGCCTGCTGCCGCCAGGAGGGCACCACGCACCGGTGGACTTCCTCAGCTCACTGCACTGGCTGACGGGCGGCAGCTTCAGCATCTCCTTCCACTTCTTACTACGGCCACTTTTTCTGCCATAGCCTCCTGCAGTTGGGGGAGAAGGCACTTTGTAAAGGCACCAAAAATATCCAATTACAAAAACTACTTTTCTGGAGTGCCCCGCCACGGACTAACATCACCGCGCGGTGACACTGGTGAGAACAGATGCCCGGGCCAGGCTGGGTGTGACTGAGGCTCCGAGGATCCCGGCTCCAGCGTCCAAGAGCCAGGACCGCTCGAGAGGCCCGCGCACCTGGAGGGGCCAGCGCCGGCGGACACGGAGGCTGTGGGCGCTGGAGAGGTGGCAGGCGCAGTCCCAGGGTGAAGGGTGCCGGGCCAGCCTCGCACCTCACTCGCCTCTCATTGCGCTGTGTCCACTGTCCTCGCCCCGCCTGAGGCCCTGAACCAGCTGCCCCAGGAAAACTGCAGCCCCAGCCACAGAGCGCCTGCGTTGGTCCTCCAAACCGCCCTGTCCACACGGCCGTCCTCCTGGCCAGCTGCTTCCCCAGGCCAGCCAGTCCCTTCTCCGCGGCGCTGAGGTGCCTTTAGGAAGGACACGGTCCGGCAGCACCAGCAGACAGGCCGCAAGCAGGAGGGGCCCCCGGGGCAGGCTCCGGCCAGGCTGCAGGCGCCGTGGAGGTGGGGCCCGGATGCAGGTGAGGGGGCCTCTGGCCCCAGGCCCGCGTCCTGGCAGGAGCAGCGAGGGCCCTGCCAGGCGGCCTCTCCCTGCCAGGCGGCCTCTCCCTGCGCGCACAGGGAAGGTGGCGCTGCTGCTCCGGGACCAGACTTGGCCAGAGGGAACCGCCTCGCTTGTCAGCCTCGACTCGGACCTCCGCGGAGTCTCGCCGCTCACTGCTCACTGATTTATAGGCGATCGAGTGAGCGAAGTGCCAATGATTTACCTTAGACTCTGATTTACCTTAAAGTCTTTGGAAGAAAAATAAAGTCGTGTCACATCAAAAAACTAGGCGTTGTGCCCACCTAGCACCTCCCCGGGTGGGCTCCCGCCGCACTCCCCGAGCTGTGGATGGCAGCAGACGGGCGATGGCCGTGTCACTGACCCTCTGCCCCCAGGGGTGGCCAAATGCAGCGCTGCCTTGCGCCGCGCCTGGGAGCTGACCACGGCCTCGCGCGCACATGAAGTGAAACATGCTCCGTGCTCTCTGGATGTGATTTTAACTTTCTCTGGAACCATCTTTTAATCCTCCTTGGTCCTGGCCAAGCTGCCTCAACCCGCCGCCTGGCCCAGCGGCAGCGCAGACCCCGCTTCTGGGTGGGTGGGGCTCCGGCGCACAGCCGAGCAGAGGCAAGGAGGGAGCACGACGCCCCGCGGACCAGCTGTGTGCCTCCTCAGCCCAGGGAGCGCGGGCCTAGCTGCATGCTTCACAAACACAGCTTTCCAGAAAATCCAGTTCGTGCTTTGTCCTTCTGTGCAGCCCCACATTTTGTCAAGAATGTCAAACAGGGGCCTCCCTGGTGGCGCAGCAGTTGAGCGCTGGGTTGCAAAGCTGCCCCCCCCCCCCCCCCCGCATGGCGCGCAGCCCTCTCCTGCCGCCCGCTGCTCCCCTCAGCAGTGTCCTTCGGTCCTTCTGCCTGCTCTGCTCCCCGCTCTGGCTCTGGTGAATCCTCTCACCCTCCCGCGCTTCTGACTGTACCCAGTGCTTGTATAAATAAATAAATAAATAAACCTTAAAAAAAAAAAAAAAGAAGTGGCTCCCGAGGGCGGAGCCTGGGCCATGATGGACGAAGGATAGGAGGTTGGGCGTCCACCCAGAGGGCAGAACCAGGTTCCTACCGAGGTGCGGGACTCCACTCCCAGGGCCCACGGAGGGGCCTCCATCCTCCCCCTTCCTAGAAGGGGGTCTTGCAGGTCCCCTGCTCGGCTGCCAGGCCCTCCATAGCACACCCAGGGAAGGCCGTCTGCAGCTTAAGGAAAGCCGCTGGCCCTCGAGGAGAAACCCAGCCCCAGGCTATTCTCGTGCTCGAGTTCGGGCTTCTGACCCTGTGCAGAAGTCGCTGACTTAAGCTTTGCCCGCCGGGCCTCAAGGCTGTGGTCTCAAGCAGACACACCACCAGCCTCAGGGCTGGGTAGAGCCCGGCTCCCCTCACCCCCACTTTGCTTAACACAGATGGCTGGCGCCCCGCCCTCTCCCTGTGCTTCAAAGCCCCACGCTTCTGTTTTAAATTCACCTCTAAAGAGTGAGCCTGTGACACTGCAGGCCCTACGGCCCCCAGGCCTGCGCTTACTGAGCAGCCAGCACGCGCCAGGCGCTGCTCCGGCGCAGAAGACTCAACGGCGAAAGACAGACGACACGTCCATCCTCTTTTAAGCGGCATTTCAGGCAAGACCAGGGAACAAAAATAAGCAAAACGCGCAGCACAGTAGGTAAGTGCTACAGAAAACCAGGAAGGAAATCAGGCAGTGAAAGGGGCACCATTTTCAAGTCAACTTTATTTCTTAAGTAAGTTTTAGACTTAGAGAAACGAAGGGGAAAGCAGAGCCCTACATGCCCTCCCACATGCACAGCCCCCACCCTCAGCACCCCCTGCCGCGGACCAGCACAGCAGGAGACGATGAGGCCGTCTCAGGGTTGAGAGAAGCGCGCAGGGTGGTCAGGGCGTCGGCGAAAGAAATGACACACAGACACACTTCAAGAGAGTGAAAATCTGAGTGTAATTTAATTTGAGTTGGTGACCAGCATATGTATGTTCTCTAAAGGCATAGGAAAGGCGAGCATCAGTGAAGAAATCCGCTTGCTTATAGGTTTAGCTTATCATTGACAGGGCAGTGATCTACACCTGGGCCCAGGCGCAGTCCTAAGTAGTTAGGGTATTCATTTTTCTTTTTATTTTATGTGATTACTTTTTTGTTTTAACTACTCACTACCACTAAATTACTATTAATTAGCACGGGTGAGTTTTACTTTTCACAATGTAATATTTTTATCATTAAGATTAATGCTAACAGGGCCTCCCCGGTGGCGCAGCGGTTGAGCGCTGGGTTGCGAAGCTGCCCGCGGCCTCTGCGGCGCCGGTTCGATCCCCGGCTGCTCCCCGGCCACCGGAGGAGGGTCCCACATGGCGCGCAGACCCCTCCTGCCGCCCGCTGCTCCCCTCAGCAGTGTACTTCGGTCCTTCTGCCTGCTCTGCTCCCCGCTCTGGCTCTGGTGAATTCTCTCACCCTCCCGAGCTTCTGACTGTACCCAGTGCATGTATAAACAAAACAAACAAACAAACCAGCAAACAAATAAATAAAGCATGCCTCTATAAAAAAAAAAAAAAAGATTAATGCTAACAAGGCTAAGCATACAACAGAGAGATTATTAAGCTAACGGTTCTATTAATACGCAGAGTTTAGGGCCTCCCCTGATGGCGCAGGCGGTTGAGCACTGCACTGCGTAGCTGTCCGCAGCCTCGGCAGAGCCGGTTCGATCCCGGCCGGCCGGTGATGGTCCCGCATGGCGTGGCAGACCTCTCCTGTCGTGCCCGCTGCTCCCCTCAGCTGTGTGTTTCATCAGCCTGCTTGTTCTGTTCCGCGCTCTGTCTCTGGTGAATCCTCTCACCCTCCCGTGCATCTGGCCTGCACCCCAGTTCTTGAATAAATAAATAAATCTTTAAAAAAAAATACGCAGAGTTTAGTAACGTTTCATTTGAATTAGCCTAGTTATTAGATTTTGTATGTTTTTTTTTAATCAGCAACCAGTGACCTTTTTAGACAGAGAAAGAGAAAAGATTTTAGAGAGACAGTTGTAGTAGAATAAAGTTTGTGGGCCTTGAGTAGGCGAGATAAGGTTCCGTGTGGTCAGCATTCCTGTAGTGGCTCCTGGGGGTCATTATCTTTCAACAGGCTTCCGTCTTATCTATGTCTTCGGGGGGTTTTGCTGTTCTCCCCCTGCGCGCTGGTTCCTTGACAGCCGGACCTAGGGACCGAGGCGAAAGCTATTAGCCCTAAAGGTCACTGCAGGGGGAGGTGCAGCACCCCCACAGCAGCGGTCCCTTTATTGTGCCCGATGAGTCTGCAGAGGGCAAACATCAACCAAAGTCCCAGGGCCTCCTGCAGTTGGCACATCGGGTGGTCGGGGGTTGGGTGAACGCAGACAGCAGGCATCCTCTGCCGCAGGACCACAGAAGCCACAGACCCCAGGGCCTCCCCGGTGGCGCAGCGGTTGAGCGCTGGGTTGCGAGGCTGCCCGCAGCCTCTGCGGTGCCGGTTCGATCCCTGGCTGTTCCCCGACCACCGGAGGAGGGTCCCGCATGGCGCGCAGACCTCTCCTGCCGCCCGCTGCTCCTCTCGGCGGTGTGCTTCAGTCCTTCTGCCTGCTCTGCTCCCCGCTCTGGCTCTGGTGAATTCTCTCACCCTCCCGCGCTTCTGACTGTACCCAGTGCTTGTATAAACAAAACAAACAAACAAATAAATAAAACATGCCTCTATTAAAAAAAAAAAAAGTTAAAAAAAAAAAAGAAGCCACAGACCCCAAATGCTCTTCGCCTTTTCAACTCTCCCTCTCTCCCAAGTCCTGGCAGCCACGTCTTGGTTGCCGCAAGTTTTGGGAATAACAAACCACCACTGGAAAGGTTGGGTTTTTATGTGGACAGAGACTGTCCACTCCTTTGGGTAAACACTAGGGAGCGTGACTGCTCAGCTGGGCAGTGTTTCATTTTCCCTCTGAAACCAACCGTCCCAAGTGGCTGCACCACTTCTGACAGCGCGAAGGGGCCTTCCTGGGATGCCATGCCCTTGTCAGCATTCATGGTTGTTTCGATTTTGACCATCAGAACAGGCACATGGTGGCCTCGTGCATCTCCCTGGCACGCCATCCTCTTCCGTCGGCTCTCTGGCCAGGTCTCACTGCATTTGTTAAGTGTCTGTTCAGATCTTGCCTTTTTTTTTTTTTTAAGATTCATTCATGCACACAAGAACTGGGGTACAGGCCAGTGGTACAGGGAAGGGGTGAGAGGCTTCACCAGAGACAGAATGGGGAGCAGAACAGGCAGATTGACCTAAGTACACTGCTGAGGGGAGCAGCGGGAAGACAAGAGAGGTTCGCTGCGCCATGTGGATCAGCTCCCTGGCAGGGCTGCAGGGGCTGCCGACAGCTCCATAGTGCTGAGGCTTAAACCCTGCGCCCCCAGGGAGGCCCGCTTTGTGTTTTATGTGCTTTTTCTAAACATGTGGATACCCAGTTGCTCCAGCGCCATTTTGTTGAAAAGCCTATCTTTGTTCCATTGTAGTAACTTCGCTCTTTCGTCAAATCCAAATGACTCTATTTGAGCCCATTTTGGACTCCATTCTGTTCCACTAATCTATTCCTTATCACTGTAACATCATAGCAAATTTTGAATTTGACTAATTGAAGTTTTTTTTGGTTCCCACAAAGCATTAGAATCAATCTGCTGATATCTATGAAATAACTTGCTGGAACTATGAGTGGGGGTTACGCTGTCCACAGACCAAGTCTTGATCTTTCTTGACATTGTGGAGTTTTTCTATCCATGGACACTGAATTTTCCACTTAGTCTCTCTTTGGTATCTCTCATCAGAATTTTGGAGTCACAGGGCCTCCCCTGGTGGGGCAGGCGGTTGAGCGCTGCCCTGTGAAGCTGTCCGCAGCCTCGGCACCGCGGGTCCAATCCCGGCCAGCCGGCGAGGGTCTCACATGCGCCGCAGACCTCTCCTGTCTCGCCCGCTGCTCCCCTCAGGAGTGTGTTTCGGTCTGCCTGTTCTGCTCCCCACTCTGTCTCTGGTGAATCCTCTCACCCTCCTGCGAATCTGGCCTGTACCCCGGTTCTTGTATAAATAAATAGACAAATAAATCTTTAAAAAAAAGATTAAATTTAAAAAAAGAATTTTGGAATTACAAAGCTCTTGTGCATATTGTTAGATTTTAAGTATCTCAGTTGGAGGGAGAGGTGCTAAGGTAAATGGTAATATTCTTAGTTTCGAATTTCAATTGCTCATTGCTGGAATCTAAGAGACTTTACATTACCTTGTGTCTTTCAACTTGGCTGTAACCACTTCATCTTGTTGATTCTTTCAGATTTTCTACAGAATCATATCACCTGTGAGCAGTTTTATTTCCTTCCCAATCTGTACACCTTTTACTTCCTCTTGAGTCATGCCACACAAGCCAGGACTCCCAGCACAGTGGGAACAAGCAGTGACAAGAGGGAACATCCCTGGCGTGTCCTGCCTACCAGCATGCTGCGTTTCTATTAAGTACAATGATGGCTGCCAAGTTCCTCAAATTGAGGAAATTCCCCTCAGTTACTAGTTGCTAATTCTTTCATGAATGGCCGCATTTTGTCAAGTGCTCTTCCTGCATCCATTGATATGACATGATGTTTCCTTAGCCTGTTGATGTCATGGTTTAACTGATTTTCAACTGTGGAGCTGACCTTGCATACCCGGGGAAACTGCCCAGTGACTGCAGCATGTAACTCTCCGTACACAATCTTGCACTTGACTTGCTAGTCCTCTGTTGAGAATTTCTGCATCTGTATTCACGAGGTATCGCTCTATGCTTTTCTTGTAATGTCTTCTCCTGGTTTTGGTATTACGGTAACGCTGGCCTCGTAATGAGGCAGGAAGCAGTCCCTCTGCCTCTACAGATGCAACTTCTTACCTAATGTTTGGTACTATTTACCAGTTAACCCATCTAGGCCTGGTGTGCTTGCTCTGAAAGGTTAATTACTGACTCAATTTATTTTTTTTAAAAGGTTTATTTATGCATGCAAGAGCTGGGGTGCAGGCCAGAGATGCGGGGGCAAGGGGTGGGGGGAATGAGAGGATTCACCAGAGACAGAGCGGGGAACAGAACAGGCAGACCCACTGAAATCCACTGCTGAGTGGATCAGTGGGCGAGACAGGAGAGGTCTGCTGCGCCCTGTGGGTAGCTCCCTGGCCAGGGATCAAACTCATGCTGCAGTGTCTGGAGATAGCTTCATAGTGCAGTCTTAACCCCTTGTGCCACCAGGGAGGCCCTGACTCAATTTATTTCAACTGGACAATTTATATTATCCTCTCCTTGTGCAAGTCTTGATCATTTTCTCTTTCAAGGAATTCATTCATTTCATCTAATAAACAAAACTGCATTCAGTTGTTCATAACATTCCTTTATCCTTTTAATGTCCGTAGGGTCTGCAGTGCTGGCCCCTCTCATATCTGATACCAGTGATGTCTTTTTTCAGTGACCTTCGCAAGAATGTTCGAGACTTTATCAATTTCTCAAGAAATTTTTGATTTCCTGCTGTTTCTGCTTTATTACTGCTTTTCTTCTACTCTGAATTTGATTTTTCTATTTACCTAAAGCAGAAGTGTAGATTCAGAGTCTTCTCTAATAGCTGCAGTCAAGGCTATACACATCCCTCCAAGCACTGCTCATTTGTCTTGATGTTTCATTTTCATTCAGTTCCAAATATCCAATTTCTCCTGAGATGTCTCTGACCCATTTGTTAAAAAGGTGCTGTTTAATCGCCACTTAGGTGTTTTTAGCTATTGTTGATTTCTAGTTTAACTCCACTGGGCATGAGATGTTGTGACTGCTGTTCTTCTACACTGGCCAAGTGTATCGTGTGGCCCCCAAAGGGGTCTACCTTGGAGAATGTTTCATGTGTGTGAGGAAAACGTGTAGAATATTCATCTATTTCTCCTAACAGTCCTGCCAGGTCTGCCTTACGTATTCTGACGGCGTTACTAGGCCACACACACTAAGGATCGCTGTGTCTTGGGGAACTCACCGCTCTATCATTACGTAATACCCCTATTTACCCTCCACACTTTCCTTGCTACGCATAAGCTGTCTGTGTCACGCAGGCGCTCTCCCTGCTCCTGCACAATGTCTCTGCGAGGAGCGGTGACCGACGGGCACGGAATAAGGGCCGCAACCGTAAGAACGGCCCGTCCTCTCAACCGGGGAAAAGCGCACGCTCTACATTCCGAAAGAAACACGCGTGCCTGGCCTGCTGCTGAGGTCATCATTTCTGGCTGACCCTGCTGCTACTGTTAGAGATGAACACACGTACATATGTGTGCGTGTACACGCGCACATACATGTATTTCGAGAAGGGGACTGCTGGATGTGTCACAAGTATGATGGAACATTTTATTAACGATTTATAATGACTTTATGAACAATAAAAACACTCAAACAAGCAGCGACGTGCAGGGCCCTCTAGCACTCCAGAGACGGGGTTTGCTCTTTAATTCCAGGCATTAGTCCGAAGGGTCCCCGCGACCTTGCCCCCTGGTTGCTGTCGGCACCCACCGGCTTCCGGGCGTGTGCGCTCTTGTCCGCGGCCCCTGCGGAGCACCTTAGACAGGAGCACGGAGGCGGGCGCTGGTGCCACACAAGCAGGCCCGAGTGGCCCACGTGTGCCCAAGCAGCCACAGCCCACCCTGGCACCACCACGGCCCGGGGACCGAGTGACCAAGGCTCCCCAGCAGCATGCACAGCCCCCAGAAAAGATAGGTGAAGTGGAACACGATGGAGAAACAAGATCGTGCCAGAGAAGAGAAATGGCCAGCGGCGTGGAGCACAGAGCTGCGGGCAGGAGCCACCGCGCGAAGGGAAAGAGCAGGTGGGGGTGATGCAGAAAAGACCTGTGTCCCGGCAGCATGAGAAATGACGCACAGAAACGACGTCCGGGAGCAGAGCCACCAGGCAGGAAACGCCGAGTTAAGTCTTCCGGGACAAAACTGAAACTCCCGTTTTGAAACTATCCCCATGGGCCTCAGCTTTGTTAGAAAAACCTGGGCTTACGTTATGTGACGTGCATGGAGTGCTGGATTTACTGTCTCATCTCTGCAGCACTGCGAGGAAGCTGGCTGGGGACACGTCCCCCATGTGCACCTCACACCAGGTGTGGGGAGCAGAGTGGGAAGGAGGCAGGTCAGCTCAGACCCAGTTTCCCTGGAAGATGAGTCACTTCTACGGTTGATGTGGGACAAAGCGCTCCCCCCAGACAGATGTCAAGAGCACGTGTGAAGGGTCCTCCCTGGGGGTGCAAGGGGTTAGGCATCAGCACTAGGAAGCTGTCCACAGCCACCACAGCGTGAGTTTGATTCCTGGCCAGGGAGCTGCCCATGTGGCGGGGCAGACCTCTCCTGTCTCCCCCGCTGCGCCCCGCAGCAGTGTTTTCAGTCAGCCTGCCTGATCTGTTCCCCGCTCTGTCTCCGGGGAGTCCTCTCACCACCACCCCCGTCCTGTGCCTCTGGCCTGCGCCCCAGCTCTTGTGCGCATAAATAAACAAAGCTCTAAAAAAGAACCCACGTGAAGACCCTGTTCTCCTCCCAGTCATGCTTGGCCCTGCTCAAGCTAGTGCTCGAAGGTAGGAAGGTGAGGCCTGTGTTTCCAACTTGCAATGCTGACAAAGTGGAAGTCTGCTACTTAATTCCAGATCCTTCCATCTAAACCCTGAGTAACTCTCCACGGGTACAAAGCGCCTTCTATCAAGAGCTTCCCCCTAGAGATCACTGAGGACACGGGGGACTGGACGGGTGGGGGAGGCGCAAAAAAGAAACAAAATCCTGGGCGTCCCTGGTGGCCTCGGGTTGGTCTCAGCGCGATGACCACTGCGCCGAGCTCGACGCCCGGCCAGGGAGCTGCCCTCAGGGCGCCGCAGACCCCTCCTGCCTCCCCCGCTCCCCCAGCACAGGGTTTCCGTGGGTTCGCCCGTTCTACTCCCCGCCGTCTCGGGGGAGTCCTCTCACACAGAGCGCCCCCACCCCTAGCCTGCACCCCACTTCTCCCTCGCAGAAACAAATAAAATCTCAAAAAAAACCAACCCAAAGACCTGGAACTCGAGCTCCGGGCGGCGATCGCGACGCGGGCAGGCGGCGGCACCGGAGCCCTCGCGGCGCCCGCGGCCAGCGCGGAGGGGCCGTCCCGGGGCGCAGGGCCCGCCGCGCCGGCCGGGGCCGGGGCACCCACCTTGGCGCGCCTTGAGCAGCAGCGCGTTGGCCAGGAGGCTCTCCAGCTCCAGGCGCCGCCGCCGCCGCCGCCGCCGCGGCCCGCGGCCCGCACGACGCGGCGAGGCCGGGCCGGGCGCCGCCTCCGCGCTCCGCTGGCCGGACGCCTCCAGCCCGCCGGGCCCCGCGCCGGGCCCGGGAGCGCCGCCCCGCGGCCGCCGCCGCCGCCACGGCCAGCACCCGACCCGCCGCCTCGGGGCCCGCCGCCGCCTCGGGGCCCGCCGCCGCCTCCGGGCCCGCCGCCGCCTCCGGGCCCGCCGTCCGGGCCGGCGAGCCGGGCGCGGGGACTCCGGGCGCCGGCCGCCGCGGGCCTCCGCGCTCACCGCCGCCGCGCCGGGGCCGCCGGAGCCCTCGCCCTCGCCGCGCGCGCGCAACGCCCCCGGCCGCCCCGCCGCCCGCCAACGGCTGCCGGCACCCGGGCCGCTGCCGCCGCGCCCTGAGGCGGCTGTGGGGTCGCGCGACCGCGCTCCCGGCGGCCGCGCGGCGGGGCGCGCTGGGAGTTGTAGTCCGGGCGCCACCGGAAGTGGCGGCGAGCGCCGGCCTTACGCGTCGGCGGCTCGCGGGCGGCGCGGCGGGCGCGGGGGGCTCTGGGAGTTGTAGTCCGCGCGCTGCCGGACGCGCCGGGATCGCGTCGGGAGCGGCGGCCGCACGTGTCGGCGGCGCCGGGTCTGCGCGCCGGGCCGGGCGGAGGGGCCATGGGCAGGGCCGGGGCGGCCGGGGCGCGCCAGGCCCCCGGGGGCCCGGCGGGAGCGCGGGGCGGCCGGCCGAGGCCCAACCCCAACCCGTTCGAGGTGAAGTTCAACCGGCAGAAGTTCCCGGTGCTGGGCCGCAGGACGCGCCACGACGTGGGGCTGCCCGGGGTGTCGCGCGCGCGGGCCATCCAGAAGGTGAGTCCGGCCTCGGGGCCCGCGGGCAGCCCCGCGTCGGGCCCGGGACGCAGACCCCGCCCGTGGGGCCCCCGCCGCCGGGCCCGGGCCCGGGCCGGGCTCGCGCGCCCTCCCCGGCGTGGCGCGCGGAAGCGGGGTGCGGCGGAGCCCCAGGGCGGGCCGGCCGGCCGGTGGCCCTTCCCAGGCGGGTCACGCCCCAGCCCTGAGGCGCGAGCGGAGCAGAGGGCGCGCAGCGGAGTCCAGGCCTTGTCCTGCGAGTGGCGGGCGTGGACAGCTGCCGAGGCGCCGGCCAGGGCAGGGCACGCTGCTGGGCGGCCCCAGGAAGTGAAAGGCTGTCCCGGGTGCCCTCGTTCCGCGGTGGCACTTTGTGGGGACCCTTGATGGGGGCGGGTCGAGGCTTGGGCAGAGACGCCAGGCGGCTGGCGCAGCCGGCGCTCCCGCAGAGCCTGTCTCCGTGTTCTGAACTCAGTGCCCACCACCGTCCCTGCAGCTGCCCCTGGGGGGGGGTGCGGACACCCTGCGGAGTGTGCCTCGGATCCCCGCCCCCAGCCAGGGTGTTGCTGTTTGGCAGGAAACAGGCAAGGCGCTGTTCCTACCTTTCTCAGGCTAGAAGCTGTGGAGCCCAGACCGGGATCCCAACTCCAGTGACCTTCACTGACCAGGCAGTCCCCAGGCTGGCACAGCAGGCCAGCTCCACCTCCCAGGCCACATGCCCCCTAACTGCCAGTCCTAGCTGGGAGTGGTGGTGCGAGCTGGTGGGCTTCAGGGTCCACAGCTCAAGGCCGCATGCACTTGCCCCTGAGTGCCCCAAGAGTGCTGTGAGCGTTGGTTTGGGGTTGCAAGTTCACAGATACGGAGTCAGCGGATAGGCAGGGAGGCTGTACAGATCACAGCAGGTATGTGACCAGCACCGAGAAAGGCTGCTGCGCCCGCCTGTGCCGCTCACGTTGTCCTGGAGGCCCGGTGTTTCTCAGGCAGCCCCGGGCCCGCATGCACCTGCGCCTAGGCGGGGCCTTTCACCTGATGGAGTGTCTTGTTCTCTGACTGGCTTGTCAGCTGTGGAAGTGCTGGGTGCCCTGAGCCCTGGGTGCCAGCCGTTGGGGCACAGCGTCAGCAGGACCTGACTGAGGTGGCCTCGACCTGTTTTCCAGCGCATGCAGACGCTGCTCAGGGAGTACAAGGAGAGGGACAAGGCCAGTGTGTTTGCGGACAAGCGCTTGGGGGAGTACGACAGCGGCCTCACCCCCGAGGAAGCGATGACGAAGAGGTTTGCGCTGGAGCAGCAGGTAGGGACCAGCGCACTGGCTGGCGTGCCCTCTCGGCGCACTGGTGCAGCCCTGAGCCCTCTGCCGGCAAACATGGAGGGTGGGTGAGCCTGGGATGGTGGGTGAGCCTGGGATGTAGCGTGGTGGCGGTGCATGCCTGGGGGTGTGCCCCAAGCTGGCCCCTCAGGCAAGCCTGCCTCCCGCGGGGCCGGCCGCATCACCCAAATGGGCCAGGGGCTCCGGCTACCTTGGTTGCATCGTCAGGGTTCATGAGGAACGGGAACGTATTGGGTTTCACTGTTAAATGGCCGTGGAATTTTAGGGAACTGATTTCCCCCCTTTCATTGGCCAGCGACAACATGAAAAAAAAAGTATCTACAACCTGAACGAAGATGAAGAGCTGACCCACTACGGCCAGTCTCTGGCAGACATGGAGAAGCACAATGACATCGTGGACAGCGACAGCGACGTGGAGGACCGGGGGACGCTGTCGGGTGAGCACAGGAGGCGGGAAGGGGGCGGCCCCCTGAAGCCCTTCCGCCTGCCCTTTAGGCCGGCTCTGGGTCAGGCTGTTGCGGGTTTCCCCTCGGCCCCTGCCAGGGATGTGAGGCCGGAGGGCGTGCAGCTGCCCTGGCCCTGACTTGCCACCCGCCCCCCGCCTGTCTTCCATGTGGCCTGAGCGCTGCCCTTGGCGTCTCAGATGCTCAGCTTGGGGCCAGGAGGTGTTTTTCTCTCTGGGCTTTGCTGGAGGGACCCAGCTGTGCTGTGGGGGCTTTTCCTGGTATGTGGAGTCAGTTCTCTGGGTGCAGTTGGGAGGTGCTGGCAGTGCTGCCCCCAGCACTGGTGACGCCCCTCCCCATGCACTCAGCTTCACCCAGGGTCTCTGTCCTCTGTCTCCAGCCGAACTGACCGCAGCCCATTTTGGAGGTGGCAGCAGGCTCCTTGCTAAGAAGGCCCCTCAGCAGCAAGGCAAGGAGGCCGAGAAGCCAAAATCACGCAAAGAACTGATTGAGGAGCTCATCACAAAGTCAAAGCAAGAGAAGGTGTGGAGCGCCCTGGATGCGGTGGCCACAGTGCTCTGAGTCTCTCTGGTCCGAGGCTGTTTTTCCTGTTGACACCTCGGGTGCGGAGTAAGTCAGGGATCCTTGTGTGTGGCCTGCACACTGACGTCAGGCTGCCTTGTCTGTCCTTTCTCCCCAGAGGGAGAGGCAGGCGCAGAGAGAAGACGCCCTGGAGCTCACGGAGAAGCTAGACCAAGACTGGAAAGAGATCCAGACTCTCGTGGCACGCAGAACGCCCAGGCCAGAGGGCAGCAACAAAAAGGAGAAGCCCAAGGTGCGCGTGGGCAGCGCCAGAGCCAGGCTTCGGCCGCCACCTGGCCATCTGTGGGGAGGGCGCCGTGCGGAAGTCTGCCTGTGGCCTCGGCTGGCACCTCTGGTCTCCATATCTGTGAGGGTCTGCATTTACTGCTGCGCTTTTCTGTCAGCTTTCCCACTGCCCGAAGGGAAGAGAAACCTTTCATAAGCCCCTGTGGTGTAAAGCCCAGAGTCAGCGACCATTAGTTTTTATTTTATTTTTTTTTAAAGATTTATTTTACTTATTTATGTATAGAAGAACTGGGGTACAGGCCAGAGGGGCGGGGGTGAGAGGACTCACCAGAGACAGAGTGGGGAGCAGAACAGGGGGATCCACTGAAATGCACTGCTGAGGGGAGCAGCAGGGAGACAGGAGAGGTCTGCTGCGCCCTGTGGGTAGCTCCCTGGCGGGGGACCGAACTCGTGTTGCAGAGGCTGCGGACAGCTTCATGATGCTGAGACTTAACTCCTGCGCCACCAGGGGGCCCCCCCCCACTAGTTTTTTTTTTTTTTTTTTTTTTTTAAAGATTTTATGTATTTATTTATACATGCACTGGGTACAGTCAGAAGCGCGGGAGGGTGAGAGAATCCACCAGAGCCAGAGCGGGGAGCAGAGCAGGCAGAAGGACCGAAGCACACTGCTGAGGGGAGCAGCGGGCGGCAGGAGAGGTCTGCGCGCCATGTGGGACCCTCCTCCGGTGGCCGGGGAGCAGCCGGGGATGGAACCGGCGCTGCAGAGGCTGCGGGCAGCTTCGCAACCCAGCGCTCAACCGCTGCGCCACCGGGGAGGCCCCCCCACTAGTTTTTATATGGGAAGATATTTCAGTGTTTGCAAACCTAAATATAATGTGTTCAATCGTACCAAGTAGCCCACAAAGCCTGAGCTGACAGCGGCGCGTGCACACACGGGGCGCCCGAGTGCGTGTACAGCCTTCCTTCCGGGAAGGGCGGGCTCATCTGGACTGGGCGTGCTGCTGAGCAGACATGACGCTTTGCCCGCTTTTTACCTTTGGGTCTCTGTGAGCAAAGCAGGCGCCAGCACAGGTCTTTGTGACAGTGCAGCGGTGTGCCGCGGGCCTCAACGCGGGGCCGTGCATCTGGCGTGGTGTCCATGTGGATGCCGGTCCTGACCTGTCCTCCGCCTTCGTGGTGCCCCAGAGGTGTGGGCTTCCTGGGGCATGCGTGCACGCCTGCAGGAGCACTCCCCCCCGCCCTCCCCCCACGGCGTCTGGTTCTGTGCACTCTGTCTGGGTTGCCGGGAAAGGCTGCGTCATCTGAGTGCCTGGCTTCGAGAGCCGAGAGCTTCACCAGGTCACCTCAAGCCATCTCGAGTCACCCTTCTGTCCACCCCAGCACCTTTGGGGGCTTATCGCATAGGTGAGCTGCATTTAGTTTTGTTAAAGCAGATTTTGAGAAGAATTTTCTAGCAGAGGCCCAGTGATCACAAAGCATCCCGAAGACCGGTCCCTGAAGACGAGCCTGGCAGGGCACGTGCAGCGTCTCTGTGGCGTCCAGCCGGCTGCACACATCTGTCCTTAACAAAACGCTGAGCGTCGACAATTTCCCCCCGCTGCCCTAGCCTGATGCGTACGATGTGATGGTGCGTGAGCTCGGCTTTGAGATGAAGGCGCAGCCCTCTAACAGGATGAAAACCGAAGAGGAACTGGCCAGGGAGGAGGAGGCGCGGCTGCGGGGCCTGGAGGTGAGGCCTGCGCCAGTGCCACAATGCTTATTTTATTTTTGTTGAAGTCTCCCACCTGCTGCTCCTGGACTGAACCCAGGACGCAGCCCGGTGGCTGGGGCACCCCCTGCAGGCCTAGCCCTGAGGCTGTGCTTCCTCCTGCCCAGGCTGAGCGGGTGAGGCGCATGCTGGGCCAGGACCAGGATGCGTGCGCCAGGAGACCCCCCCACGCTTCGGCCGATGACCTGAGTGACAGCTTCGTCCTCGATCACGACGACAGGCGTCTGCTTTCTTACAAGGTAAGGTGCTCCCTTAGCTTTCTTTCCTTCTTCTTGCTATTGAGAACCTCCCTGTCACTGCATTTAGGAGATGCTGGCCACGGGTGGACCTCGTACCTCTAGAAGCGGTTTCTCCGCTGGGGATGCCGTAGGCCCTCCACCCGGGAGCGGGAGTGGATGAAGGAGGAGGCCCAGCGCCAGTGCCGCGCCGGCACCAGGCTCGCAGCCCACGCAGACAGGGGAGAGGCTCGCCCCGCGCGCGTGGCATTTCCACAGGGTCACAGGAGGCCGTGGCCCACTCCCGGCGGTGTCCATCCTCTGTGCCCAGGATGGAAGGATGGACGTGGAGGAAGAGCCAGGCCAGGATGCCAGTGACGGCGAGAGAGAGGAGCAGGGGGGCGAGGACTCGAGCGAGGACGACGCAGAGCAGAGCAGTGGCCCGGACAGCCACTCGGACTTGGACTCGGACCTGGACTCGGACGCAGAGAGCGAGGAGCGCGGCGAGGCGCCCAGGGGGAGCGTGCCTGGCGAGGACCCTGGCGCTCGGGCTGCGGCCGGCACAGAGCTGCCCTACACATTCGCAGGTAGGCAGACGCGGGTGTCCCGGGCTTGGGGGTGACCACGCCCCGGCCGCGCGCCTTCTGTGCTGGGCTGCGGTCTGGAGTGGAGCCGAGGATGCACGCTAGACGCGTAGACACATCCCCGTCCACGTGACCACGGGCAGTGGGTGGCCACCGCAGGTGAGGACACGCGCCCTCCTGTGGAGTCTTCTGCCTGCCCCGTGGACAGGTGCCCACGAGGCCCAGAGTTGCCTGTGACGCGGCTTCTTCCCTCAGTCCCGGGCGCCCTTGCTCGGCCACGTGTGCCTCCCGGGATGCAGCTGCTTTGTCTGGCGCACAGAGAACCCGCCCCATGACGCAAGCGCCGTCTGGGAGCAGGGCGGCTGGTGAGGCGGGCCTCCACAAGGCGGACGGCTCGGCTCGGGGCTCCTTCCCGCGCCCTCTGACCCAGCCTGACTCGTGGCATGTCGGGACTGAAGCGCATTCTAACCAGAGAAAGTTTGGTTGTCTCTGCTTTGAGCCTGTTCTCGGGTCCTCCCGGTCCTCAGGACGCGCTGGTGCCTGTGGCTTCTTCCCACGTGAGACGAGACCCCGCCTCTGGGAGCTGGCCAGTTCCCTCTCGGGCCAGTAGGCGGGCGGCGTCGTGCTGTCGGCCGTATCGCCGCGTTGTCAGGAGCGTGCGTGACGCTCACTTGGAGCGCTCAGTACGGGTGTTGGTGGTTTGGACAGCTCCCGAGTCTTACGACGCTCTGAAGTCTCTGCTGTCGGGACGACCCCCGGAAGAGCAGCTCCTGGTGGTGGAGAGAATCCGGAAGTGCAGCCACCCCAGCCTGGCAGTGGGGAACAAGGCCAAGTTAGAAGTAAGCCGCAGGGGCCCCGGCTGGGGAGGGGTGGCTCCGGCAGCAGAGGCGTCGCATCAGTCATCGGTGGGGCGGACATGCCGACCAGGCCCGCGGTAGACCCAGGAAAGGCGCCGTGCCCTTGGGTGCAGGGAGCGCGCCTCACCTGCCTGTGGCGACGAGCACACATTCACTCTGCTCTGAGTAAATGCCGAGCGCGTGTGGAGCGGGGCCCCGCGCTGGGCCTCTGCTCCCTGACAGGTCACCGGCTGGCCTGGGGACACGGTCCTCGCGCTTCCCTTCCCGCCCCGCCCGCTCTGGCCAGAGCACTGTGAGCCTGCGGTGGCTCGTGGGTCCCCCTGAGCTGTGCCCACTCACACTCCTGCAGAAACTATTCGGCTTCCTCCTGGAGTACGTTGGAGACCTGGCTACGCGCGACCCGCCAGACCTCACAGTCATCGATAAGTTGGTTGTGTGAGTAAAACGGCTGTCCGCAGCGTGGGCCTGAGCCGAACAGGGTGTGTCCTCTTGGGCCTGGGCGTGCCTTCCCAGTCAGCCAGCCCAGCCCTTCAGCAGCCACGCAGCACCACGAGCGGGACCGCGCCAGGGGTGGCCGCTTGGACGTGTCCTCTTGGCCAAGCCCCCTCGGGCCTCTTCCGGTTATTGGGCGGCTGTTTCACTCACCGGCAGGACCCCTGGCTCTGCTTGGCTGGGCGGAGGTGCGGGGCCTGTGGGTAGCACCCACTGCCCCCGGGAACACCCTGCAGTCCGCACCCCAAGGTGCTGGGGCACCCTCGCGTTAGCACCCCACGGGGTAGGCCCTGCCACATTGCTGGAAGACTGTGCCTCGGGTGCAGGCGGCCTGGGGGCGCACGCCACGTCCTGAAGCCTTGGCCTCCGGGTGCGTTCACACGCCCAACGCCTGGGCCGCGCCGTCAGCCGCTCGGAAAGTTACCTGGGCGACCCAGGCCCGCAAGCGGAAGGCGAGTCCCCGGCGTCAGGGCCCCGGTTCTCGCCTGCTCCGAGGCGGCCCCCAGGAGGACACCAGCACGGAGTTGTGGCGCTTTCCGTGCCGTCCCTGGACGTGGCCTCCTGACTGGCGTTCTGACTCGCAGGCAGCTGTACAGCCTCTGCCAGATGTTCCCCGAGGCCGCGAGCAGCGCCACGAGGTTCGTCCTGCGTGACGCCATGCACGACGTGGAGGAGCTGGTGGAGGCCAAGGGCCGGGCTGCCTTCCCGGGGCTGGATGTGGTGAGCGGAGCGGGTGGTGCCGGGCAGGCGGGGGCGGGCACTGAGGGGTCACTCCCCCCTGCGCTGCCAGGGCAGGCGTGTCTAATAAGAGGAGAAGCCCTGGCTTGAGTCCACGTGACTGGAGCTGTTTGGCGGTAGCAGCAAAGGGGTCTTGAAGCAAGCATGGCGCGTCCCCCAGGAGCCCTGCCCTGCTCTGAGGCGGCGGATCCAGCCAAGGGGGCGCTCTCCGCCCCGGGGCCCAGTCTCCGTCCACGGCTTGCCGCGCTCCCGTAGCGCTGGTCGGTGCTGGAGCTGCTGCCGGAGCAGAAGGGCGAAGTGGGGCTCCCGGTGCCGACAAGCCCCACCGTGCTCGGGGCCGCGTGTCTCGGGAGCTCTCGATGCCCCTGGGCACGCTGGGGCCCTCTGGAGCCCCCACGGCCTGGCTGCCCTGACTGGGACCAGGCTTTTTGGCCCTGACCCTAGCCGGGGTGGGGTGCCCTGAAGCCCCACCCGGGCCCTCGGCCCCTTCCCCGCCTGTCCTGTCCACGTGGGTCGGCTGAGGCGTGTCCACGCGTGTGCGGGACGGTCCCTCCGTGAGCCGCCTTCGCACGGCCCCCACCCGTCTCTCCGCCAGCTGGCGGGCGTCTCGGAGGCCCAGGTGTGTGGGGTGACGGGGCTTCGCCCGGGGCCGCTTTTAGCGAGAACAAGCCAGTGGGACGTGCGGGGTCCTCTTCGCTGGTAGCCACTCTCCTGCCCCGGGGCTGTGCCGGCTGCTCCTGCCTCTGGCCCGGGCCCCCCACCGCTGCGCAGCGCCGCGCTCCCGGCCCGTCCTGCGGGGCCAGGCAGGCCAGGACTCCGTCTCCTCGGCCGCCGTGCGGAGGCTGTTTCTTCCGAGTGGCCCCTTTTCAGAGGTCCCGGCGTGACGCGCGAGGAGGGCAGCCTGTCCGGGGCAGGCTGGCAGCCCGGGTGAAAGGGGCGCCTCCCGGGACGCCGAAGCCATGTCTGCGGGCCGGGCGAGCAGCCAAGGCTGCTCCCGTCACCGTGCGGGCCGTGGGGCAGGCTCCGGGCGGGAGCAGAGAGGTGGGGAGGGCCCAGCTGTGGCCCCCCATCCTTCCCGCTCACAGAGCCCCTGTCCTCCTGCTGGACAGGGAGGGCGGGCTAGAAAGAGGCTCCCCTCCCTTGGAGCTGGCGCCCCAAACAGCTGACAGTGCTGGCTCCAAGCTGCGGCTGGCTGGGGAGGAGGGGCCCCTGCGCCCCCGGCCTGGAGAGGCGGCGCTGGGGTCCTCAGCAGGGCCAGGCTTGCGGGGAGCCCCCTTCCTTGCCCGGAGAGTGAGGGGCGTGTGCGGCCACCATGATGCACGTCTGGACGCTTCGTGGCCTTTCAAGCCCTCGGAGGCCTGGTTTTCGCCAACGCTGCTCCCTTGACGCTGTGGTGCCCTCTGTGTCCAGCTCGTTTACTTGCGAATTACTGGGCTGCTGTTTCCGACCTCTGACTTCTGGCACCCCGTCGTGACCCCTGCCCTGCTGTGCATGAGCCAGCTGCTCACCAAGGTGCGTCGCCCCCCCCCCCGCCGGGCTGGGCCCTGCAGGCGGACGGGGTCCAGAAACGTGGGTCAGCGGGAGGGGCCTGGCAAGGCAGGCGGCGTGGAGGGAAAAGCAGCAGAGCTGGGGGCCTCGGTAGCCCCGGGGGGTGGGGGTCCCTGCCGCCTTCTGTTCCTCTGTCTTAAAGGCGATTCCCTTTCCCTGGTGGGCCAGGAGGGGGCGCCCGCTGCAGGGATCTGCCGCGTGGGGCCGGAGCCCAAGCGCCCGCAGCCTGATGGGCCTCCCGGGGTCCTGCAGCACCGGCTGGCTGCCCTGCTGGGGGGCGGGGAGCGGGGCGCCGGGTGGGTCACCGGCCTGCTCCCCCCGCAGTGCCGCGTGCTGGGCCTGCCTGACGTGGTGAAGGGGCTCTTCGTGTGCTGCACCTTCCTGGACTACGTGTCTCTGTCCCGGAGGCTCATCCCCGAGCTGCTCAACTTTCTGCTCGCCGTCCTCCGCATGGCAGCCCCCGGCGGGCCAGGCCAAGGTGAGCGGCTCGAGGGACCACCCGCAAGAATATTGTGCTTTAACTGTAGAAAGCTTGGGGTGTGCGAGGTGGAAGACAGCCCCCCGCCCCCCCAGGCCCCTGACTCCACTGGGTGGAGCCGCGGCCCCACCTGCTGCCAAGGCGCACGGAGCCCGTGGTCTGGACCGACTGTTGCCAGAGGGGTGGTGTCGTGCTTCAGGCCGAGCAGCGTCTCGCTGAGACTTGTCCATGCGCTTTCTTAGACCCTGGTCCCCTCCCTGTGGGCCGCAAGACTCCGGCCGCCGCAGCGTCGGGCCTCTGTCAGCAGTGGTCAGTGCCACCCTGCGCCTGACGGCCTTCTCTCTGCCCACTGCTCCCTTCCAGTATAACGCCCAGTCTGTTCAAGGCCGGTCTCCTCACGAGGGCAGGCCAGCCCGTCTGGGGCCTGGCCCGCGGTCCTAGAGCCACATGGCGCTTAGTAGGCCCACAGGAAGCACTGGTTGAAAGCAGCCTCCGGCGTGGGGGCAGGCCTGCGTCTGCTGCCCCCCAAAGCTGCCCATCCGCCTGGGGTGGACGTGCGGGCTTCCGTGCAGTCTGCCCGGGCGCTGCAGCCCCTCCTTGCCCGTCGTGCTTGGCATTCAGGTCGCCCCCCAGCACACCCTGTCAAGGCCCTCGGGAAGAGCGCGGAGCTGCTCTTGGTTTCGGATGACGAGGACGTGGCCACGTGGCAGCGGAGCAGCCTTTCCCTCCAGTGGGCGAGCGGCCTGAGGGCCCAGACGAGGACGGAGGCCAACCACGCCAGGTGCGTGCGGCCCGGGCAGACGGTGGGCTCTCCCCTGGGAGGCGGGTCTGCTGAATCTGGCAGGTTGGGGTCACGGGAGGTCAGCACACTGTGCCTCAGGAAGGGCCGGAGCTGGGGGTGAGGGCGCCGAGGAGCAGGGACCTGTGACAGACGGGAGAGGCCAGCAGGCGGGACCGGCCTGGGGGGTGGCCCCTGGGCCTGTGGGGGGCAAGGCGGGGGCCATCCCAGCTTCTGCTTCCCGGTTAGCGAGGGGCAGCGCAGCACCGCCGCGGGGTGTGCAGGGCAGGGGGTGTGGGGTGGCCGCAGGTGTTGGCCACTACCTGCAGCCACCCCAGAACCCGCCTTGCTGGTCAGGGCTGCCGCGCACACTCGCTCCCCACCGCTCCCCTGCGGGCCGGGCCGGCTGGCGCTGGGCCATCGCAGGGGCTTCCTCCGCCCATGCCTGGGCTTGCCTGGCCAGCGGCAAGGACGGGACCCCCTTCTCTGGGGCGCGGTGGGCCGGCGCGCCTCTCCCCGGCTGAGCGAGACCCCCGCGGCCTCCTGCAGGCTGTCCTGCCTGGCCGTGTGCCTGGACCTGCTGCGGCGCTGCGCGCTGACCTACGGCCCGCTGCCCGCCTTCCACGACCTCACCCAGCCCCTCCGGGCGCTCCTGGAGCAGCACCTGGCGCGCGGCGTGCGCCCCCCGGAGCTGCAGGTGAGGGCCCGGCTGGGTCTGTCTGCGCAGCGCCCCTGCCCCGTCCACCCCCACGGCCGGGGCGCGCGCACAGCGTCTGCACGCACACCCCGTTATTTGGCCAGGGGCAGGGGGTTCAGAGGCCTGGGGGGGCCGCGCCCCTGCCGTTTCAGGCGCTGTACCGGAGCGTGTTGGCGGAGATGCGCGCCCAGGAGCGGCGCTACCGGCCGCTGGTGTGCGCGAGGAGCCGGCCCGCGCCCCTCAGGCTCTTCACGCCGCGGCTGGTCAGAGTGTGAGTGCGGGGGGCCGGGGAGGGGGGCCGGGCCGCCCCGCGCGCGCTGACCGCCGCCGCCCGCAGCCTGGAGTCCGGGAGGAGGCAGGGGGGCAGCCGCGAGGAGCAGGAGCGGCGGCGGCTGATCCACAAGCACCGGCGCGAGTTCAAGGGCGCGGTCCGCGAGATCCGCAAGGACAACCAGTTCTTGGCGCGCGCGCAGCTCGCCGAGGCCCTGGAGCGGTGAGGGCGCGGGGGGCGGGCGCCGGGGTGGGCGCGGGCACCGGGGCGGGCGCGGGCACCGGGGCGGGGGCGGGCGCGGGCGCCGGGGGTGGGCGCGGGCACCGGGCGGGGGCGGGCACCGGGGCGGGCGCCGGGGCGGGCGCGGGCACCCCGGGCTCACGCCGGCCGCCCGCAGGGACGCGGAGCGGCGGCGGCGGGTGCAGCGGCTGGTGCAGAGCCTGGCGGCGCAGGAGGGCGAGTGGAAGGCGCTGAGGAGGAGAAAGTCCAAACAATAAACGCGTTTCCCACAGGCCGGCTCCGGCTCTCCCTGCGCGGCGGCGGGCGCGGGGGGTCGGGGGGCGCCGGGGGTGCGGCCGGGGGGCGGCGGCTTCTCGCGGGGGGCCGGGCCGCGCCCAGGTCCCCCTGCCGGGTCCCCAGGGCGGCGGGGCGCCGGCGGGCGGGCGGAAGGGGAGGCGCGGGGCGCAGCCGCTTCCGGGGCGGGGGCGGCCGGGCGCGCAGGGCCGGGCGGGGCGCACTCGGCTCCCGGGGCGCGGGCGGGCGCGCGGGCGGCGGCGCGGGCTAGAGGCGCGGCGTGCGCGGGGCGTGCGCGGGGCGGCCCTCGCGGGGAGGGGGCGCGGGCGGGGCGCGCGGCCCGCCATGGGCTGGGGGGCCGGCGGCAGCTGCACCCCGCGCCCGCCCATCCGCCCGCGGCCGGCGTCGGAGCGCCGCGTGGTCGCCGTGGTCTTCCTGAGCCTGCTGCTGGACCTGCTGGCCTTCACGCTGCTGCTGCCGCTGCTGCCCGCGCTGCTGGAGCGCCACGGCCGCGCGCAGGTGAGCGCGCCCCGCCCCGCCCGCGGCCCCCGCGCGCCCCCCAGCCCGGCGCGCCCTCATCGCCGCCCGTCCCCAGGACCCCCTCTACGGCTCCTGGCAGCGCGCGGTGGACCGCTTCGCCGCGGCCGTCGGGGTGCCGGCCGAGAAGAGCTACCACAGCGTCCTGTTCGGAGGTGGGGCCCGGCGCGCGGCGGCGGCAGCCCGAGGAGCGCGAGGCCGGGGCGCCGGGGCGCCGGGCCGGATCCTGACCGACGCCCCGGCCCCGCGCAGGGCTGGTGGGCTCCGTCTTCTCCCTCCTGCAGTTCCTGTGCGCCCCGCTCACCGGCGCCGTCTCCGACCGCCTGGGGCGGCGCCCCGTGATGCTGCTGTCGCTGGTGCGGCCCCTGGGGTGGTGCTGGGGTCCGAGGGGCGTCGCCGGCTGGCCGGCCCCGCTCTGGGCCCCGTGACAGCACCTGCCCCTTGGCCCGGCCCCGCAGGCAGGACTGGCCGCCTCGTACGCCGTGTGGGCCGCCTCCTCGAGCTTCGCCGCCTTCCTGGCCTCCAGGGTCATCGGGGGCGTGAGCAAGGGCAACGTCAGCCTGTCCACGGCCGTCGTGGCCGACCTGGGCTCGCCGCCCGCCCGCGGCCGGGGCATGGTGAGTGCGCGGGGGCCGCGCGGGCGGGGCCTGGGCGCGGTCTCCGCTCAGCCGCCCTCTCCCCAGGCGGCCATCGGGGCGGCCTTCTCGCTGGGCTTCACGCTGGGCCCCATGCTGGGCGCCTCCCTGCCGGCCGACGCGGTGCCCTGGCTCGCTCTGCTCTTCGCGCTCTCCGACCTGCTGTTCGTGCTCTGCTTCCTGCCGGAGACGCTGCCCCCGGAGAAGCGGGTACGAGAAGCGGGTGCGGGGCTCCGCAGAGAAGCCTGGCGGGTCGGGGGCTGGGTTGGGTCCCCAGAGGGCCGCCCTGGCTGAGGCCGAGGCAGGCCCTGCCGGCCGGGACTCCTGGGACTTTACCCTTCGGCGGCCACGGGGGCCAGGGGCCGGGGCCTGCGGGGCACAGAAAGCTGGGTGGGCGCAGCCCGACGCCCCTCGGGCGGCTGCAGCTCCACAACCCCCGCCCAGGCGCCCTCCTTCGCCCTGGGCTTCCGGGCTGCCGCGGACCTGCTCAGCCCCCTGGCCCTGCTGCGCTTCTCAGCTGTGGCCCAGGGCCGGGACCCACCCTCGGGAGCAGGTAAGAGCCAGAGCCTCCAGGGCAGGGGGGGCGGGCTGGGGGGGGGGTGCGCCCCACCGGCAGGGCCGACGGCCCCCAGCTGCTCCTGTGCCCAGGGCTCAGCCGCCTGCGCCGCCTGGGCCTGGTCTACTTCCTCTACCTCTTCCTGTTCTCGGGCCTGGAGTTCACCCTGAGCTTCCTGGCGCACCAGCACTTCCGGTTCAGCAGGTGGGTGTGGGGCCCACCCAGGGGCCTGCTGGCTCCGGGGCGTGGGGGCTGGGGACGTGGGGGCGGGCCCGGCGCTCACGCTCCCTCCCAGCCTGCAGCAGGGAAAGATGTTTTTCTTCATCGGCCTCACCATGGCCACCATCCAGGGCGCCTACGCCCGGCGGATGAGCCCTGGCCGGGAAGCAGCAGCCGTGAGGCGGGTACGAGGGGCTTCCTGGAAGCGGGGGGGGGGGGGGGGTCGGCGTCCTGCAGCTGAGGGGCGTCCTGAGTTGGCCGTTTGTCCCCCAGGCCATCCTGCTGCTGGTCCCCGCCTTCCTCCTCATAGGCTGGGGGCGCTCGCTGCCAACACTGGGCCTGGGCCTGCTGCTCTACTCCTTCGGTGAGTGGACCGGCCAGGGCTGGGGGGCTGGAGCGCTCGGGGCCCGCCTCTGGCTGACAGGCTCCCCGTGTCCCCTCAGCTGCCGCTGTGGTGGTGCCCTGCCTGTCCTCCATGGTCGCCGGCTACGGTGAGTGGCCCGTCCCCCGACAGGGAGACCCAGGCCCCTGGGGTGGGGGCCGCCCCTGACAGCCTCCCTCACCCCCACCCCCCCCCACAGGCTCACCCGGGCAGAAGGGCACCGTCATGGGCACGCTGAGGAGCCTGGGCGCCCTGGCCCGGGCAGTGGGGCCCGTGGCGGCCGCCTCAGGTGAGGGCTGCAGGGAAGCCCCGGGGCGTGGGGCGGCGCCCCGCCTGCAGCCTCCCTGACTCTGCTCTCCCGCAGCGTACTGGCTGGCCGGGGCCCGGGCCTGCTTCACCGCCTGCTCGGTGCTCTTCCTGCTGCCCTTCCTGCTCCTGTGGGACCTCGGGCCTCCGGAGCAGACGCTCAAGGCCCAGTAGCCACAGCCCCGCAGCCCCGCAGCCCCGCGGGACATGAGACCCGCCCTCCCCGTGCGGGGCAGCCGCCCTGTCGTGCCGGCCAAGCGGGCTGGGCTTCTGCGCTTTCCACCCCGCGGACAGCCCAGGCCTCTGAGCCACAAATAAAGCAGCTATTACCACAAGTGCCTCTGTCACTGCCCAGCGCCCGCCTCCCAGGCCCCGCCCTCAGCAGAAGCCGCCGTGCAGGGACGCTCTGCTGGGCTGTCCTCGCCACAGGTCCCGCCCCATCTAGGCCGATCGCGGGGGACGGGCACCGGGACACGGCCTCTGCTCCTGCCCCCACCGCGGCCCAAGGCCAGCTCCAACGCAGGCACCCGCGGGGAGACGGGCGGGGGGTGGGGGGTGACGCAGCGCGCTCCCTGCTGAGGTTCAGGCGAGGAAACGGCTTCAAGGTTTTATTTGTGAGTAAAACACATTACGGTGAAGGACGCGGCCCGTCCTCCCAACCCGCGCCCGTGCGTGTGGCTACACTTCATGTGGTGATACAAAGAGTTAAAATAAACTACAAAAGTGAAATCAAGGAGCTGCGCGGGTGGGAGGCGGCGGGGCTGCAGGAGGCGCCGGCGCCTGGCCAGGGGACCACGCCCGCAGCCTTGGGCCTGGAGCTCGAGGGCAGTGGCCACGCGCCAGCCTCGGGTCCTGCCTGGGCCGGGCTGGTGGGACGCCGGGTCTGGCACTGGCCCTGCCCCTCCCAGGCCTGTCTGGAGGGGCTCCTGGGGCGGCTCCATCCCCGGGAAGCATCCAGGGAAATAAACTAAGCCTCGAACCGGGCTGGGGGCGCCTGGGACGGCGGGTGCCAGGCAGGGGCCGCGGGGACTGTCGGGACCGACTGACTCTGCCTTGAGCTACGTTTGATGAAAACCAGAGTCTTCCCGGCGGCATCAAGGCCGAGAAGACAACCTTCCTCAGTCAGGAGAAGAACGCCCTGCTGCGACCACAGCGGGCCCTAGGGAGAAAACCAAAGCGAAGAGCGGCCTGGGCCTGCGCGTGGTCGCCGTCACAGGCGGGGCGGACCGCCGGCCTGCTGAGCAGCTGCAGGAAGGTCTCGTCCCCTCCTGACGGGCCCCACTGAAGTCTGGGGGCCCAGGGGGTGAGACACGGCCCTGAGCCTGGTTCTGGCGGGTGGCTGGCGAGACCATGCATAGGTTGAGCTGGGGGTGCACAGGGGCGCTTGCTGCTGGGGTTCCCACCTTGTCGGGGCCCACGGGGCCCCAGGCGGGCGGCGGGCACTTGAGTTCTCACAGGACTGAGGGTTTGTACAGGAGCAGAGTCACCGAGCGGAGGACGCCGGCGGGAAGCCCCCTGAGACCTGGGGGGGGCCCACCCTGCCCGCCGGGACGGCAAGACCGAGGCGGGGAAGTGGACAGAGCGGGCGCGGAGGGGCCGGGAAAGCGCGTCTCCTGGCGGTGGGCTGGGGGCGGGGGTGGGGACCGCGCGAGCACGAGGGTAGCACCGGTCTCCGAGGGCTGGTCACGCTGAGGGGAGCGCTAGCTACGTGGCGGGCGGGCGGGCGTCGCATTCCATGGCGCGAGAGACAGACGAGACACGGGGCGGGGGGCCTTCAGGCGTCGCTCCTCTTCTTGGTCTTCTTCAGGAAGGAGGGGGTGCGGAACTTCTTCTTCTTCTTGGACGGGGACTTGCCGGGGGACCCGTCGCTGCCCGGGTCCGCGGGGGCCCCCTCCTCGGCAGCGGGGGAGGCAGCCTCTTCCGCCGCCGGGGCTGGGGCCGGCTCGGGGCCGGCGACCAGGGTGGGCCCTTGCGGCTCCGAGGCCGGGAGGCCCGCTGCGTCCACGGGCTCGTCAGGGGACAGGTCGGGGAGAGTTGGCTTGAAGGTGGCCGCGTCGCTGTCGTCTCCCGAAGTTGGCTCCGGCGGCAGGTCTGGGGGCGGGGGAGGAGAGGCCGGGTTAAAGGGCGACTGCCCAGCCCTCCAGGGGGGGCCCGAGACAGGCAGCGTCCCCCGCACAGAAGCTGCCTCTGCGCCCAGCTCGGCGTTCCCCACGACCGGTGTGGGCGCGCCGAGGGGCTCAGGGGCGTGGGGCTGGGCCGCAGCGTGGGCGGCGCGCCCCGGGCCCTCGTGGCACACAGGGAGCCGACCCACCCAGCCCAGCCCAGGCGCGTCCCGTGGCTGAGGACACCCCAGCCATGGGGACATGGCGGGAAGGTTTGCTCCAGAACCTGGGGCGAGTGGGGGGCCGGGGGCACTAATAGCAGCAGCAGCAGCCCTGAAATGATTTGGGTCCACAGCACCTGGTCTCCCCGAAGGGGGAAACCACGGAAGCCGGTGAACCTCCCCAGACCACACACGCTGCAGAGCCAACAAAGCCGCTGCCGGCCCGAGCTCGTGGACACGCGTGCGCAGTGGCTGGCTTTGAAGAAAGCCAGGGCAGGCCCCGGGGAAGATTCCGCGCGGTTGGGGGAAGCCAGTTTTCTGGATTGTGTTTATCAGCCTACGAAGTTGCAAGCGACGGGCCTGTTAGCAACACGGGGTTTGGCCGCTGGGAGCCAGCCCAGGGTAGGGCGGGGAGACCTGACTGGGCGGCGGGGCGGCCGTCGGGCTCGGCCGTCACACGCGGCACTGTGGCGGCGCCTGCCGGAGCGAGGCCAGACGGGCGCGGCCCCCATGGCCACCCGCCCCGTCTGGGCCCGCCTGGACTGTGTGTGACCCCACACGGCAAAACCTTCCCACCGAGTCTGCGCTGAACAGGACAGACTCTGAGGCCCAGGGAGCCCGGGCAGCGCACTTGGGCCCCTACCCCTGCCCCTGCCCCCTCCCAGAGCGCAGGGGCCTGTTTTTATGTGGAATGAACAGAAAACAAAAGCGAATGAACAACGAGGGGGGGGGGCGCAGAGCAGGCGAAGCGCGGGCTGGCGGCGGGCGGTACTTACTATGGCGACAGGTACTCTAGCACATCCGCCTCCCGTCTGTGCCGCAGCCACAGGGAGAGAAAGCACAGGAAGAGAATCTACGCACGCGGCCGTGGCCCCGTCACAGGAGAAGGGCCGGGCCGTCCCGGGGCCGCGGAGGGCGTGGGAGGCGAGCCGCGGGCTCCTGACAGGCAGGGAAGCACGAGGACGAGACCGGGGCGGACACACGGGCCACAGACATGCGGGGGCCGCCTGCGGGGCCGGACGCCCCCGACGGGCAGGCAGGCATCCTGGCACCGACACACAAGACCTCTCCAGAGGGGAGTCGACAGCGAGGCCCAGAAGGTGCAAGCAGTGGGCAAAGCCGACGTCACAGGAGGTGGGCCCGAGTCACCGCCCACCTGGGGGGGCACCTCAGGCGGAATGTTCGGCCTCGAGTCACCAGGACAGAAGCAGGCGGGCGGCCCAGAGCACGTGACGGACGGTCTCCCGCGCACACGCACGTCTCCACGCGGCCTGCCCTCCCCGCACGCCCAGTGCCCTCCTGCTGGATGACAGCGCGCCCCCACCTGGCCCGGGGCTCACCTTCCTCAGGCTTCACCGGGGTGCTGGGGGGAGTGTGGGGGGCCATCGGGTGCTCTGGAGGGCTCTTTTCTTTCTGTTCTTCAGGCTCATCCGGGTTCTCTGCAGAAAAACGAGGAGGACGACGACGCGGTCAGGATCGTCGGGTGCCACGAGCCCTCCCATCTGGCCATCACAGAGGGGGCGGCAGGGCTTCCTGGGGGGGCCTCATCCTTCCCCAACTCCCTCCCAGCGGAGGAGGGGAGGCCTGCTTGCGACGGGGCGTTGATCTAAACTCCAGAAGCATTTACTCAACCTTGGACATAAGGCTAATTTCCACCGTTACCTGGACGAGAACCTCCCCGAACGGCCCTGCTGCGCAGGGAGCCAGTGGCGCCCCCCAGAGGCCTGGCCTGTGAGCACGGCTCTGGCTTTTCCCACCTTGAGTATTTTCTACCAGGGATTGTAACTTGGCCGTTGTAAGGCCTGTTTTCAGTTTCTGAAGTAAAATACATGCATAAGGACCAGAGGGAAAATGGCAGGAATTAGGACCCAGAATTTGGAAAATCTACTTTCTCATTTAAAGAAAAATGCAAAACCGTATTATCCTTATTCTTTAAATCTCTCCTTGCATTTTTCACATTACTAACTTGGGGCCAATAGGTCCCACTTTTGAACAGCAGCTGTGAGCAGAGCCTCAGGCCTCACAGAGCTACCAACCACCTTCCTATGCCAAAGGCCTGGGCAAGTCTTGCCTGCATGAGCCAAGGCGAGGCTGCCCGTGGCCACCCCCACCAGAGGGACTGATCTTGACAGACACCTTGAATTTTACCCGTGACTCACGGCCCCTGGGCCTCAAAGGCCAGCATCAGTGGGGGCCGGAGTCTCCTGGCAGCCGCTCACCACTGACAGCTCAGGATGGAGGTCAGTTGCACCACCCCCCGCACTGACGTGCAATAATGTCCCTCCTGATAGAGCTCAAATGAGGGGACACTATGCATCTTGTAATTTGACTCAAAAAAAAAAAAAAAAAAAAAATCCAGGCTTTCCAGCTACCCAAGGGCCGCCACACTGAGAGGCACAGAGGGCACCGGGTCCCGGACAAGGGCCAGCATGCCCAGGCCGTGCACCCAGGGTGAGGGCTCAGGCGCTGTGTGCAGGGAGGGGCCCCCGGGGACACACGTGGAGGCGGGACCCAGCGAGGGCATGCAGAGAGCCTGCCTCGTGCACACCACTGACAGGAACCAACAGGCTAGCCCTCAACCCAGCTCAGCAACAGCGTCCACACGATGCGTCAGTCACACAGACTGAAGAAGGCAGGCTGGGACAGACCTGGGGCGGGCGTGGGAGCAGAGCACAGCTCCCTGATGAGCCCCACCTGGAGGGGGATGGTGTGAGCCTCCTGGGGGACCCAGGGCACATGGCGCCAGGCAGGGCACTGGGGAGAGTGTTCAGACCCTCCTGGCAAAGGGGTCAGGGGAACCCCATCTCTCGTCAACCTTCAGGCAGCTCACAGCCCAGAGCCCGCCGTGTTGAGCAGCCCGCCCCATGGCTCCAGCTGGCAGCCATCTTACTCTTCTGAGGTCAACTAGTCCCATCACGTTCACCGAAAAAAGACTGCCCTGGTCAGCGAGTTACCGAGAGAAACAAAGACTGCACAGGCATGAGGTCGCCCTCACCCGTGAGCGGGGACGGGCTGGAGCAGCCAGCACGCCAGACCTGCCTGGGGTCCCTGGGAGTTCTGGAGGCAGAGCACCTGTGAGGGACCCCGTTGTGAGGACTGAGAGGAGGGTGGCTGTGGGGATGGCTGGGCACGCGGAGCCGACGCCAGGCCTCCGCGTGGGGCCCGAGAAGGTGCCGGCAGATGTGCTGGGTGAGCGCCCACAGGACACGTGGAGGAAGGAGCCCCGCTCAGAGGCTTTGGCAGAGGACAGCGCAGGCCACTGGCCCCAGCACCTCAGATGACTGCTTCGCAGACGCCACCTTCTCCAGGAGAAGGCTGGCAGGGCCCACGTGCAGCCTGACACCCCCACAGCAGGGCCCGTGTGTCTGTGTCACACTTAACCAGGTGTGCCCGCTGCCCTCCAGACACAGCAGTGCACACGCAGCGGTGTCTCCCACCACGGAGCTGTGGCACGTGTGACCAACCGTGCCGTGTTTCCACCGGACACATCCAGGCAGGCTTCCCCACTAACAACCCTGGTCAGGAGTTCCTCTGTCAGTCCTGCCTGCTGCCCAGGGCCCCGGGGGCAGAGAACCCTGTGAGCACTGCCAAGGCCTGGTAGGGACACCCGGGCTGCTGTGAGCGCCACACAGGTCCACGCCCTCCTGGCCCTGCCCTCCCACCCGCCGTGTGCAGGAGAACGGGCCTGGCTGGTGCTGGTGGGCACATGCGAGCCAGGGCCCCACTGTGTCTGGGGACAGCACAGAGGCTGTCTGGAAGTCAGGGGAGGGATGTGGTCTCTCACACGGACTCTGGGCCCCTGCTGCCCAGGACCACTGACAAGCATGTATGCCTTCTGGGCCCTTTAGACCTCGTCGAACGAGTGGGCGAGAAACGGCACCGGCATCGTTCTCCCGCCTGTCCTCAGTGCCACCTGCGCCACCCTCTGCCCAGACCTGCTCACCTTCAGGGCCCCTCTGCTTGCGCGCCACCTCCCTACGGTACTCCTCCAGCTCCCGGTCGGTGAGCGTGTTGAAGGGATTGGGGCCTGTGGTGCTCACGATGACGTGGGGCTGGTACTCCTTCTCGATGATGGCCTTTGAGGCCGTGACCAGCTCCCCCTGTGAACGACAGAGACACCCCATCTGCAACAGCCTGCCAGGAGCAGGGCTTCCCTCCTCCCAGGCCAGGCCTCGGGCAGGCGGGGTGCCCCTCAGGACTGCAGAAGCCCCCTCTCCTGACACAGGCGCGGGGGAGGACAATCTGCCAGCTCCATCACCCTCCTGACGCCAGAAAGGGCCCTGGGCCGCAGCACTGGGGAGGCTGCCTGGGGCTCTGTTTTCTGAAGAGCACAGCTACGTTCTGTTCTTGATGATGCGTTTCGTTTAAAATCATCGCCTAGAACTTCCCCCAAAACCTTTAAAGATTACAAAATGGTGCCAAACAGCAGCGCTTATCTGGGAAATCTGGGAGACTGAAAATGGTACTGCACAAAGGGAAACCAAGCCAGGCACAAAGGGGCCTCCCAGGCCAGGCCTCGGAGCGGGGTGCAGGCAGGCCGCCCGCCCGCCCTGCACGGTGCTGTGCCCCCAGGCTCTGCGGCTGCCGGAGGGAGTTAAGCAGACCCAGGCCCCGACACCTGGACAGGTGCTTCAGAGCCGCTCGGAGCCCAGCCAGGCCTGGTCGGGGCTCCTCTCAAGGACGGGCAGCACAGGGGCGGGGGCGTCCTGCATCGAGCACATGTGGCAGGACCCGGGAAAGGGTGCACGTGACGGCTGGCCAGGCCGCAGACCTGGGGCGGGGGGCGGGCCAGGGTCTGCTGGGGCGGGCAGCCTGTGACTAGACAGCGGGAAGGCCAAGGGGAGCCTCCTCCTGACAGCCTGACACCTGGCCGGCAGTCTCCTTTACAGCAGCCCTGCCTCACTGGACAGGGTGGCGCCTGCGCCCGTGCCTGACCCAGGCCTGCCCCCACCCTCCCGAGGGTGCTGAGCCCCACTGAGCGCTGGTGCACTGGGATCTGGGCCCCTGGCTGGTTGCATTTGCACCAGGCTTCCCTGCCAATAAAAATAAGGCTGGGGAAGCACCAAGGTCACGTCAGTCAGAAGTTCAAAATCAGTAAAGGAATAAACTCCGCAGAACCAACCGCAACCCATGGGCAGCCTGGCCCTGGGCTGGGCGCAGCGCCAGGTCCCGCCCCCACCGGCAGGGGGCCCGCCTCCAGAGGTGCCCAGCCCCGACAGGACCTAGGGACAGAGGCAGCAACCTGGGGGAGAATCGGGGGCTAGCTGCTCTCCCCCACGGGCCCCACGGAGGCCCTGGTTTTCCTGCTCCCAACCGCCTAACAGGCACCTCAGCAAGAGATGCCCAGGAGCTACCCGCACCCAGGCACGACTGGGATCGCGGCCCTGTCGCTGACGCGTGGCAAGGGGCTGGCCTCGCTGAGCAAATGGGCTCATCTGTGAAACCCACTTGGACTGTGACATACACCCTTAGCTCATCATAGGTGCTCAGCACCCAGCCACCACGTGAGTCCACAAGACAGGCCCAGGCCCTAGGCATTTCTGCCCCCCCGCACGGCAGGGTAGGCACAGGCCAGGGAAGCTGTGCATGCAGATGATGGCAGAGGCCTGCCCGCCCTGAGCTCAGCCTGAGCTTTCACTGCTAGACTTGTCTGCAACGAGATCCAGAAGGCAGTTCAAACTGGGTATGCCACACTTGAGGCTGCGGCCCTTCCTCCGCAGAAGACGGGACAAGACTCCCCTGCAGGATAGGCCAGGCCTCTATGGTGGCGCAGGCGGTTGAGCACCACACTGTGAAGCTGTCCGCAGCCTCTGCAGCGCAGGTTCGATCCCGCCGGGCAGTGAGAATCCCACATGGCGCAGCAGACCGCTCCTGTCTGCCCGCTGCTCCCCTCAGCAGTGTGTTTCAGTCAGTCTGCCTGTTCTGCTCCCCACTCTGTCTCTGGTGAATCCTCTCACCCCCCGCCCCGCATGTCTGGCCTGTACCCCGGTTCTTGTATGTATGTATGTATGTATGTATGTATAAATAAGTATATAAAGGAAAGGCCGTCTTCAGGAAGAGAGAAACCGACCCTTCCAGAAAAGCCCACTCCGAGTCCCCAACACCAGCCCTGCAGGTCTGCGACCAGGAAGCAGGAGTCCAGACACTGGCCTCCCAGGAAAGAAATATTTTCAGGTATTTGTGGAACACCATCCTCCCCACCCCATCAAGGAGAAATCTGACTTGCTAGTGAGCCAGAGGGAGCAGCGTTACCTGTGCTGAGGCCCACGCAGGCCGGCCTGCCCCAGCATCGAGGGCTCCAGAAAGAATCACAGCCAGCCAGCGGGTACAAGCGCAGGCACCAGGAAGAGCACAGTGGACAGGAGAAAATGTGGAGCCCAAGAGGGTTCCAGGCCTGATGCCCCAGCCCTGGCTCAGCACGCTGCCGCTGCCCTCTCCCCCTGACCCAAGCCCGCCGCGCGGCACTGAGACTGGAGCATGAAGAACTGTCAGAAACCCCAGCCCCGCACAGTGACTCCCAGGCAGCAGAGCTGGGTCTACACTTCAGGAAGCCACGGGTCGCTGAAGCCACCATGCCTGAACTGGACAAAGCAAAACACCCTGACTGGGCCGGGTCGGTCCCAAAGGCTCTGCTAACACAGCCAAGCAGCCTGCCTCACTGCGGCACTAACCAGGCACACCCCGCAACCTTGCACCGCAAGGCAACCCCAAGTCTGCCAAGTGGGGCTGTGGGACAGGCGCTGGCTCACGCCCTCACATCTGAGACAAAGACTTACAGGACCATGACCTTGACCCCTCACGCGCAGCACCGAAGCAGGACAAGAGGCCGAAGGAGCCAAGGACCGGCACGGCCTCTGCCCTGCTCTCGGGGGTGCCCCCGAGATGGCAGCAGGAAGTCAATCCCAAGGGCCAGGAAAGGAAAAGCAGGCCCATCAGAGACAGTGGGGAGCAACATGTCACTGGCGGGGTCCTAGACAGGACTGCAGAGTCTCGTGACCGGGACACGGCTCAGGTGCTCTCACTGGATAGCGAGGCCTGAAGACAGCCCCTGGGGTGCCGTGGAACTCAGGCCAGACTGGACAGAGCCGCAGCCTCCTCTGCCCTCAGCACTGAGCTCCGCACTCCAGCAGCCCGCGGGCCAGAGGCAGTTTCCTTCTGCCAGGAAAGTCAACCCCAAGCTCCCACCCATTCAACAAGGAAGTGTGCGTGTACGTGGAGAGATGACCGCTCTGGATCTCAAATATTCACGTCTCTCTCCCTTGTAACATTCAAGGATTTTATCCAGTGTTTTCAGAAGTGAAAACGAGCACAGTGCATGCATCAACAGGGCTGACGAAAGCTGCCTTGTCTGATTCACACTCTCCTGAACTGATGTCTTCCAGTCAGACAACCCTAGTGCTGCCGGCCTGTGGCATCCAAGGTCACGGCGCAGCAGACAGTTGGCAGCTGCTGGCAAGCAGCACCTTGTAAAAGACAAACTCCTAAAACCCCAGAATATGCACCAACCACAGCCACATGCAGAACCTTGGCAACGCCTACACCCCGGCGACGGGGGCCTCTCGACCACAGCGCGCAGCCCAGCGTTGTGAGAACCCCCATCACACACTTTAAGAGAAGGCAGCACAGAACCTTCTGTGGGCTCACGGACAAGCCAGAGGTCCCTAGCAAGCCACCGTGACAGACGAGGCAGCGCCTGGCGAGCGGAGACCAGGGGCGGGGGGCAGGCCGAGCAGCACTGGCAGGCGGGAGGCGCGGGGCAGTGAGTACCTTTCTACAAGACAGAGATCTAGCGGGGCTAAAGGTCTGCCCTGTGAGCTCGAGCCCTTCGATTGTCTCCGTACAGTCAGAGAGGGGCGCATCCTGCAACAGTAAACTGAGTCATCAGAGCCCACCAGTCCCAAGCTGAACCCCCCCCCCCGGCCTCCCTCCCCGAGGCAGGGCGGAGCTGGCAGGAGCATGCAGGAGGGCGTTGGCGGGCAGGGAGGGCGGTCACGTGCAACAGGCTGGCAGGCCACCAGGCTGGCCAGATCCTGGGAGCACAGCCCGCCAGGTCGCGGGTCCAGGCAGCAAGCACCAGGCGGCGCCTGACCCTCCGAGGCCACTACTCTCGCACCCTCTTCCAGGAACACCAGGGCAGCCCTTCGTAGAATGCAGCGGGCGCCCCACACTCACCACCTCCGTTGCCAGGCCGCGCCGTGCCGCGCACAGCAGCATGTATGGAGCAGAAACCCAGGGAGCCCACCCTCTCCTGTGGCTGGCACTCACACGACCACCTCAGGCCAGGACTACCCAGAGCAGGTGGCCAGCTGTGGCCCCTGAGGCATGCGGGCACAGAGGGCAGGCTGGGGACATGGCCTCGCATGCGGGAGGGGGGCAGCTCAGCGGCTTGGGGGAAGTGGGCGATTCCTTATCAGGAATCATTTTCAACACCCGGTTGCCTCTGACACTTACCTCGGGGGCTTTCACAATGTAATGGTTTCGGGGTCACCATCAATAAGGTCACACCCATTCATGGCACAGACACCCTGAGCTCTCACCTGGACGAGGCTCCTGTCCATCACGACGCCGCACAGAACCTGCGACTGGGGGCCCGCCGTCTTGATGTCCTGTAAGTTCTGCTCCCGGATCTGAGGACCACAGAGTAACAACAGGTCAACAGCGCAGAGGCCTCGCAGTGCGTCAGGCATAGCCGCACTGCCACTCTGCCGTGCCCACGGGCTGGGGGGCCACCACGCGGCTGGATGGTGCCGCTTTGGCCTGCCGAGGACCTCGTGCAACTGAGGGGACAGAGGGCCAGGCTGACTTGGGCAGCTTCCCAGAGCCCTGGCAGGCTTGGGTCGCCCCAGTGCGCAACAGGTCAGAGCTGCCCACAGGTGTGCACCTCACGTGGCTCTGCGAGCCCTGGCAGCTCATGTGCTGCCACCGGGACACTCAAGAGTGTCTTAGTGAACACTGAAAGGCAGGCAAATTTGGGCTGCACCCCAGGCATAGGCTTTCCAGCTTCCAATTCTGCTCCGTCACGTGAGCCAGCAACAGCTCAAGAGCCAAGGGCCTCAGTCCGTCCGCTGACCTGGCATCACAGGTGAGCGCAGCTGCAGAAGTGGTGCAGGAAGCCGCGGGCCGGGACTGTCTGCTGCAGCGCGGGCCCGCCAACCTGCACACCCCTCCCTTGGGCCCCCCCAATGCCGCTGGCGGCCATACGCACCTTGTTCCTCATCTCCTGGACCTCTTTGGGGTTAGTGTTCAATGGAACAAACAGGTTAGGGACAGCAGAGGTGGAAGTTCTATGTCCCTCCTCTTTAGTCCACTGCAATATCAAGAACAGCGGCAGTCAGAACGAGGCACTGTCGGGGGAGCACAGCGTCCACGTCGCCCAGCGCATCTCACACCTGGTCATGCACTGAACGTCACAGAGAATGAACCAATGACCACACCTCCTGTGTCACCCCCGCGGCAGGACGGCCACCAGAGTGTGACTGGCTGGCCAGTGCCATTTGGAAAGCCCAGCTGAGGCTTGGGGCGCGACCGGCTGACGACAGCCAGGGCCCAGGCCGGCGCGGGACCACCAGAGCACATTGGTTCACTGCCCCGGGCGTCGTCAACACCGAGCCAGCCGGAAGCATGAGATGACAGGCCGTGGAAAGCGATGAGATGTCGCCCCCCCCCCCACCCCGTAGAGAGGAGGCTGGGCTGCACGGGCGTCGCCGGCGCGGCGCTGAGACAGCATGGGAAGCGCCTCTCTGGGCCGTCTCACCTGAGAGGACTGCTGTCTGCACCCTGACCGGGGCCGCCCGGAGAAGAGCTGGGTGACGCTGAGTATTTCACATCACTCAGTACTCGAGTACTACAAAATACCCCGGGCTGGAGGCGCTGCGTGAGCCTGACTTAGGGGGCCATTTTAGCTGCCAGTGCATCTCGGCGGTGCGGCACCCTGTGCCCCGACGCCGCCTTTTGGATTCCAATCAAAAAGGAGCATTTTAGTCAAATTCCAGCTGTTAGGCGCAAGCAGGCACTGAACATTAAAACAAGCCCATCCTAGAAAGCAAATGTTACATCTTTTGGGATATTTTCAGGGCGATCGGATGGCCATAAGCCGCAAGAGTGTCGAGGAAGCAGGGCACTGCCAGGCGGGGCCGCCGCGGAGGGTAGGAGGGCATGGGGCCGAGAGGTACTCACTGACGGCATCTTCTCAGAAAAATAAGTCCAGCTTTTTGTTAGGAACAACTTTTAGTCAAAACAGTGAAACAGCCTCAGAAGTCTGAACAGTTAGGGCAGGTCAACATACCAACCTGGAAGCTCTGCACGGACTCTGCGTGACTCCAGAGCAGTGAGAAACAAGCGTGACGGTAAGCAAGGTCTCCCGCCAACGCACACACTGACTCAAAGACCAGAAGTGGCTGAACGTCTTTTCAGACCAACGGGATCTACAGCTTGAAGCTGCTGCCTCTACACACACTTGGGAAACTGTCGGTTTCTCGGCCTATGAACTTGCGTCATCAGCAGAAGGGTTTTTAAGGCGCATTGTTGTTTAACAAGCAAATTACATAAGAACTAAACAGACGGAAATAAAAACAAGGGGAGAGGGAGGCAAGGAGGGAGAAAGGAGGCGGCGGCCGCGCCCACACCAAGCCGGGCCACGGCCAGAGTCTGCGCCGGACCCGACGGTTCAGGACACTCCAGAACCACCTGGGGGAGAAAGAACTTTCCTTTAAGTGACTCTGTGAGTGAGAGCACGTCACGGGCCCGGGAGGCGGGGCTGCCGTGGGGGCCACCGCTCTCAGGCCTCCGCACTCATCCAGCTGAACCGACAGCCGTGCACACAGGAGTGCGTTCCGCCGGGTCTCCGCAGAGACGCCACCCAGGCCTCTCCTGCTCTGCACAGCCGGGCGTAGTGAGGGCTGGGACCCTGCAGCCCCAGGACAGCGGAGTCACGGCGGCGGCACCGCACTTGGGTCATGCCGCACCCAGCAGGAGCCAGAGGGCCCCACTATGGCCGTCTACTCACATGCAACAGTCCATGCAGAAGGTAGCTGGCTGGTGGCGTTCGGAGGCTTTGGGACAGCAAGCAGGGGACAAAGCTAACGAGAGAGGACGAGGGTCAGCTGAGAGAATGCCCACGAGTCACGAGGGAAAACTGCTTAAGAAAACAGAAGACTTTTGAGAACAAGCTCCAGAGACTGGGTGGGAGCACTGCGTCCACTTCGGCAAGCCCCAGGAGGCGCGGGCGCTCCTGTGGGGCAGTGGCCGGAGCAGGCCGCGGTCGTGCCGTGTGGCTAGCGGTTCCTGGAGAGGAACAGTGAGCGCATCTTAAGCAGTTTCAGGCCGACAGCAGTAAGTCACAGCGACTGCACACAGTGGGCGTGGCCCCGGCCAGAGGAGGTTAGTGAGGAGGGTTCGCGGTCAGAAGGGCTGGATTCCCGAAGCCTCCGAAGCCCCAGCTACCCAACTTGCTCTACATCGTCTAACTATGAACAGTAAGGTAGGCACAGACCAAGCAGTTGGTAATACAGCTTGGCACGCAGACACCGGACGAGAGAGACTGCAGCAAGGGTTTCACGTGATCGTGTGTAATGTTCGTCCACACCTTAGTCTTCGCCTTGGGACTGCTTCCATTCTGCCCTTCCTCTGAAGCATCGTCACCCCGGCCAGAGTTCAGCCATCTTGTCTTCTCTCGCTGCTGCTTCTGAAAACTGTGTCTGAGAGGGGAGCCAGCGCCCGAGTCCCCGTCACTAGCAAAGGAGTAACCTGTGACGCTAGCAGGGACCTCCACGTCGCTGTACTTTTTACACCTCTCTCTCAGAGCAGGGTAGCGGTAAGGGTAGCCGGTTCTGTAACCCTGGGGTTTAGAAGAGGAAGAAACAGTCAAAATCCCGCTGGAAGGTTGTGAAGAAACAGCCACCACGGCAGAGCACAGCCCCCTCGGACTCAGCGCCTCCGCACCCAGGCGCACAGCCCAAGGGGCTCAGGCACACGCCGCCGGAGCAAGGGACGAACGCCACCGCTGCACCCCTCCTGCTGGTCACCCCCAATCAGGCGCAGCCGAGAGCCCACGGTAAGCGTTTGCCGACTCGTACGCTGCCCCTGCACAGGACACAGCTGCGGCACACAGAAGGGCCCCACCAGCCAGCGCCGAGGCCACAGGCTTCGGAGAGGACACCGACTCCACTGGGACTCTTTGCCGCAGGAAGAGGGACAGTTGGCGCCCTCGGGTGGGCTGAGGGCTGAGGGCGCTGGTAATGGAGTGAGCTCGGTTCCTCTTTAGCGCGCGGAATGCCCGCCTGGGTGTGCTCTCCCAGTACACGCTGCACCGAAACCCAACCCGGAATGTAGAGCGCCGGGGCTCCGCGGCGCGGCTCCAGCACAGGCCATGCGGCCCAGCCCACACGCTGACACATTCTCCCCTTTGAGTCACGCCGAAGCAGCATGACAAGTCACTTGTCACTGCCTCTTGAAGGGTCAGCTGTCAGCCCCAACTCTGCCCCTGACATGCCCTGGGCTCGGTCAACACACCCCCTCAGCGGGTGGCTGCAACAGCGCTTACCCCGGTGCTGCCCGGCCGGCCACCGGCTCGGGCACGGCTCGCTGACAGCGACCAACGCAAGGAAGTGCCTCGTGCCCCCTCCTGAGCAGGGCTCCGTGTGGAGGCAGGAGGGGCCACAGGGCCACACAGCCCCCACCTCCCAAGCTGCCCTCCTTGAGCACGGGAGGGGCCTGGACTTGCTTCCAGCACTGGAATTGGGCGAGAGTGGTGGACGAATCACACACGAGGGCAGTGCCCACCAGGAGCGCCGTGTCCGCTCCCAGCTCTGAGGCAGCAAGCTGCCAAGGCTTCCCATCTGAGCAAGGAAATTCTGCCCAACACCCGGGGGGCTCGGAGAGAACCCTCCCCCTTTGGGCAACACCCTAAGTCAAGGACCTGGCTGGCTGGGCCTGGACGCCAGCCACATGGTTCTATGCTGGGGTTCATGTTCCTGGCACCTTCACAGCATGGACCCCACAGGGCTGCTCACGAAGGCCCCGAGCCCAGGGGCTCTGGAGTCACTCACCTATCTCTCCCCCCAGGCTCTCCTCACATCCGGGCCGCCTCTACAACCACCACTCCCTTTAACACACTTAGAAGGGCAGTGCCAGCCTGCAAGCGCCATCCTCAGGAGGCCGGGCGTGTCTGCACTAGGGCGCCCCGCTGCGAGCAGGCTTGGCTGAGGAACCGCAGGAGTGACTCGGCTATAAGGAAGGCCGCAGAAATACCGTTATTACTGATGCAAGTCTCCTCTGGCCTCAGGTACCAGGGCTCTTGAGTAACCTCCAAAACACCAGGACAAACCACCCAGGAACCCCCAGAATTTTACCCTGAGAGGGTTTGGGTTTTTCTTTATTACATGCTCTCAAACCGAAGTGAGAGGCGGTACTCGGAGCTCAGGTCTTCCAGTTAAGAATATCGACTGTTCCTTCACTGAGAAGCTGGGACTGCATCTTGATTGGGGGGAGGCAACGCAGCGTTTCTCCTACTAGTATGTGCTGAGCGTCTCTTACGGCATGTGACTCGTAGGCGGCGCCCTGCCCCGCGCGGTGACCAGCAAGCGTGGGCAATGCGAGTGCTCGGTCAGAGACTGCCCTCGGTCTCACCACCACGTGGCCTTCTAGCACGACAAATGCGACACTCACTCCTGGGTGCAGGGAGCCCGTGAGAAGACCCCGAGGACGCTCACCACACCCTGATCAGACCCAGACGTTCTTTTCACTCCGAAATACTCAGGAACATTAAGCCTCTGGCTCCTGAAGCACCTGGCCAAGCTGGCCTTGACGTTGTCAGGCTGGACCGTGCCCCATTGCCCCAGGGGCCCACGCAAGGAGGCCAGGCCCTCTCGAGGCTTCTCTCCCCCACGCCGGCTCCGAGCGGGCCCCCTCGTAGCCCAGCTGCAGCACGAAAGGGTCGCGCTACGGGCTGTGTGTCTTACATCTGGTCCCTTAGTCTGAGTACTTAAGCCTCCAGGTCAGACCAAGGGAGAGCCTGAAAGGCAGGCGCCCACCATCCTCCAGGCCTGTCCTTTCCTCGTGACCCTCCTTGACGCAGCCCCCATCTACCATGCCTCACTGGGTGCCCTGGCCATGCCATGTCCTGCCACCATGGTGTCCACATCACTGTTCGTCCAGAGGCGCCAGCCCCACAGCTTCTGTGCGGGCAGGCTGTGTCCCGGCAGGAGGCGGGCAGCATGTCTGTGGGCACAGCGATCAGGTCCCGGGTCACTACAGCTCACGCCCGGAGCCTGTCCCACTACTCCAGACTCTCCCCAGCTCCCGCCCCATGCAGGCCAAGCATGACCCACCCCTCTCGCGCCATCACACTCTAGCTTCAAAGTGAAACTGCGCTGCCGCGCCTCTGCACCCCGAGGGCGGAACGCCAGCACAGCACCAGGACAGCCGCCCCTGCGCGGCTGCGCGGTCAGAAAAACGCCACCGCGCGCTCTGAGCGCGGTCTCTATCGTCAAGTGGCAGCACAACTCTTACCAGATTGTCGAGCATCCTCATGAGGGCTTCAAACTCTTGCTCGCCAACCTGCCACTTGGGAGGCGCGCCGCTGCCCCCCGCCACTGGGGAGCCTGGGGAGCGGGCCTTCGCTTTGTACTTTTCAGGGTCCAGCAGGACCAAGTTGTCCGGTCCTCCCGAGCTGGCCAGAGTCCGGACCTTTTTGGAAACAAGCAAACATGACGGTGTGATGCCCGGACTGAGCGCAAGCAGGGCCTGGCCCAGAGAGAGTGCGTGAGCGGGAGCGCAGGATTCAAAGGGCCACATCAGTAGGGCAGAAGAGTGAAAACTGCACGGGGAGAGCCGGAGGCGAGTCACAGGGCCCTCTGCATCATTCCTTCCCGGACAGGAACACTGGCGCTCGCAGTGGAAGGGGAGCGGAGGAGAAAGCACCTTCAAGAGCGCGGAAGGAAGACTCAGCTGTGAGGAGCTGCCCGGAGAGAGCCAGGTGAGTGGCCCTCGGGGCTCGGACCGGGCAGCTCTGTCTCCCCGCACCCGCTTTCCCGCAGCAGAGCCGGGAAGGGCAACCAAAGTGCCACGGGTGACACACGCAGCGCCTGACAGCAGGGCTGGCACAAGCTCGTGTTCCGTAAGAGGCAGTGACTTGTATTTGAAAAATTAGAAATTAGAAATGAAAAGTCCACTAGTCATCTGCCAACTTACGTCAGTGAAACGGCATTTGCCCTGGCCCATCTCCAGATCTCGGAGCTCCTCTTAGCCAAGGGGGCCGCTCAACGAGTCAGTCCTACGCAAGCGCCAACATGGAGGGGAGCCCCGCGACCTCCTGGGGCTGCGGCTGGAACGGAGGGCAGGCCTACCTGGATCTCGCAGGCAACCACGAGGTTGTGGATGTGGTAGAAGGCCTCCTCCACGCTCCCGCCGACGGACACGAGCCCGTGGTTGCGGAGAATGAGGACCTGGGGGTGCGGGCTCCCGTGAGCTAGGTAGATGGGGTGCATGGCCCCTTCCCCCCTCGAGTACCGAGATGCCACATCAGACGCTCACTGACCTTGCTTCTAGGGCCCAAATTTTTCTGAATTAAAACTTTCTCTTCCTCATCGACCAGAATGCCGTGATAGTCGTGGTAAGTCACTTCTCCAAGGGACAGGGCCTCTGGGGACAGGGGTAAGAGGCCGCACCTCATGGCCGAGACCTGGAAACCGAGGCACTGGCGTGAGCAGGAGCAACACACACCTGGGACACCCTGCCTTCCCTGTAGAGTCAGGCCAGGGCGACATTTTAGGGTGTCTCCCCTCGGAAGTAAATGCACCCAAGAACTATATGGAAGGCTTCCTACCAATCTCCACGTACAAATAAAAGCCATCCCTGAGCCGGGAGAGGCTCAGAAGGAACGTGACCTCTCCCTGATCTCCCACCCTGACCACGGACACACGCCCCCAGACAGCACTGCCGGAGCCCAGGTCCTGGGAGGCGGCTGTGAGCCCCGCCGTAGACGGCAGGCGGGGTCCAAAGGCCTGCACATTAGATCACAGCGAGCTCACTGGGGGGGTTTGTACACCACAGCACTTGTCCACGTGTACGTAAGTAAAGGCTGTGTGTTCTACAGAGCCCTCATACTGCATTTGAATTTCTCGAGCTGACTTGATGCTAAACTTGATGTCCTTTTTACCTAAAGAGGCTCCAGAAATTCACATAATATCCACAGGCACAATTCCAACAGAAAAGCTCATCTAAAAGGAATGGTATGGGATGCCACAAAAAAAACAAGCACCAAACCATATTTCACCCCGTTTACAGGATCAGCCTTCCTGTAAGAAGCAATTTCCCCACCAACTAAAGTTATTTTGATCAATTTTAAAACAAGCTAGACAGCAGCTGTTTGCAGCCACTGTCTCCGGCGCCTCCCTAGGCCTGCACGGCCACTGGCTTGTGTGGAGCGTGTGTACCCTACTAGGAGGAGTTGCGCTGCTCAGAAGGGCACGGCAGAGACAACTGGCAGCTCTGCAGTAAAACACCAGCGCAAACAGGCGCCCAGCGCCCCCAGGGCACGAGGCAAACGTGTCAGACACAGTTGGTCAGCATGACCGAGCCAGCGAGGCCAACTGCCGTCCAGGTCGTTCATGCCTAACACGGGTGATAAAGGTGGGTTCAAGAGAGGGCTTGAGTGTTCGGCTTTCGTGTGACCTTGTGCCCAACAACCAGGACATGCATTTTCATTCTCAGAGGCCTGGGTGTCGTCCAGGAGGCCACTTTGCGCCAGACGCACTGGGCACCGATGGTCCACACCGTCTGTGCCTCTCCCTGTGGTGACACACCTGGGCTCCAGGGGCCACAGAAGGTCTGTGGGGAAGCCCCAGGTTTCTCTCCTGGGCCTCGCCCCTGGTTTCCTTCCCAGAGCCCACAGCACCAGCCCCCACCCCCCGACCTCCCACCCTGTGGAGGTCCCTCCCAACTGCAGTCTTCAGCACTCCCCTGCCTGCCCCACGCTGAAACGGCACCACCGCAGCTGGCCGCCGGGACGCTCTAACTGTGACGGTTAATGGACACGAGTCCTAGAGCTTTCCAGCCCAGGCAGTCTGTGGGTTCTCTGAAGAGTCTGTGAGTGTAATTCCAAGGTTTTGTTTACTGATTTGTTGCAACAGGAACAGGCCTCCGGGGGAGCAGGTGATGGTGCCAAGAAGCCGCCTGGGGGCACTCACCGCGGCCCCAGCGGGCGTGTGAATGTGCACCACGCACTTCACGTCCGGCCGCGCAGCGTAGATGGCGGAATGCAGCGTGAAGCCAGCCTGGTTGACGCCGAGGTTGGTGCTGCCCCGGTCCACCACATCGCCTTGCAAGTTGACTTTGATCTGAGGAGACAAGAGCGACAGGACAAATGTCAAGGCCATTTCAAATTCCCCTGCCTCAAAAGCCCTTCAACCACACTGTGAGGTGTTTGTGACTCATTTTAAAGGTTTCCCTGAGTTCATCACTCCCCATCTCCTCCTCCCTGGGCTTCCTCTGTCTGACAGGACTAGACAGCCTTCGATGACGTGAGGGGCCCGCGCCGACGTGAGCCCGCAAGGAGAGGGTGCATTCTTACCAGGCTGGACGCAGTCACTTCACTGTAGAGAAGCCCAAAAGGCACAATGAGGAAGTGCTCCTGCTCGGAGCTCACTCTGGTCTGTGAGAAAAATCCTGAGTCAGCTCTAAGTCGACTGGAGGGACCTGCATTTCCTCCAGGCTCCAGCCCGCACCCATAGGCCGGGTTGGGGGGGGGGGGGCACCGACAGCGCAGCCCTGCTCCCGGGACAAGCGCAGACGCTTCCCAGCACTGGGCCGCGGGTTACCAGGCACACACAGGCCCCGGGTCACGGTGTGACAGACTGTGGAGGAGGGACCGCTCTGTGCTGGTCCAGACAGGTCGCAGGCTATCGGGAGGTGGCCCTACCTGGTTCTGGTAGACACAGAACCAGGCTGGGCAGGACATGACAGCTCTGCACTTTTTTTTTTTTTAAATTAGTATTTATTGGGCCTCCCCGGTGGCGCAGAGGTTGAGCGCTGGGTTGTGAAGCTGCCCGCAGCCTCTGCAGCGCCGGTTCGATCCCCAGCTGCTCCCCGGCCACTGGAGGAGGGTCCCACATGGCGCGCAGACCTCTCCTGCCGCCCGCTGCTCCCCTCAGCAGTGTACTTCGGTCCTTCTGCCTGCTCTGCTCCCCGCTCTGGCTCTGGTGAATTCTCTCACCCTCCCACGCTTCTGACTGTACCCAGTGCTTGTATAAATAAATAAATAAATAAATAAATAAATAAATAAATCTTTAAAAAAAAAAAAAATTAGTATTTATTTTGCGTAGAAGACCTGGGGTGCCGGCCAGAGTTATAAGGGGTGAGAGAACTCACTAGAGACAGAGTGGGGAGCAGAACAGGCAGATCTACTGAAACCAACTGCTGAGAGGAGCAGTAGGGAGACAGGAGAGGTCTGCTGTGCCCTGTGGGTCAGCTCCCTGGCCGGGGATCTCATTCAGGCCACGGCGGTGACAGCCTGAGACTCAACCCCTAGGCCACAGGGAAGTCCCAGCTCTGTGCTTCTATAATCACCTTTTTAAAAAATTAAAATATGATGTCTGATGAGGTATTGCACTCTGGCTGTAATTTAGAGTTTCCCGGTTACTAAGGAGCTCAGCAGCCTTTCAGATGCTTATAAGCCACTCTTATTTTCCCTTCTCTGAAATTCCTTCCTTGTCTTTTGTCCATTTTATACTGGGTTATTCTTTTCTTATGGATGGTTCTTTATCTATTGTGGTTATTAGATTTTTGTGGATGACCTGTGAAGCACTATCTCCCAGGTTGTCGCTTTTACTCTCGCTCTCTTTATGGGGCCTCTGGATGGCAAGAAGTTTGCTGTTTCAGAGTCGTCAGACTGTCCAGGGGCTATGGTGGGCGCTCTGGTGCCCTAAGCCATCCAGCCTGAGGTCAGAGGTGGCAGGGTCTTCACCTATATTGATTCTAAATTAAATGAAGCGTTGCCTTTCCATTTAATCCTCCCCATTGGCGCTGCACTGGAGTATGTAGATGAAGGCAGGAATCCAACACGACTTCCAGCTCCTGTCGTCCAGCCTGTCTACGCCAGCACTGGCCACTGTCTGGTCAGCACCCCAGAGGCCTCCCGGCTCTTCACGCCTGATTCCAGGCGAGGCCCTCCGCTCCGCACGGGCCCAGTGTCTCTTTTCCCCAAAGCCCACGATTCTAATCACCAGCACTTTAGACTACGCTTGACATTTGGTGGGAAAACTCTCCGTACCTACTACTTCCGAATTCTGTTAGCTATTCTTCGTCTTTTTTGCTTCCCTATAAATTTAGATGCAGGCTGTCGGCTCCACACTAAGGAAATACCACCTAAGGGTTTTGAATCATTCCCCCTTTTCCATGTCTAAATGTGCACGTTTCAGACAGCTGTGAACAGCATGTACATTTTGTTTTCTTTTTTTAATAATTACCGTTCATATTTTCATATGTTCCATACAGTTACTTTTCATGGTGTTCATGGCATAACATTCCCTCAAATTAACGTTAAATAAGTAAGTCACAACTGAGTGATTTCCACAATTGCTGGATTTTGTTTAGGCTTTTTCTTAACTGATATTCACTTCAGGAACTCGAGTCTGCAGACACAACGCCGACTCTCCAGGCACGCCCACCTCGGCCGTACCACAGACGATGCTGTAACATGCCTGCATCTCACACTTTCTGATTTGGCTTGATTTCAGTAACGTTTATTTCCATGGGTGAGCTTAACAAATCCACACATTTCAATAGGGAGAAATCTAAACGTAGGATTTTCTGAGTCTGAAGCACACCTGACAACGCGCGAGATACTGATGTGGCGTGAAAAGAGAGGTCATTTCAGAACAAGCCGGCTTGGCTGGGTCCCTCCCGAAGGACCAGCACCGGCCACACTGAGTCTTCCCAGGACTCACTGTCCCCGCAGCCTGGAGGCTCATGGCACATCTCAAGTCACGTCTGCCAAGGCCCCACACGCATCCCCAAGCACGGGGCACCAGTCCACAGGCTGGCTCTAGACCACACCCCAGTGGCTGGCATTCCCTGGGGTCCAGAACAGAGCCAATCCCGGCAGTCACTGACCCGAGAGGCATTCACGGATGAAAAGGCCTGTCCACAGGCATAAAACATAAAAGCACAAGCCCTGTTTGTCGTGTTAACTGGGTCGAACTGTCCTCTACCCGCCCCCCAACCCCGGAAGCATCTGCGTGTCCAACGACTCCTAAAATGGAGCTCCGATCCACATACCCCTCCCCCGGCACCTGGCAGCATTTCGCCATGCCTGAAGAAAACCCCACCAATCCCCCAAAGGGGGATTGTGATTGCACTGTGATTGCACTGACAGATACTATTAAGATTTCTTTTGTTAGGTGTTGAAATGATAACACCTAGATTGTGAAACAAACAAGAGAAGCTGTGTGTGCGTGTGTGCGTACAGACAGACAGACACACACATGCAAACAAAATTTCCTCCTCAGAGTCCCTAATACAAAAGACACAGGAGATATTTTTAGTAACCTGAATTTCTTCTTAACTCAGTATAAGAACTCAAGCAGGTCACTTACACAAGAGCAAACACGTAACCAACATTTTGATTCTGGCAAGTCCTAAACGGTACAAGGGTTGGAAACAGCAACCAACCTAAGAAATTCAAACTACTGCCCCGGCTTCCGTGACAGGACTAGTGGTAAACGGCATTTAAAAGTCTCAAAGGACAAGAGGCCGTTGTCAAAGCCGAGGGTTACATTTCCTGCTACAACCTGCACATTTTCAGGGAACCAATTTCTAGGTGACCATTAGCATCGCAGTGAGCGGCTACCCAGGTCGCTCTGCCCATGAGGGGCGGCGGGCACAAGGGAGCAAGCGCGTTCTGCTGGCCAGGCCCTGCTCAGAGCCGGGCCACTGTGAGCCTGCTCTGTGCCCACCCCAGCTCCTGGTGATGCAGCAGCAAATGCAGCTGGGAGCTGAGCCCCGTGGGAAGAGGTGGACAACACACAAGTGGGCAGTAAGGGGCACAGCCTGTGCTGGGGGACGGATGCAGGCAGCAGAATGGGGGCACTGCGCTGCCAGCCTGTGTGACAGGTGCCACGGGACCAGGCCTGCATTCTGGAAAATTCACTTTAGTAGCATCCCAGACCACCAGCAAGGAGAGAGTGACTCGGGGTCCCTGGCGTCCGAGCAGCACAGAGAACTGGTCAGCACCACCAAAGTTCCCGCCTCAGAGTCCAGAGTGGAGCTGAATCGAGCACCACAGGTTGTGAGTTCAGCCCACGCGAGCCGCTGAGAAAAGGGCCAGCAAGCCGAGGGCGCCGGCCTCTCAAGGAAGGAGTTCTCCGGGCACCGGAGTGAGGTACCTGCTCCAGTGAGTCGTTTAAAACATGCAGAAATTACCCCAGGAAACTGAGACTGGAAAAAGGAAGTCAAAGGAGACTGGGATAAGTATAAAGTCAGAAGAAGGAGCCATTCACAGAAGGCACGTCCCCAGAGGAGGAGAGAGGGGGGCCACGCCGCGAGGAGGAGAGCTGGGAGGCTTTCGTCAGAGAAGGAAAGAAACATCTACATTCTTAGACGTTCAGGACTAAACGTCACCTCAGGACCCACCTGGACCTGGCGCACACTCACGTGCAGGGAAGGGCCTAGAAGAACCACTGCTCTCGACATCTGCACTCAAACCGCAACTCCCCAAACAGTGCACAGGGTCGGGAACCCGGAAGCGGGGGGGCTGCCCTCCGCCCTCCCAGACAGCGCCCGCCCAGCGCCCCCAGCCCGGAGGCCCGGCCCCGCTTACTGTGATGTGGTTGTAGATGAGCTGAGCCCACCCAAAGAGGTCAGCCAGCCGGTAAAATGCCGCCAGCTTGCAGCGCAGCAGCTTCTCCCCTTTGTCGTAGGCGATGGAGTCGGACCCTCTCAGGTCGTTCACAGGCGTCACCATGCCAAGGCCTGCAGCCAGGAAAGCAAAGCTCAGAGGCAGGACGAACGCTTCCTGTCAAATGCAGCCCCGCATCAGGCCAGAGTCAGTCTTTGGAAAATTGAAGACCTCGTTCTCCACAGCTCTGTAACGCCGCTAAATTAGAAGTCAGTAACAAAAAGCAAAGTGTGGGGGCCTCCCCTGGTGCGCAGCGGTTGAGTGCTGGGTTGAGAAGCTGCCCGCAGCCTCTGCAGCGCCAGTTCGATCCCCGGCCGCTGGGCGAGGGTCCCACATGGCGCGCAGACCTCTCCTGCCGGCCGCTGCTCCCCTCAGCAGTGTCCTTCGGTCCTTCTGCCTGCTCTGCTCCCCGCTCTGGCTCTGGTGAATTCTCTCACCCTCCCGCGCTTCTGACTGTACCCAGTGCTTGTATAAACAAATAAATCTTTAAAAATAAATAAATAAATAAAAATTCTCTTAAATTAACCATCCAAAGGGCCTCCCCTGGTGGCACAGCAGTTGAGCACTGGGCTGTGAGGCTGCCCACAGCCTCTGCAGCACCAGTTCGTTCCCTGGCCGCCTGCGAGGGTCCCACCAGAAAAAAAAAAAAAAGTAACCATCCAAAATTGTCTTCCACAGCAGTGACACATTAAGAAATTTGTGGAAACTAGAAACCAATCAAAGTAATGCAGGACAGGGAAAAAGAAAGGAAGAGAAAAGAAAATCTAGGTAAAGGCGAGGGAGGGGGACAGAACAAGACTTCATTAATGGAGCTGCCGGGTAGATGGATGGATGGATGGATGGATGGATGGATGGATGGAGACAGAGATATATAGATCCCTTTTTTGCCATATATTTTTGGAACTTCACAAAAACAACAGAAGAGGGAGCACGAGAGCCATGACATCGAGAAGCTTTCCTGAAAGTCCCCAAGGGAAATCATTTCATATAAAAATGAACCAAAAATGGTCATGCAAAATATTTACAAGAAAAAACAGAATAACGTTCCTAGAGATCATGAAAGCACATGGGAAAGACATGTCCACAGAGCAGATAAGAACTATGACCTATTGTTTCATAACAAGGCAATAATAAAGGCATTAAGAAAATAAAAGCTGGGCATCCCCGATAGAGCAGCGGTTGAGCGCTGGGCTGCGAAGCTGCCCGCAGCCTCTGCAGAGCCGGTTCGATCCCCGGCTGCTCCCCGGCCACCGGAGGAGGGTCCCACATGGCACGCAGACCTCTCCTGCCACGCTCGTTGCTCCCCACAGCAGTGTGAATTTCGTCGCTCTGCCTGCTCTGCTCCCCGCTCTGGCTCTGGCAAATTCTCTCACCCTCCCGCGCTTCTGACTGTACCCAGTGCTTGTATAAATAAATAAATAAATAAATCTTTAAAAAAAAAAAAAAATTACCTCTGCTTTAAAAAAGAAAAAAAAAAAAATGATGCAGTGGCGGCGGGGGGCCTTCCTGCTGGTGCAAGGGGCTAAGTCACAGCACTATAAAGCTGTCCGCAGCCACTGTAGCGTGAGTTTGATCCCCAGGGAGTGACCCACATGGCGCGCAGACCTCTCCTGCCGCCCGCTGCTCCCCTCAGCAGTGTACTTCGTCAGTCTGCCTGTTCTGCTCCCGCTCTAGCTCTGGTGAATTCTCTCACCCTCCCGCGCTTCTGACTGTACCCGGTGCCTGTATAAATAAATAAATCAATCTTTTAAAAAAAAAAAAAGAAAGAAAGAAAAGGGGCCTCCCCGGTGGCACAGCAGCTGAGCACTGGGTTGCGAAGCTGCCCGCAGCCTCTGTGGCGCCGGTTCGATCCCCAGCTGCTCCCCGGCCCCCAGAGGAGGGTCCCACCTGGCGCGCAGACCTCTCCTGCCGCCCGCTGCTCCCCTCAGCAGTGTCCTTCGGTCCTTCTGCCTGCTCTGCTTCCCGCTCTGGCTCTGGTGAATTCTCTCACCCTCCCGCGCTTCTGACTGCACCCAGTGCATGTATAAACAAAACAAATAAATAAATAAATAAAACATGCCTCTATTTAAAAAAAAAAAAAAAGTGCATGATGACGTAATACTCTGTTTTGAGAACCAGAATTCTTGGGGTGGAAGAAAGGAAGACAAGTGTTAAACAGAGAGGGCAAATAAAAATCCCTTAATAATGAATTTTAATTGAGTCATGACTTCAATATATTTATAATTTACTTACAATTTCAATATACCAATAAAGAATACTACCCATGATTTCCTATTTCTGACCACTAAAAAGGAAAAGAAAGATAACGTGATGACAAAGGACATTCCCAGCACCCACACGAAACTCCACTGCCCCAGAAGGAACAAGGTTTCTAGGAGAGGGCTGTTCCAGACGGGCAGGGCCAGCACCGGGCACCGAGACCTGCCTGCCAGAGATAGCCGGCCGGGAGGCGGTCAGAGACTGCTGGGCTCAGGGGTGAACCTGGATCTCCCAGTGGTCCAAGATGGGACAATTTGGGTAAGAACAGGTATAACTACAACGTTTCCAAACACATTCAATGTACTGAAACCAGTAAGTTCAAAATAATACTAAAAACATGGTGCCTGGTCACCTCAGAGGGATGATAGCAAGCAGACTTCTTATTTTAAACAGGGTTGCTTTCCTGCACAAACCGTTCCGATACACACTGGGTAACCAAAAAGAGGACGAGGGGACGAATTCCTTCACTGAAAAATTCCAATAGCCATGGAAGGAGGAGTGACCATCTTGGCACCTTGGTTACGTAACGGCATGGAGCCTCCACGGCTGCTGACCTGGCAAAGGGACCCCGCGGACACCAGGCCTCCTGAGAGGGCACCGCTGTCTGCACAGCACAGCTGGCGAGATGGCAGCCGGGCCTGAGGTCAAGGCAAGTGCAGAAAATGAAGACACACTAGCGCCTGGGATGGAATCAGCAAAAATCAGCATCTGGGCACACTGCACAGGTCAACAAACCCATCTTTTTCAAACTTAACTTGCAAGGAGAAAAAAGGGAGATGAACTGTGACCTGTGGTTTAAAGAGGGTTCACAAGCACTCAGTATAAACACAGAGCCGCACAGAAAGGTGGGGCAGCCCCGGCCCGGAGCAGTCAGGGCAAGAGGCCAGCGCGCATCCTCGGCCGGGCGGTCACACGGGCGTCGCCCCCCAGTCACCCGCAAGCTCAGTATCATCTGTCCTGTCACTACCTTCTGTCTGCATTATGTTCTACAGCGAAGGATAACATCTGTTTCTAAAATTTTAGGAAACTCTTAGATCAATTAGGGCGAATTCTATTTTTCCCTTGCTTTTTCCTGTGGCATTACTGAAATAAAATTTCCTCTATCTGATTAGAAAACAGTATGTAAGTGCCTATTCTTTCATTAGCTAATAGATGTGAAATGTCATCAAAATCCATTAAGAGGTCATGTGAAAATATGAAAACCTTTCTAACTTCAGGACAGAGGTTTGCGCTGCTAAGTCAGCGATTCTTAAGCCTTTCCAGACACTAATGACATCACGCTGGTGAAGATCAGTGCATTTCTAAGAACACCATGGGACAGAGAGAGAGACAGCAAACACCAGGTGACCGAACAGAAACCAGCTCCTTCCCTCGTTCGCACAGAAGCTGGCTAGCCCACGGGCCGTCGGAGACTGGCGGGCATAGCACACGACAGGTCAGACTCTGCCCTGGATGCCGCCTTGTCACGCTCTGTTGACACACTTAACAGCCACGCAAAGCTCCGCCCTCCTGGAGCTGACCATTCTCTGCTCACATTCACCATCCAGCATCTCCCTCTGCTCTCCCTCGGGGAGGAACAGAGGGTAAAGAACACTGGCCTGGCTGCAGTGGGTCCCAGCAGTACTGACTTGCGCCTCCACAAGTGTCCTCTCACGGGTCACAAACAGTCACCTGCCTGAGAAAGGACAGCCTCCCTGGCTCACAACAGATCCCTCCAAACTCAAGACATTTTCAGGTGCACAGCCTCCCCGTCGCTCTAACTCACACATGCTACTTCCCCAGAGATTCAGCACTGAGTGTGATGTGGTCGGGTGTCCATTCACTTCACACGAGAAGGGCCAGAAGTTCCACACGCAAACAAAAGCGCACAGACAGAGCCGGGAGCTACTCACTCATGTTCAAGGCGGCCATCCCTCCCTGCGGAGCTGCTGGGTAGACATTCGGGACGTTCGTGGTCATAAAATCCGCAATCTGCTGCAGTGCCAACAGGCCTGTGGGGTTCTTCCCCTTCTTAAACTGCTCCTGGATCATGGATTCCAATTCTTCACAGAAAGCCTGAAAAAGGCAAACCGAGACAGTGAGACGCCCCTGCTTCTGTCCGGGGTGGGCAGGCTGAACTGTCACACAGACGGCTCCACTCAGTTCTCGGGCAGAGCAGCACGGCACACGCATACGTGCATCCAGCCCACGGCCAGCAGCATCCTGGGCTTGCCTCCGGGAGGGAGCTGAGTGGTTGGAAAGCAGGCACTCCATCCCTGAGACAAGCTCTTAGGAAATAATCACAAGTGTGCTCAAAGATGTATGCACGCCTGCGCTGGCGACAGAAGGGAAAGAGGCTACGGCGCAGAGAACTGACTGAATACACTGACCGCCTCACAGTGAAATTCATACACACGCATTCAACATGCAAGGTCAAAAAAATTAAGTAACTGCTCCTGATCTGTTTTTGAATGAAGCTTACAAAGCACATAACCAGCTTTCATAAGAGCAAGCATGTTTCTGAATACAGAAAAAGACGGCCTGCTCCCTGCAGTTCCGAGATGGATTATTAGCCATTTTCATGTTCTATACTCTGTGCTTGCGAACATCTTCAAAACGCATGTCTTAAAAAAATAATCCTGAAACATCCGCTAGCAAATAATCCTATATAGAAAAGTTCAGTTGGGGCCTTCCTGGTGGTGCAGGGGGTTAAGATGCAACTCCTATGAAGCTGTCGGCAGCCTCTGCAGCACGAGTTCCATCCCCAGCCAGGGAGCTACCCACATGGCGCAGCGGACCTCGCCTGTCTCCCCTCAGCAGTGTGTTTCAGTCCATCCACCTGTTCTGCTCCCCACTCTGTCTCTGGTGAATCTTCTCACACACACACCCCCCACACACACACCTCTGGCCTGTACCCCAGTTCTTGTATGCATAAATAAATAAATCTTTAAAAAAAAAAGGTTCAGTTGAAGGTTATTTTACTGCCAAGTCAGTGCTGAAACAATGCAGGTGATTGATGGTATCGCCAAACTGCAGTAAAATAATTTTTCACACAAGTCACAAAGAAGTAAGCATCTTCTGGTCACATCGTGGCGAATGCTATCTAGCAGGAGCTGCGAGCTCGCGAAATGCTTGTTCGCAGCGAGTCACAAGCACTTGGGCTTTTCCGCGGTTCTGTTGCACACTAAACATCTCGAGCTCACGCTGAGTTTCAAAGGGGCACTCCAGAGACAGCCCAGCGACCGCCGGAAGGAGCACTCAGCGATCGAACATGCCTCGGCGAGCAGGAGCGCCCCTGCCCCTCCCGCACTGCGGACGCCCGAGGCCACATGGAGGCAGGGGAGTGAGAGCGACAGGCTTTGGCTGCGATGAAGTAAACCACACAAACGAGCCACGCGTCTGTCACAAAGCAGAACGTAGCAGGACAGGCAGCCGTGTGCGGATACGAAGTGCCACGGATCACAGGGACAGAGACCAGGCCGCAGTGGACATGCTGGGCGCAGGGACACCACGGCGGCCTAGGCAGCCCCGCCCCGGCGGGTGCGCCTTCTCGAAACGCGACCATCTCTTCGAACAGCCCTCAGGTCCACACAGACAGGTGCAGGAAGTGCCCTTCCTCAGGCACACTGTATGCGCATGCAGGCGCGCTCCAGGACTCAGCCTGCGCACAAGGCCAAGTCCAAGACACTGCTCTAGGCACTGAGCAGGAAAACATGACAATCAGAAAACTACGAGGGGGCCTCCCCGGTGGCGCAGTGGTTGAGCGCTGGGTTGCGAAGCCGCCCGCAGCCTCTGCAGCGCCGGTTCGATCCCCGGCTGCTCCCCGGCCACCAGAGGAGGGTCCCACATGGCGCGCAGACCTCTCCTGCCGCCCGCTGCTCCCCTCAGCAGTGTACTTCGGTCCTTCTGCCTGCTCTGCTCCCCGCGCTGGCTCTGGTGAATCCTCTCACCCTCCCGCGCTTCTGACTGTACCCAGTGCTTGCATAAATAAATAAAAATAAATCTTTAAAAAAAAAAAAAGAAAAGAAAATTACAAGGGATTTGCAAAACCAACCCCCGGCCTGGGCTCCTAAAGCCTCCTGGACCTGCTCACGCTGCCTCCCGGTGCAGGCCCCATTGGCAGCTTCTGACCCCTACACTTCCGCTCAGGCTGCTCCCGCCCGCTTGCTCCCCACTGCCCTGGAGGGCAGGCTCCTCCCTGACCCCACAATTCAGACAGTGCCTCCCTCCTCAGAGGCCTGCTCACCCAGCACAGCCCCACCGCAGGCTGCTCCTAAGCAGTGCTCCGGCCGGTCGTTCACACTCATCTCCTTCGACTAGGGGCTGAAGTGTAGACCTGAGCGGGGCTGTGTGTGTGCCAAGACTCCTCAGGCCACGTAGCTACAACCTGCGCACACCCCCACCAGCGACGCCGCGGTAACCAAACAGCCAAGAGGGTCCGCCCAAGCTAAGACACCTCATGGCTTACCTACTAACCCCCCGCTGCTCGAACAGCACTTAAGAGACACCAACATCCGTCCACAAATGAAAAGGGACTGCATGCCCACAACCCCACACACACCCGAGGGACCCACACAAGCAGGCCAGAAGGGGAAGAAGGAAACACACACAGGCAGCAGCTTCACCCGGAGAAACGACGCAGCTAGCACCGCGAGAGCACGCGGGCAGCCCCCCGAGGCCGGCAATCAGCCGCTGGGGCCGCTGAGCTAGCAGCCCGGTGTCGCAGCATGAAGAGCCATTTCCAAAGGTCCCCATGTGGAAAGACCCGAGAGAGAGTGAAGAGGAGAAACAAACAGCTCCTCCTCTTTAGGACGCTGAAGGTTTTTCACTTATTGTGTCTGACCACTCGCACAGGCCCCTTCAGCAGCCACGCCCACGCCCACGCCCACGGCACGGACGTCCTGCATTAAGACAGACGGGACTCGCCCGGAGAGCCGCGTCCAGGGTGGAGGGCCCCGCGGGCGGGGATGCTGCTCTTACGGGGCTCTGCAGAATCATGGACACTCTCTTTTTTTGCTCCATCATATTGAAGTCCTGGCGAAGGTCTGGTGCCATGTTCCTCTCTCGCAAGTATTCTGGATTGTTCTCATCCACCCTGTCGAAGTATCTCTCTTTGTGAGGCGCCGTGGTCGGGGGTGGTGAGGTCACCACGGCAGCCCGAGTATCACCATTCATTGCGCGATCTTGCGAGGTTCCTATGAATCAAAATAAAAGAAAGCATTGTTTGGAATCAATGTCCAAAAGCATTTCACACTGAGCACGTCAGCCTGTAAACATGTCTGGTGTGAGGACGCTCTGGCTGACCTACCCGCCGGAGCCGTGAGGGTGAGGACTCCGCGGCCTGAGGCCCATGGCTGACCCGCCATCTCCCACCCGCCGCTAAGCAGCGGTGTCTTCTATCCGTGCCGTTGTCCTCCACCAGAGAGTAAATAATCTAACGACGCTGTCATCCCCTCTGACAAACCAAAAGGGAACCAGACACTAAAAATCTGACAACAAGTCACAGTGTTGCCCCGTGCCCACACAGTCTGCTAACAGCCACACGGTTTGTTTCTGGAGAAATCTCACCTAACAAAATTTTTACTAAAAAGCATCAGTAAAAAATGAATAAATAAAAGGCACCAGCAGTGACCATGCAGGACCCCCGGGACAGATGGACAGACAGCAGTCGCTCCCATCTGGGATCCACGCACATGGGAGAGCTCCCGAGGAACATTTTTAAAATATACAAATGCTTTAGTTCATAACTATCCCAAAGTGATACCCAAATGGCTCCAAGGTAAAAGCCTGCTAACAGGGCTGCGTGTTTCACATTCTTCAGCCCCATCTGTTATCTGAAACAACAATGCTAGGGTCCCATCCATCCTGAACCACCAGGTCGCTAAGCAGCACCTTCCCCAGTCCCAGGAAGAGCTCAGTCTCTGCTGCTTCCATGACACGCGGAGCCGCGGCGTTAGCAGCATTTAGGTCCAGGCAGCATTTACTGAGCATCCGCAACGTCCACTCACTGTGCTGGGCACAGCACCCAGTCAGACGCGGCCCACAGCTGGGCAGGTGGGGCCTACAGTCTAGCAGGGAGCGCCTTCTGGAGCCAGCGGCACAGAGGGTCGGGGAAAGTTGGAGGCGGGGAGCCAAGCTGGACAGCAGAGACTGAGCAGAACAGTCTCCAGGGCACAGTGCACATTAAATAATTTTTGAATATTTAAGAAGGAACTGCATGGAGACAAGAAGAGAAAGTGCCTCAGAAGCCACAGGCAGAGTTTTCGCGGGGAGCAGGTGGAGAGCTCCTCGTGTCACAGAGCAGGAATCTGAGAGCTCACAAATCAGCAATTAAAAAACTGGTGGCAGGCCTCCCTGATGTCGCAAGAGGTTAAAACGCAACCTATGAAGCGGTCCGCAGCCTCTGCAGCACCAGTTCGATCCCCAGCCGGCCAGGGAGCTACCCACATGGCACAGCAGACCTCTCCTTTCTCGCCCGCTGCTCCCCTCAGCAGTGGATTTCAGTCCGTCTGCCTGTTCTGCTCCCCACTCTGTCTCTGGTGAATCCTCTCACCCTCCCCCGGCCTCTGGCCTGTACCCCAGCTCTTGTGTGCATAAACAAATAAATCTTTAAGAGCCTCCCCAGTGGCGCAGCAGGTTGAGCGCAGCGCTGTGAAGCTGTCCTAGCCTCTGCAGTGCGGGTTCGATTCCTGGCCGGCCAGGGAGATTCCCACATGGCCCGCAGACCTCTCCTATCTCCCTGCTGCTCCCCTCAGCAGTGGATTTCTGACTGTTCTGCTCCCCACTCTGGCTCTAGTGAATCCTCACTCCCCACATCTCTTGCCTGTACCCCACTTTTTGCATGCATAAACAAATCTTTAAAAAAAAATACAGGGCCGGGCCTCCCCTGGTGGCGCAGCGGTTGAGCGCTGGGCTGCGAAGCTGCCCACAGCCTCTGCAGCGCCGGTTCGATCCCCGGCTGCTCCCCGGCCACCAGAGGAGGGTCCCACATGGCGCGCAGACCTCTCCTGCCGCCCGCTGCTCCCCTCAGCAGTGTACTTCGGTCCTTCTGCCTGCTCTGCTCCCCGCTCTGGCTCTGGGGAATTCTCTCACCCTCCCGCGCTTCTGACTGTACCCAGTGCTTGGATAAATAAATAAATAAATCTTTAAAAAAAAAAAAAAAAATACAGGGCCTCCCCTGGTGGCACAGGCAGTTGAGCGCCGCACTGTGAAGCTGTCCACAGCCTCCGCAGCACGGGTTCAATCCTGGCCGGCCAGCCAGCAAGTCCCACATGACGAGGAGACCTCTCCTGTCACGCCCGCTGCTCGCCTCAGCAGTGTCTTCAGTCCATCTGCCTGCTCTGCTCCCAGCTCTGTCTCTGGTGAATCCTCTCACCCTCCCGAAAATCTGGCCTGTACCCCGGTTCTTGTGTAAATAAATAAATAAATAAATCTTTAAAAAGAATACACAACTGATTGTAACACACATGCTAAGATCCGTGCGATACCGTCCTGTGGAACCAGGGTGCTTTCCTGTCACCACATGCACAGAGTGACATGCTAAGTGGAAATCTACACAGTCCCCCATCCCCGATGCCACCAATACGCTCACCCTAACCCCACATAGGGTGCTGGTTGGCACAGGGGCGGGGGAAGGGCAGGCGGGCTCGCCACACGGAGCCCTCGGCAGCTGTCTGAGACGCCCACGACCCCCTGGCTGCCAGAACAGAGCCCTCCAGGCCCGTGGCCTCTGCCTGCCGCGGCACGAGCACACTTTCACAGGCGCTTCTGGACAGAGCTGCTGACACCAGACGAGCAGCAGTTTGGGACGGACACACCTTTCCAGTGTCCCGGGGGTCACCCTCACCATGGACCTGCAGATAATGGGCATCCCTGGGCCTCCTCCCCTCAAAGGCCCAGGCTCAGGACAGGGACCACACTAATGAGTAACTCAAAGTAGACCAGACTCCTGCTTCTCTGCACAGCTGCTGAGCTCGGGCTAAGCCGGGGCAGGTTCAGTTATTTCTCAGCACGTCCCTCCTGGCACGACATCTGGTTAACAGCTAACAGTCTGACCACTGACACGCTGACCTGTGTCCGAGCGGCTGAAGTCAGGGCGCGCAGACCAAAGGCTGAAACGAGAAGGCAGCCGCCAACAAAGCCACCTACAGCAAGTGCCTGCAGGAAACCCAGGTCTTGTTCGTTTCTGAACATCCTTAGAACATTCCTCCCCAGGAGCAAGGTGCCTGCCCGGTGAGAAGGATTCTGCTCCATGGAAAATCAATCAGGAGACACCAAATCGTGAATAATAAGGGTGGTGGCCACTGCTGGGCCCTTGGCTACCCGACGCCCTCTCCAGACAGCCTTGTGGACTGTCCCTGGGAGAACAAGAGGTGACCTGTGCAGGCACCGCCTTCGAGCTGAGCCTCCCCGGGGCTACCCCCACAGACAAAGCAAGGCGCCACTGACCAAAGTCACAGCGTAAGGAGGGACAGACAAATTAACGTGACACCCTTAGTGCCAAGACTCCACTCCCATATCAGCAGAGACAGGAGGGACGCAGAGAGGGTGCGTGGGTACACTGTGTCCCCAACCCATGCGTGTCGAAGCCCTAACCCAGCCCCTCAGGATGTGACCTTATTTGGAAACAGGGTCGCCGCAGACATGATCAGCAAAGATGGCCGCAGGCCGGGTCGGCAGGGGCCCTGATGGACTGGCACTGGGGACTGACGGGAAGAGGGAACCTGGACACATGCAGGCAGGCACCAGCCGTGCGAGGATGAAGGCAGAGGCCAGCCGGGGTGGGCAGTGCAGGCTGCAGTCGTGTGGCTGGCGGACAACCTCCCTCACGGCCTCCAGGGCAAGCAGCCCTGCCCGTACTATGCCCTGAGACTCCTCTCCCCAGAACTGAGCCACAACCCCAAGTGCCCAGCTGCGCGCGCGCCACGCTGGCAGGCCCGAGAGCAGGTGCCGGTGGCGTCCCCAAAGAGCGCGTGGCGGGAGGGCTGGCGGGCGGCAGGCGCCTGCTGCAGGAGCAGCCACTGCGCGGGGCAGGGGCGGCACAAGCAGGGCCCTCACGCGGACTCCCAGGGCCAGCGCCGGTGCCTGCGGCAAGTGCCCACAGTCTGGGGGCCCCCCGCACACTGCGGTCCTCCTCCGCCACGCTCAGCCACCCCCACTCTGAAGCCACTCAGCCCTCACGGGGACTGCTCTCCAGCCCGACCTTGGCCCCCGCCGCCTGTGCTCCCCTGCGCAGAGGGGCAGGTCATCCGTGCAAGTGCTTGTGCCTTTGCCAGGGCCCGGCCCGGGAAGCCAGTGTCGGGCCTTCCCACTCTGGACTCGGCCGCGGTTCTGCGGGATGCAGACACACCGGGCCCACCCGCTCCTTCCGCAGAGGCCTCTGGACTTGCCCTCACCTCCCCCAGGACGAGCACACCTCCCCACCCCCGCATCGCTGGGGGTGCGGGGGGGGGGGGGGTATCAGGCCCCGCCCACCTGGTTCTGGGTGGTTTCCCAGACCCCCACAGCCCCATCCCTGTTGGGGGAGTCCTACTCCCAGCCCCCAGGTCACCTGGGCTTGCACTGGGTTTCCTTCGAGTCACAGCCTCAGCCAGACTGCCCAGTCACCTGCCGACCCGCAACAAGCTGGGAGAATTTCCGGTCTGTTTCCACCTGTGCAGTGGCGAGGCCAACAGCACCAGCACCAACCGGCACCGCTGAGGACAAGCGCCGACACGCAGGAGGGTCACAGTGCCAGTATCGCTGTCAGACCCCCGCCTTCACCCCTATTGGCATGTGAGCCCCAAGGAGGCCGGGGACTCACGGTCTCAGCCCCTGCTGTGTCCACCGGGCCAGAACCTGACAGCCCCCCACGATACTCAGCAGGGAACTAACGCCCTCGGACTAGTCGCACGCCAACGTGGGCTCGCCTGGCAGGGAGCAAAGTCACCAGGCTGGCAGGCCCCGGAGAAGACAATGGGCAGACCCGGGCACTCGGGCACACCCGAGGCCCGCAGGCAAGCGCCGAGGGACGTCGTGTATGGGGCTGGTCTTGTGTCTTGAGCTTCATGTTTCTGAGAACCACAAAGTTGGCATAAAACACGCTGCAGAAGCAGCCTCCAGTGGCTTGGACTGGGAGAAGCCAGTGTGCGCAGCTGCCGGAGGCAGGCAGAGCAGACAGGGGAAGCCGAGCCTCCAGAGGGTGCCTTGCTGGGCA